GGTACGTTTGGCCCTCATTTTTTTGGGGTCTTGTTGCTAGGAGACAGCTAAAATGGCGCTCTACGCGTAGCTGAGGTCCAAGGCTTTCTGACGATGTGCAAAACAACCATGCTTACCATACAAATTGTTGCCGTATCGATCGACTGAAGTTTGTTGAAATTGGAAAAGACGACCATCCGCCATGCGCGCATTTCAAGAATGCGAGTGCATCTCTTGGGGCCGTGTTTGACAAGCGCTCTGAGATCAGTAACATCACCAGTCCAGGCTGGATGTCCCGGGAGGTTTTGCAGTGTAGTGTGTTGAGAAAAAGAGCTCCGTTGAGTCCTGCTAGTTCAAAAATATTTCGTCCACGAATGAAGAAACAAAATTCTCCAAACAGAGAGGAAGCCTTCTTGCTGCCGACACGGCGACAGCGACTGTCACAAGGACTCGTCAGGTGCGATCAGCTGATTCGCCTGGCCGTGAGAATCACGGCATGCGTAAGCTCGCGCCTGAGTACTCATCTGAGCGAGAGTGAATCTGACGCGAGCAGCGCTGAGATGAACAAACCGAAACTGCGATATCGTGCAATGGGAATTGCTGCTGCTGCCGTATCGCCGATGGCGAGGTGTTGGTGTTCAATGGCGGTATTGTAGAGAACCTACATTTCTTGTAAAGACGTAGCCCTTACCTGATTGTTTATCGTACGACTTCAGCTCCATCACAAACTTGGTATGCCCTTTGTGCTGTGATATTCGTGTATTTCATTCGCAATTGTATTTTCTCTCAACTTGAAGGGCTACCATGGGCCCTATCCTTGCCTGGACCTAGTCATATTTGAATTTTCTGGACGCGTTCAGGCACACAGATTTTGAAAATATATGGTTTACCCATACCTACATCACATGGTTCTTGAGTTATTGCTGGTTGTGTGTACATGTATTTGCGTGACCACCCCTCACATACATTGAGTTAGACCGGCAAAGGGTTAAACATACCGTTTTCGCTAGACGGCCCATGGCCAAGCGCAGGGTGATTGGTCGAAGGTTAGCCTGGGATAATGGTGCGTCCAAAACTGCATAGAAAGAAACACAAGTACAACTCAAGCCGGTGTAAGAACAGACATTGGCAAACACTACCACTACTACCCTGTACACTGAGTCTGTGCATGTAGTGTGGTAATGCCTTCCCAAATGACTGACTCGAAGTTAGCAGTCCTATCATCTTTTCCCAGCCATACGTTTATAACGAGTAGAAGACAATGCAGTGAAGAGTGTGTACAGTACTGATGGGCGCCAAAGAACGGAGCACCCAAGAGAGAACAGGCTAGCAAAGAACGGAGCACCCAAGAGAGAACAGGCTAGCAAAGAACGGAGCACCCAAGAGAGAACAGGCTAGCAAAGAACGGAGCACCCAAGAGAGAACAGGCTAGCAAAGAACGGAGCACCCAAGAGAGAACAGGCTAGCAAACAACGGAGCACCCAACAGAGAACAGGCTAGCATACCAATGTAAATGTGTTGACTCAACTGTGCATAGACTGTACTGCATGAATATAGAAACAGCCTACACTGCAGGCTACTGCACTGGTCCCCCATTCTCAGGCACCAGACAGTACTGCAGTGTCCCTCAACATGAACTCAACCCCAGGTCTAATGACCGCCTGCAGTAACATTCAGCAACGGAGAACATGGTGTCGGTGCTTCACGCTAGAAATGCTCCTGTCGACCAAATTCAGGACCTGAAGTTCGTATTCCGTGCTTTGACAATCAGGGAACATGTCACTACCACAGGCATGGAACTACACACTGCACTGTGTACTCATTAAGTTAAGCGGGGTTCGCACAGGCATGGAACTACACACTGCACTGTGTACTCATTAAGTTAAGCGGGGTTCGCAACCCCTGCTTGTTCCTGTACATGTACCACTTACAAGGTACCTGTGGAACAATTACCGACCTTTTTTCATCTCACTGAAACAGCCAAAGAGCTGGTGGCAGTGCTCCTCCTGTTGAGAAATACAGCAATAAAAGCATGCTCTTCATTTGGTGAATTACTCCCAAGGTTTCAAATTGCACACACAGGGGCACTGATAATTTCATCATAAACCCACTGCACATACTGCGGAGTATCCAGTCAGTTTATCCATGGCATATGATACAAAAGACATTGTTGGTGGTGCTATGAATAAGACATAATTTTGATCGTACTACATTATACATGTTAGGTATGTATGATGACGAGTGAAAAAATGGTCTAAAATCACATGTATATTAAACATGGTTGAACATGAAAAAAATGTGCCCGAAATGGGGGGGGGGCGGGGATGGGAGGGGGATCTACCTAACTTTGGCCGCTATCCTAATGTTTGCTTTTCGAAATTTATGGACGGCCCCTTACCTCAAAGTGTCCCAGGAGGTGACGACAAAGCAGTCTTCGGCACAGAGTAGTAATAATCTGCATAGGGCATCACCAATGCACAGAATCACTGTACATTGTCACTTTGAACTACACTCACAGTGCTGCAGACAGGTAAGTAAGTGTGTGAACCAATGAGGCCTTATCACTGCAACTATGAGCTAAACCAGAGTGCCAGCCATAGTGGCAAGAGTCATACACGCGGTTACTCCGTAAAGATGACCCAATGAGCAGGCACTGAGGGTGCTCAAACAAGAGAAAGTTAGCAACAAGCACAACATGTCAGTCAGCACAGTACACATTCTACGCATTGTGCTTTGCAAGATTGAAATGAAGGAGCAAACCGCACTCCTTGAAGTATATTTTCTCCGCGAGAATGATGATAGTCACTTCACTGTTGCCGGGGAACATTGCTGACATGCATGGCACAGTGAGTGGCACCCAGATATGGCAAGCCTCTTTTGCAATGCTTGGGGAAAGTGTTGCCCAGGAACTTTGCTGCAGTGCAGGGATGCACAATACACATGCATGGATAGCTTGACAGACCTTGGTTCGTAGTTTGACAGTGACCGGTGGTAGCTGCTCATTCCAGGCCAGAGGTGACAGGCTCAGGATCCAGATTGCACATGTCCTGACCAACTTGATTTCACTGCGGGCAGGGCACCAACGACAAGATGACAACCCACAGCTGTGTGCTTATCTGCTGGTATGTACAGTTGTGGCAAGTGAAATCCGACACTTGGCATAAGGGACTGCACCATGCAGTCTGCAGCCCCTGCAGCCCTGCATACGTATAGTACATGTGGTACATACAACTTTATCTGTCTGATGACAAAACTCGTACTCATCACAGTCAAGGTTCAAAAGGTGCTGGCAAAAATGAATGGGGACTGGATACCAATACTCCTTATGACTTCTTGTGTACCATATTTTGTGAACTGTGTGTATCTACGCTGTGACCTTTCGATCTGTTTGGGATGCATACGGCTCTATAGTACAAATTAGGTGCACTGCATTGTTGTCCATTTGTGGCGCTGTCCCCTATGGCAAGTGTCGGATTTCACTTGCCACAACTGTAGTTTACCCGGTACTGCACTGAGATGTACAATGGGGTTGTGGTTGCGCCACAGCTAAATCCAAATACTTGCAAGTACTACATCATACAGAGGTGACCAGGTGGTAAGAAGTTGTAAGTTGTATGATTTACAGGCTGATCCACAATTGCACAAAGCATGCCTGTACTACCCACCTTTGTGTACTTTTTTTTAAGTACTATAATAATATACTGCTGAAGTAAGAAGTCTGGATTCTGCCGCGACAACCATGCACGAAGAGAGGGTTTTACAGTTGAAACACTCTTGGGGCTATGTACTCTTGGCCGCACACTGGGAACTCAATCTGCCTGGCACACTGGCTTACTTGCCAAGATATCCCTTGTCCATGTCGGCATGTCGCATACAGGTCAAGAGAGTGCACAGGCATTCTGCAGTGTAGCCAGGGCAGAAGAGGCAAAGACTTGAATTGGAACTATACCGATGTGCCACAGAATAGACAGACACAATGGCATAAGTGCCGGGGGCGATTGGGGGAAGGGGGTATGAGGGGAAATTACAAAAGTTCACGTTAGAAAGGATATCGTGATTTGTGGACAGTCCCTGGCCACTCTGCTCACCTGGACAACTCACATTCTGCTTGCACATTATCACTACCATGACCACCTCCACCACCAATTTTTTTCATGCCTTTCTATTCACTTGATTGCACTGTATGCCCCTGCCATGAGTGAGTTCTTTGTCCTTTTCTCTCTTATACCTGTTGGCACTTTAAAATGTCAACGATCACGCTTATGACAACATGAACATGGAAGCGCACACGATAGCACAATATCTGAAGCTTGCTGACAGAGCAGAAACCATGGCAAAGAAGGACGTCCGTGAGGGGTAGGGAGAGGGATTTCAACTCCAAATTATCCTGAGTAGCATTGCATGTTAGTGTACCTTGTTCAATGGTCCGATTGAGTTTGGATAGCTCAATCAGATCTGGCCAATAACCAGACAGTCGGTCTAGTGTGCCTTCACGCTTCGCAGCCGGAATGTGCGGCCAATTGCACAGATTCATACAGCGCTACGGCGGACACATGCACATAAGCACACACACGCACGCACGCATGCATGCACACATACACACACAAGCACGCACGCATGCGTATACGCATATGCACACACACACACACACACACACACACACACACGAGTACCAGGTCAAAACTGTCCAGAAGCACATCATGTTCAGGGCTTTTGGAGAATGAGTAGTGCGGCGGCTAAGTAGGATGCATAGCTTTCTGCGCACCACTATTGTTTAAGGTCATGGGTATGGGTGCGATACTTACACAGCCTCAGTGAGTAAGCCATGTGCTACAACGTCTCACTCTGAGTAACTTACCTCTGCGTGGCGGAGATAGGCATCTAGCTTTTCATCAAGCACCGCTTTTCTGCAGGCATTCTTGCATGATCGATACTGCACAGACAGACACAGGACTCTCTTGTTTACTTCCCGAGCTGTGTCAAAGACACGCCACCCCACATACATGCAGTGACGTAGTATGTCTGGCAAAGCACAGGGCCCGTCACCCTTTAATTGCTGCAAGTGGGCGAAGTGGGCATAGCAATATGTTGCAGTGCATATGATTACATGGCCAAATGGTCAAGAGTGCTGAGCAGGGGACGACTACATATCGAGGAAGGCTCGCATGTACTCAGTGTGACTTTCACGACATGCACACAATGCATTGCCACCGGGTCTAGTTTGCACTTTGCAGGTGACGATGAGTATTACCAAGTGACGGAGTTGCCTAGAATCGGCAACGCACACATACCAAAGACGTTGATTTGTCGTGTACACGTGCTGTCTGGTATCCATCACTTGATACAGCGGGGGTCAGCCCTAAATAACACCCCACTGTATGTGCATGTACGGGTATACTATGTGATCCACTGAACAGCGATGCAAGGCAAACATTGCAGGTACCAACTCCTCTTACCTGATCTGTGAAATCGTCCGGTAAAGCACCTGGTCTGCAGGGGAAGAGTGAGAGAAATAGTAGCCACAAAGCGACGGCGTTCATAAGGGTGTTCTTGGATGCCCGAAATCACTAATAACCTTCAGGTGTGCATACCTGTATGGCAGCAAAATAAACATGTAGTTCTTCCGGTTGAGATCATCAACTACAATCCTGGGCATCATTGCAGCAGACAATTTAACTGAGTACCGTACTCGGTGACCTAGTGATACAGTGTCCGGGCTGTGAATAGACACTGCGGCTGCTGGTCTTCCGGTGTGTTGGACTTGCTGCAAACTTCTCAGAACATCAAGAACGCCAAGGTACAATGCCCAGGTCTGGCCACTGGGAGCTAGCCCTTGACGGATACAGTGCCGGCAGAAAAGTGAGCAGAATTTGGCACTTTTGCTAGTATGTGTCATGCATGTTTGATACGTGGTTAAAGAAATGGAGCAGAATTCAAGGAAGTGCCTGCCAGAAGCCTTTGTAGGGTGCTGCCAATTTCTCTGCTTTTCGAGCAGAATCGGCCAACTTTCCGTTCATTATCCACCAACGGCTACCGGCAGTACTGTTTTCACTAAGATAAGTAACCATGTTTACATGTCATCTTCCCCGGGTGCACACTGCTAGGTCCTTGGTGCGGAATGATGTGTGCGTGATGTGTTGGGCCGGGGAGCTGGGCTCTGACCAATTATTTCGTTAGAAATTTCCTGAACGCAAGTCGGGCCAGCCTGATAGCAAGCAAGTGCCCGCCTAGGAAAGACGCTGCAATGCGGAGTCACAATTATAGCAGTCTACTCCAGTTATGTGCATCCATCCCTCCGTGCAACAAAACTAGCACGTGCCACATTGCTATTCAAGACGAGAAGCAAGCAACATAACTATGATTGTGCTAAATGTGAAACGTTTGTCTTACAGCTCTGCGGCGGGTTTCCTTCTGAACTGCTCGGCGCTGCAGCGCGACTGGCTGGGTGACGGTATTTCCGTCTCATCGTACTCCTCATCAAGGCTCACTGCAACCAATGCAAGACCCAGGCCCTCTGCGCTCACCTTCTCCCTTTCGTACGGCATGATGGTGACCTGCTACTGAGTACCTGTGACGGTTTGCCTGGATGATAGGAGGCAAGTGCGATGCTACAAATCTAAGTGGTTGCACTGCCCGAAAAATGGTGTTGTCGAAGGGTATCAAGAAGGAGCAATTTACAGGGCAATGCCATCACGGCAGTCACCGCCACAGCAAGGCACGACACCTTTCAACTTTCTTTTCAAGTCCATTACATTGCCTGCATTATTTCTCCACTGAGAAAACTCCTGCACCATGACTGAGCCCGTGACATCCCTGGACCGAAAACAAACTCGAGTATATCTACCGAGAGTCTTTCACTCTTTGATCTTGTTCGCACTTCGCAGTCAAACTCCGCGTCCGTTGCTATGACAACTTGCTAACCTCGAAGAGCTCTCCGCACGGACTGTGCAGGACATGGTAATCATGGTATGCGGTAATGACAATGACTATGTTAGTATGTAGTCAATTAATTTTGTAGATTCTACCCGTGCCAGTAGCAGTGGATAATCATGATAATGGACTTGGCGGATAGGGCAGGCCGTGTATTGTAAACTCAGCCAAGGAGCAACTACCAGACTACAAATGTACAAACATGTCATGTTGCTTACTTGAATGAAAGAGAATCGCTTCGACCTCGGCCTCCCTGATAAGATCCAACTCCGAGGAATTGTCGGAAATCCTCGCTGGTTCTTCCTGCACTTGCACCTTGAACTGAAACGGACCTGCAGGTGTAAAAATGAAGGCGAATCGCCTATTGAGGGCATGTCTCATCTTGTATTTCTTTGTTGCCGCTGCTAGAAGCAGTGATACCTCACGACGCGTCGGTGCAGCGAAACGACCCCACGTAATATTGTTCGTCATTGATGATTTGGGCTGGAATGACGTTAGCTACCAGGGTGCAGAGTTCAAGACGCCGAACATCGACAAGCTGGCCAACTCTGGAGTCAAGCTGGACCAGTACTACGTGAATCGGATATGCTCGCCAACTCGCTCGTCCATCATGGCCGGTCGCTATGCGTACAACATGGGCCTGGATGGTCCGGTCATTGGAAACGGTCATGCGTATGGCTTACCATTGAACCACACGACGATCGGCGATGCGTTCAAAACAGGCGGCTATAGCACCCATGCCATTGGCAAATGGGACCTTGGTATGTACAACTGGGAGTCGACGCCGACCTACCGTGGATTCGATACGTTCCTGGGCTTCTACAACGCCGCAGAGGAGTACTTCACACACACCTGCTCCATTGCCTATCACTTTCCCGGCACAAACACAAGCCGCCTGCGTGCGCTGGACTTCCGACGGAACAAAGCACCGGAGTGGAGCTTGAACGGGACCTACAGCACCAATGCCTACAGCCAAGAAGCAGTGGATCTGATCAAGGCGCACGACAAGTCGGAGCCGTTCTTCATGTATCTGGCATACCAGGCTGTCCACGGCCCGCTGGAAGCACCGCAGCACTACATCGACATGTGCAGCGATATTGCAGAGCCACGACGTCAGGTCTACTGCGGTATGGCCAAGGCACTAGATGAGGGCATAGGTAACATCACGCAAGCACTGGTAGAGGCCGGCATGTGGGACGACACGCTAATAGCGTTCACCACCGACAATGGCGGACAAATAGCGTCCGGCGGTAACAACTGGCCGCTGCGAGGTAACAAGGCGACGGTGTGGGAGGGCGGTGTGCGCGGTGTTGCCTTTGTAACCGGAGCGGGTATTGAGCACCCATCGACTACATACAATGGTCTCATGCATGCCAGTGATTGGCTGCTTACTCTGGCCGAAGGTGAGTTGCTCAAGTTTGTTGTGAGTATTAGCAAGAGTACATAACCCCAAGAGTGTGCAACTGCCTGTACAACCTATATGCAGTGCTGCGACGGCAGAACTTCACATCATGTGACATGGTTCAAAAGGATACACTGGAAAACAATGTAAAGTGATCACAAGCAAGTTGCACCTAAAGCTGGGTTTCGTACAACCCTGTATCAATCATGCACAGAGTGCAACTAATGTGTACGGGTTCATCACGTGATGTGAAGTTCTGCCGTCGCAGACCCCATAGCTGGAGTTGCACACTCTTGGGGGCTATGTACTCTTGGTATTAGTGATTCTGAATCGGGCGGAGTAGAGCCCTCAAACCATCGTTTGGCATGTTGGTAACCCATATCCACGAACCCAACACACACACACACACTGTGACTGTGTGTATGTAACAGTGAGATGGGTACTTGCTGTACACCAGGGAGTCGTACTCAAACTAGGGAGGTGACACGGCACAGAAATCCGTGTCACAGGGGTTGACTCGCACCCGTGACCCCTCGTTGTTATTTTTGGAATAGTTCAGTCCAGTCCAGTCCGAAAGGTCATACTCGGATCGACCCGCCTTCTGTACTTCACCTCCAAGCGTGCCGCATGGGTGTCTAGTTTTTGAAATTATTGAGGCAGCACATTTCGTTTACAGCCCATCACTCGCCAGTATTCTTTGAAAGACTGCCAGCAATTTTTTTAGCTCCTGCCATGTCCGAACTACTTGATAGCAGTGATGGCAACAGCCGCAGTTATGAAACGGCGTGTAGTGTTGCGGTAACTGTTCAGAACTGTTCAGAGTCGCATCCTAGGTTAATCCGAATACTAAAAATTGACCCAAATTGCACATAACACAAAGCTGGTTTTTGAAAATTGTAAGTCGTGTATCTGCCCCATTTCTTCTTTATGACTTGCACAATACACCAGTCTTCCTAAACAACACATTTGTTAAGTACCATATAAGAGAAGTACAGCCAGTGATATTGTCATGTTGAAATACTACAATTTTGACACAAACTACACATAACACGAAGCCAGGTTTTGAAAATTGTAAGTCGTGTATCTGCCCCATTTCTTCTTTATGACTTGCACAATGGTCCAGTCTGCCTAAATAACACATTTATAGCAGGGGTTATGTACCATATTAGAGAAGTACAGCCAATGATATTGTCATGTCTAAATACTACAATTTTGACACAAATTACACATAACACGAAGCTGGTTTTTGAAAATTGTAAGTCATGTATCTGCCCCATTTCTTCTTTATGACTTGCACAATACACCAGTCTTCCTAAACAACACATTTATAGCAGGGGTTAAGTACCATGCAAGAGAGCTACATTGTACATCTAGTCATACTGTCATAAACAGCCAGCATTTTTCCTGCAGCAGTCACACCACCATCATCATTATTTCCAGGGAAATCCTCTTACATTGTCAGCTCGTACGTCGTTAGATACAATGTAGGGGGCTGTAGGACCGGCTCGTCAAAAATAGAGAACCTGAACAAGCGTGCTCGGGACGTCTCAGCAATCGCAGTATGCCTGAGCACTCCAATAAAAACTTGATCAATGGCAAAATCGTTCGCCACAGAAAAATCATACTTTGCGGGTCTTGCGTTGCACGCTTGGAGGTGAAGTACAGAAGGCGAGTCGATCCGAGTATGACCTTTCGGACTGGACTGGACTGAACTATTCCAAAAATAACAACGAGGGGTCACGGGTGCGAGTCAACCCCTGTGACACGGATTTCTGTGCCGTGTCACCTCCCTAGTTTGAGTACGACTCCCTGCTGTACACATACTGATTTTTGGTGCTCCTTGGTTTCTTTGTTCACTGGTTGCTAGTAGGGAGGTTTAGTTCCCACGTAACGGAAACGCGTACGTGGGTGATCCACGTAAAGTGGATGAAGGGCATCCACGTTGCAATGTTGTGTTTAGTCACACGGAACAAACAAAAGCATAAAGCGAAAGGCCAAACCTGGTCAAGGACGAAGCTACCCGGGCCTAAGAAGCTCATCGAATATTTTGATTTCGTGCTTCGGAAATTTCTTCAGCTGAGCACCCTCACAGCTCACAAAATGCGCTCCATTCTGATTTTCACCCACGTTCTGGCGGAACGTGGGTGAGCCTCCATACACGGTATGTCGTGAATCAGCAAACGTCTGTACGTGGGTCACTGAGTATCACGTGGTACACACATGTAAAGTACCCACGGATTACGTGGGACTAAACCTCCCTATTACTGGTGGTGCCTACCTGCTGGTGAGGAAAGGGTGGCAAGGAATACACTGAGCTTATGCAACTGTTATCTACCTCAATGTTCCATGTACCAACATGGACATGCCGGGAAAACCTGACCATGTCCACAAATCCATGGGTATACCCTTAGGCTTCCACCTTCGTGTGGAATTAGGTGAAAGTAGTATGCCTGGTGGAATCCAGTTTGGGATCTGGATGGTAGAGTTTTGCACCCAAAGCACAAAAAAATTGAAACCCAATAATCATCGCGGTGTGATTACGTTGTGATGTGATCAAGGCTTGTTTCTTGGGAGCACAGAATGCGAAAGACCACGGAAAATATCCTTGAATTCCTCAGATCTGATCAAGAAAATAGAAGAATTATGCCTACACGAAGTGCACCTAAAGCCTCCAGTGACGGCATGACTGACGCAGCTGGATCGGGTGACAGCAATAAAAATCTTAAATCTTGCCATATCTTATCATTCCTTACCGTTTTTAACCCTTTATGGGTCTCACATAAGCGAAAGGGTCGTATGTGACCCTTACAGTAAAATCGCATTTTCTGTGAGTTTTGTTGCTAGGAGACAACTAAAATGGTGCTCCACGCATAGCTGAGGTCCAAGGCTTTCCAACGGTGTAAAAAACAACCATACTTACCATACAATATTTTGCAGTATCGATCGACTGAAGTCTGGTGAAATTGGAAAAGACGACCATCCGCCATGCGCGCATTTCGCGAATGGGAGTGCATCTCTTGAGGCTGTGTCAGAAAAGCTTTCTGAGGACACTGACGGCACCAGTCTAGGCTGGGTGTCCCTGGAGGATTTCCAGTGTAATGTCGTGAGAAAGAGAGCTCCGTTGAGTCCTCCTAGCTCAAATAAATCGTCCCGAATGAAGAAATCAAATTTACCAACCAGCGAGGAAGCACAGCAACAGCAACTCTTACAAGGACTTGTCAGGTGCGATCAGCTGATCCGCCTGGCCGTGAGAATCACGGCATGCGTGACATCGCGCCTGAGTACTCATTTGAGCGAGACTGAATCTGACGCGAGCGGCGCTGAGGTGAACGAACCAAAATTGTGATAATTATTGTGGAACTGTTGCTGCTGGTGCATCGCCGATGGCGAGGTATTGGAGTTCAAGGACGGAATTAGGAGCATATATTCTTCACCAAGACGTAGCGCTTACCTGATTGTTTATCATAGGACTTCAGCTCCATCACGAACTTGGTATGCACTTCGCGCTGTGATTTTAGTTTTTTGTTCGCAATTGTATTTTCTCTCAACTTGAAGGGCTACCACGGGTCATACCCTTGCCTGGACATAGTCATATTTGTGTTTTCTGGACTCGTCCAGGCATACAGATTTTGAAAATATATAGTTTACCCATACCTACAACTCACAGAACTTGAGTTATGGCTGGTTGTTTGTACGCGTGTTTGCTTGACCACCCCTCACATACATTGAGTAAGACCCACAAAGGGTTAAATACACCCGATGGCGGTAAACTACAGCTGCCCACACAGCACACAGCACAGCACATTTCTCCAGGTGTGTTTTAGCTACTTCGAAGTACCATTTCAGTGCTATATCTATTATAATGAAGCTGCATTGCAGTCTTCGCATCATTGTTTACATCATATGCTGGGTATTCCTTTGGCTGCAGGTGTTGCTGGTCTGAATGTCACCGTCAAACAGCAGCTAGACGGCATGAACATATGGCCAGCTATTCTTTCCAACACAACATCACCGCGCCACGAGATCTTGCTGAGCCTCATGCCAGCACGGTATCCGACACCAGATAAGCCGCATGCTCGGATCTTTCCTGGTAAGCTTAGCAAGACCAGGCTGCAATGCCTTTCATCACCCTCCGCGAACTTGTAATTGATGCCTAACCTGATATGGCTCAGTTGAGACAGGATGCTCATGAATTTGTGGTGCTGTTCTGAAACACATTGTGTACTAAATATTGCAAGCCCTCCTTCCCAATACAGGTTGATCAGCCCTGGAAACGTGGCAATTAAATTCATCTCCCTCGTTCCCACCGTTGAAGGGCTTCAAGTTGTGGATGGGTACATGTACTGCATAGATGAACGGACTCATGGCAGAGAGGCCGCAGTGCATGTAACAATGTCACTGTGAAGTTTCCCGGCAGGTGAAAATTAAACGAGATCTAATAGCCACCAGCTGATATGAGTTTGCTATCCCAGCACAATTCAGCGTCTCGAATTCTTGGACTACTGTATGGTTCTAGGTTAGACTTACAGCTGGCTGTGTACCATTGCCTAGCTCCCTTGCTGCATTCTCAGTTATCAATGTCTAGTCGTAGGCTATGCTTCCGAGACCTCTGGTCGGATGAGCCTCGCCAACCACATCCGCACATCGCCCCTGCTCCCCTTTGTCTGGGTGTCTGGTGTCACCTTTCTTTCCCTGTTAATAGGGCTGTATTTGCCAGTAAATTAGAAGCAACGTCAAAATCAAGCTAGCACAGACTCAGTTGTAAACGAACTTTCCTCTCTCCCCTTTGCATGTATGCATTGTCATTGTAGGTAATTTGCAAGTCTCAACCAAGTACACTGATTTGTGCCATGGATTGCTGTTGATTGTGTGATGTGACTTTTACTCTTCGGCTTCAGGAACAGCTGCTATCAGAGTGGACCAGTGGAAGTTGATCATTGGTATGCCAAATTGCTCACTGACGCCACATCCGAGTACCAATATGTCAGATGACATGTGCCCATCTGGGTGGGTGCATCCGAGCGCGATTGAGGTCAGTACTTACTCAGCGTACTTCGAAGTACTAGTGAGTTACTACACGTAGGGGTGTTCAGAAATTTGTAAAACGAGTGCCTGATGAGTGCCTGGCAAGTGTGTAACGAGTGTGACTTGGGGTGGGTGTGCCATGCACATCCGGATCCAAAGTCATTTGGGCCTGATCGACTCAGGATGCGAAGCCGAGTCAGCAACTCGTTCTCTGTTTGTTTTACGACTGCCTAATGCCCTCTATTATCGTACACCGGTGTATCATGAACTAGTGAATGGCGCAAAGCGGTAGTGATCCTGGGCTAGTTGCCATGCAGAAGAGTAATACAACTGGAACTTGCCGAGCTGTGTGGTTATAGTGGATGAAGAAGTACATGTGTATGTGTGTAGGTTTGGAGCAGATGCGATTCTCAACCAGCACCATTACCGTACAGATGCTAATTGTTTCCCAGGCAATGGGACTGTTTCTGTAGTGTAAATTAGAAGGTCCATTGCAATGACCATAATGCAGGCGGAAGAGAGAGAGAGAGAGAGAGAGAGAGGGGGGGGGGGGGGGGAGGAGGAGGGGGGGGGGGGTTATGTCTTATGTGCACCTTGAAGTTTGCACCAAGTAGCTGTGTCTGACATAAGAGTGCAAGAGCCCAAGCAAGGACAAGGCCCTAAACCAGTGTCTTGCATACACCCAGCCTGTGAACATGTCCAGTTACTCAGTGGTTTTCCTAACAATCTCACCGTGATGATGGGCCCGAGCCGAAACATTTGGTGAAATGTAAAGTAAATCGCAGTGAAGAGCCTGTTTCAAGAGCTGGAGAAGTGAAGACTGAAGAGTTACACTAAATTTCTGGAAAGAGAACATAACAGTATCCGTTTTTTTCTCCAAGTTCCCTTGATGGCATAATTATGCTGACGGTTTGCCTGTTCCCCCATGTGTTGTAGATCCCACCACCAGCCAACCCCTCGCTGGTGTGGTTATTCGACATGGATGACGATCCACTGGAGAAGAATGATGTTCACGAGCAGCACCCAGATATTGTCGAGAAGCTGAGGCAGCGCATAGAGGCATTTAATGCAACGCACATCAATCAAATGCCACCGCCGGTCGACCCTGCGTCAAACCCAAACAATTTCGGCGGGGTGTGGACACCGTGGATAACCAACGGTGAAAGATGACACACTGAGTCATATTAGCTGTGTGGACTAAACAAGTGTAACACTATGGCTGCACAACACAACCTGTCATAAATTTTGTAATGGTGGCAACGGCCATGCATATACTGGGTCACATGATTCACATCCCAAATACATAATTCTCCATAATTTGAGAGGATGGATTACTTGAGCAGAATACAGGAACAAGAAATTAGAAAACCAATTTGGACTTCATAACACTTTGATTTCTTCAACAGCATAGACGCGTTACCTCTCTTTACATACCTTATCCAATAAATTCAGTATTATTTTCCGATAATACGCACCATGGCATGTGTCCCCGTTACAACTGCCTGGAACCAATGAACAATACTACGGTGGCTATCGTTGTTGTGGAGTCACACTGGAACAACACAGTGTGTACAATGTCCATTGCAGACACAGCTGCATACCTACGGCAGTACTGATGTTACTGAGTGATGCATGCAGTGCCAGAGCGAGCACACCGGGTGCAAAGAAAGGCACGAACAAGAAGTCCGCCAGCGTGCTAACTTGGCAGAAAGGATATCATACAGGTAAAGAAATAGTGCAAAAACATCTAACACCTAACATGCTGAATAAACTGTACAATGAATCAAGTCTACAACAGAAGTCTGCAGCATATTTCATGGCTTCTCTTAGTTAGTCTGCAGCCTACTCATGATAAGAACTAAAATAATTGAAGTCAACGGGAAGCAGATGCAATTTCTTCTCCTGTATGCCCCGAAAACTAGCATGAGCATTACACACGTCATGGCGTAAATAAGTAGAAAATTACCCAAACTCTGTGTACGTTTTAAAACGTCATTATAATCATGACCTTGTATACCTGTTCTGTGATGGTGATTATGGTACCCACATCAAGGTGAACACCGGAAAATCATGCTGCTTCACAAAGTAACATGAGTACTATGCACTTTGCCGCTCTGATCACTCCTTTCCTGCCGTCTCGATGAACTCGATTCTGCGCTTGTACCATTGTGATTCGTTGGTGAGATTATTACGTTGAAAGAATTCCGCCAGCTGCAAAAGAAAGCAAGCAACAGCAGGTTTAGTATACAACTCTAACCAAGAGGGAGGGAGGGAGGGAAATGAACACACAAGACTGGATTGAAAAGAGCAGTGAGTACATACAGTTACCTTTTTGTAGCGGTCCACGATATTGAACCCGCACAGAACTTGCAGTTTACGAAGATCAACTGGGCACAGATACATGGGTTGACCTGTAGGGAAGATTACAGAAATCGATTATTAACAGGGTGAAAAGTGATGATTTCGATGTGCATGTTACTCGTAGATGCATTGCTTATCCTGTGCACATGGAAAAAAGCATGCTGGCATGTGAGTGATAATATTATGGCTGGATAAAGAAGATGTAGCGCGCACAGAGAACACAAGGCTCATCATCGACTTTGAAAAGACATGTTTCAAAGCCTGTGCAACGCGTGTAATTCTTTCACTGACATGCTTCTTTGATTTTCGAACACCAATCGCGAACAAAAATTAACAGCTTCCTTTGCAACAGAGACAGCCATTCGTGATTGTCTTTTTAGGAACTTACTGAAATCCTCCTGGAGGTGACCAGAACCGTTCATACAGCATGCATGGAATATGCAGTGATCGATGCAGAATAGATGGCATATCTCATGCACCAGGAGACGGCAGCTGCGCTGCAAACAAGAACATAACAATATCCATCGCAGCCAAGAGTCGGCACATCGAACCAACACAATGCAGCAACAGGCAAAGTTAGGTTCATGAATACTGTAACACATGTATATATAACGAGGAAGCAAATCTAACGTTTTAACGGATGACATTTCTTCGTTGTAATAAGATCCGTTGAAGCCGTACTGCTTCATATATGCTGTGTGTGGATATGGCAGAATACTGCAAGATCGTTAACATATCTTCTCGTTAACCTATGAATTTTGGACAATCGTTAAATTTGCGACTCGTTATAATAACATGTCTTACAGTAGTACGTGTACTACTACATTCATCATTCTGTGAGCGCCAGCCGTTGGCTGGTGAGAAGGCATCAGTGCCTGTTCGCTTGGTGAAGTAAAAGAAACAATACCATACCGTACATGTAGTAATTTTCTTAATGGAAAGTCCAGCACTGCTGACACTCATTGGAGCTGGAAGTCCAGCCTCGTACGACCTGCAGTCGATAGGCGCTCGAGCTCAAGTTCACATGCGGTGCACATACCGGTACACATATGTAGTGCAATGCCATTGGGGACAAAACGAATATTCAAATTGAATCGCATTCATCCTCTTGCTTTATGGAGCAAAAGAATGTTTGGTACAGTGAAACTTTGTTTTAAAGAAGAACACCGATAAGACAAACTTTCGCTTTAAAAGAACTTGTATCCATAACTGTATTGGATAAATCACTGTGTATTCACTGGGTATAGGATATGGATAAGAAGAACTCGAATTATTGCGAACAGATACCATTGGTCCCTGGCCTTGGTGATGATCCGAAAGAGGTTTCACTACACAGTATATTCATTTTACCACACAATACATGGGTACTACTTGTACAGGGGGGGGGGAGGGCCAGTTTAGCCAAAACTGAATACTGTAAAACCGGAAAGTTTAACGACCAAAAAGTTTAAGGTTTTTGTAATTTTGGCATGGTAACGTGCAGAAAGTTTAATAGTGGCTACCTGGCCACCGATCTGTATGTACATCTTTACACAGATATCTCGCGATAACGTTTCAAATAACGAAAAAAAATTGGTCGTTAAAACGTTAGACTTTGTGACTCGTTAGACTTTCCGGTTTTACAGCAGCTGTTGCATACTAGTATACAGGTACATGTAGTGTATGTACCAGACATGTATTCATCTAATTGCAAGTACTATTGATCCACCCTAAAACCACAACCGCTTAGGCATGAACTCTCTATAGCAATTCATTGTACTGCCACCCAACACCCAACGCATCCCGCACCCGGGATACAACTCCTATATCCTCTAGCACAATCATACCTCAACGCTTCTTATTGCTTTGCAACCGTAGAATAAACTTGTATGTAAACACTACGTGTGAACCCACAGTCTCTTGGTTAGAGACACAACAGTACATGCATATGATTTCCAGCCCCACAGGCACATATGCGGAATTTAGGGGGTCCCGCAGACCCCCGGATCCGCCCCTGTTGTACATCTAATCACAATGACAGCACAGCACTGCTAACCTGCAATAGTACTTCCTGTGATCTGCATTCACATGCAGTACTAGAATCCTCCTCCTGCCAGAGCTCATGCCAAAACTCTGATGAAAACTTCAACCCGGGCTGGTACCGATGGAAGCTAAACACCTGGAGTTTGAACAAGCAACCAGATCCACTAATGTTAGCACACACACACAAATAACAACACATACATTTGAAGCAAGGCAGCGTCTTATTTCCATAGTGCACAACCTTGTTCATGTTTCGTTGTGGACATTGACATCCGTTGAGAAATCAAGCGGCCACGGGGCGCTGGTCTTGCAGCCGCGAGCACTGCTGGTCCATTTTTGCGGTGTGAACTATAGTGCATGTACGCGCTAAGGCGGTAAGGGCGCCGGCCCCGGTCATTCCACCGGATTTCAATGTCCACTACAGTACGTACGCCCACTCGATGAAGAAATCCTGCATATCCCGCAACGAACAGATCCGGTTTGGAGTGAAACAAGTCCATCATTGTCAGCGCCACCAAACACAGAGCATCATCTGGTATGCTCCTCCGCAACCTATCCAGTACTCCGTCCACACGAAGCTGAACACGCGTGGTGCCTTCTTGCGTCTTGTGAAACCGTGCGGAGAGTGGATGACGATGGCCCTTGGCGGCCCTGCCGGACGGTTTGCACCGCTTTGCCGGTGGAGGTGCTGCTGCTGCTTCCGCAGGTTCACCGTGTCTGTTGTCGCTCTCATGCTCAGGTTCAGTTCTTACTTCGCCATTCCAGTATACCGCACTCTTGTCCACATCCAACGCCACGCCTGGCAGTTGTACGACGGGCACCGAGCCAAAGAATGCTTGTGTGTACTCAACAAGCTTATCAAATTGCTCGCTGGGAATCTCGTCACCAAACGAACCCAATGGAAGTAAGTAGATCTTGCCATCAGGATACTTCTCAGCTAGATTCTGACCTGATTTGTTGAATGTTTGTTTCATGTTCGTGAGACGCCGTGAGGCCAGCCATGGACTTTGCTCTAAGAACTGATCATACGTCTGACCAGTTTCATTGTATTGTGCTAACCAATCGTCCTCGGAAGTGGGCTTGGGTATCGACTGGAAGAATGGAGTTTCACCGTCATCTTCATAAGCAGAGTCTGGCTTGGTCAACCTTCCAAGCGCGCGCTTGACTTTCGCAGCTCCGGGAGGTTTGAATCCTGGTGCAAACGGCACACTGGCCACTGCTTCACCAGCCTTTCGCTTTCTGCTCGTTTTCGACATCTAGAATGGGCACATGGGGGAATTTCGCAATCGGGAACTGACCCTGAACATGCTAGTTTCCTCCCATCATGCTAGCAATTAGCAGTATGTACTGGACTTGGAAAAATTGGCAGCGTGAAAGTAGCCCTGGATAAGTGCTCTTCTCTTGCTGTAGTTCTGGTTGTGAACATTTTTATTTCGATTGCCTGCGACAAGAAGAGAGAAAATCCACCTGTGTTTCAAATCGATGTCAATATCGGAGCCACGGCCGCCAAGACTGCATAAGGGAATTCCCCTCTATGTCAACACCAAGGCAAGGGAGCATTGGAGACTGATGCACTGATATGGAGACTGTATCCCGGACCCTGGTTGACAAACTCATGAGTCATGCTTACGAATAATTCTATTGAATGCAGCCACCTACTATACTGTACTCAGTACCTGTCTGTGAATACTACTAGTACATGTACCAGTACTTATAATGCCTATAATGTCTCTTTGTCGCAAAAACCTCCGAGTCTCAATATTGAGTCACCACTGGATTATTTCTGGCCGGGCTCCATCCTCAGGCCGGGTGAAACAATAAAGTTTCATGCGGTTTTACTTCTCTTTTGCTCAACATGACCCCCTTCCCCCGCGCATGGGGCATCATTGCATTTTCGGAGTCCATGGGTACAGCACTTATTTAGTTTTTTTTTGCGGCTCCAATTAATTATTTCCTCAGCACGGGAAACACGCTGGATGTCGCCATCATACGGACGCCCCGAGCTGCTAATTACATGTACTGGCAAAGCTGGTCCTGTGTGGAGGTTGCGAAGAACCCAATTCAAACCTGATACATTGACAGGATATTACTGAGGCACGCTCACAAAACCCCAAAAACGGTTCTTCAAGTGCCCTGATTGCCTGGCCTAGGCCTGCAAGTACTGTAATTAGTTATGGCTTCCTCAGTCGGTCACGGTAGTCCTATGACTACCGTGACCGAGCGCAGATTATACACATCATAAAATTAATATACAGTGGCTAGCACAGTTCATACAGTCATGTGCAGTAAGAGAGGAGAGGGAAATCCAGTGCAACTGTCAGTTCTACATTGCTCATGCATGCTGCACAGCGGGGTCTGGCAATGGCACCAGCTTGTTCGTGACCACTGCCTCAGCACACGGAACCTTACAGTTCATATACAGCTGTGATAATACAAAGAAAAACGATGACACAGAAGGCTCTCAGAGTAGTGGGTCCAGCCCGACATAAAACGTACAACTGATATAAAATTCAAAAGAGATATGATCTAAAAGGATATGGCTAAAATCTGTAGAAAGCAGAAAAGTACGGGAAGTAGTGGTAAGTCAGACCCAAAATCCTAAAAATCATTGCTAAGAACTACAGTGCATTTCAAAACTATAGACGCGTAGGGTTTTTGAAATATTTCAAATTTGGCTGGAACTTTTTGAGAATAGTTTTCGGAATATTGCTCAAGATCGCTCCACAATTACTCTCATATAGTTTCTAAAGGATTGGATAACAGACGCCCAATTTGGAAAAATTTATGCACAAAGTGATCACAGATTTTATGTGGTATAGATGCTGGCATAACGGTTTTTGCCTAGGTACGCGTCTATAGTTTTGAAATGGACTGTAGAAGAAAATAAATTCATGTATTGGGCATAGAGGGGTCCAAACACAGTTTTCAAACATAGAATTGGGAAGACTCCTTTGAAGTAAGATCCAACACTATGTCCTGGTAAAACTCTTTGATGATCTAATATCACAGCACAGGGCTGTAGTAACTGTTAGTCCGTTGAGCAAGGTATGATATACTGTAGTGTCACTGTAGCCACTGTTAACTACGCGTAATCAACTAACCTGGACCCAGCCTCATCCCGAGTCCAATGACTGCAGGTAGCGGTCTATCCCCAAAGCCCTGGCCAGCAGACAACGGTTTTAGAACTCACATACTTCTCAGTGCTATCTCCAAGAGCGAATGAGGAGTTCCCTGGCCATGCAAAGTTACGATCGGTACTAACGGGTGTGCCACTACGTGTCTCCGTGATCTTCTATGAATTTGATTCGTCGCTGGTACCAGTTATACTCACTGCTCAGGTTGTTGCGCTGAAAGAAATCGGCCAGCTGTGCAAAAGGAGAAAGGAAGAGAAAATTCAGATGGAACCTTTCCCTGGCAACCAGCACAATCGAGCACAAAGGAACTGAAGACCTGCATGCAAGCCTTTTGCGGAACCTTTGCGGAGTGGTGCTACACAATAAAATTTCACCATGGCAGGCCAGCAAGGGAACCAGTGCTCCAATCCCAACAAATCAAACTCACCTTCACTTGGCTTCAGTAGGCTAGCCGAGTCGGAATAGTTGCTGCAACAGCTTCAGCCAGCTACGGCCCTAATCTGGGGAGCTACCAGCACATTGATTGGCCCCAAGTGCACAATGTACTTGTACTTGGTCATAATAGCATGCAGCGGAGACAAACTGATGCAGGCGAAATCCATGCATGTGCACAAAGGCATTGCTAGCGAGAATACACAGGGGTAGCCGTTTCAGTACCAGACAACTTGCATGCATACACAGCACACCCACCTTTCTATAGCGATCCAACACGTCAAATCCGCACAGAACTTGCAGCTTGCGAAGATCCACACGGCATAGTTGCATGGGCTGACCTACAACAATCACCAGCAGCAGTGCAAGTTTAGGTGAAATGTCACTAACAATTCGTATACCATTGGACACCTACATTGAAGCTACCTTGGATCATCATCCAAAGCGACACTATACAACTATCAGACACGGGACACTGTCCTTATGGTCCAGTCAGTCGAATCCGTCATTGAGGGGTTGTAAGTAGCGGTGTCGTTCAAATGTTCTTGTATGTTCGTATCGCAATCGACTACATCCATTAGTACAACTGGACTACTTTTGATTGAGGTGACTTTTCGTAAGCTGCTTAGTGCGCGAGCTTGATCTCTGGACAGATTTGAGCCAGGGGGAGGAGGAGCTCAGTGCTTCTCGTACCGTCTTGCAAGTAAAGTCGAATGTCACTCATCCGGTCGCCAGTTATCCGAGCACGTCGGTTATCCGACAAGCCCGGGCGTGGTAATTTTATGACTCAACAGTAAAATTATTTAAAAAAACTTTTTTTGTATATTATACGGTGTAATATGCATTTACTTGAAGTAGATGTGGTCAAGTATGCTAACATGTATGTGTACATGGAGCAATTCATGAATATGCATGAATATATTTGGGTATTGTGTACATAAATCAGTGAAATCCAGCCATATATGCACATAAAAAATGATATCAGTTATCCAACATATTCAGTTATCCAACATGCCTGATTCTCGAAGTGGTCGGATACCGTAGAGTCGCGGATAAAAGCCGGGTTTGCATACAAGCACATCGCAGATAGAAGCCTGGAAATCGAACGGGTCAATGCATATAAGCCTGTCGCGCGTAGAAGCCTGGCTTCTATGCAAGCACGGATCGGGTAGGTCAAGAGCAGGGAGTCGTCAAATACCGGTATTTGACGACTCCCTGGTCAAGAGTGCATGCGCTATGTACAGTGCATAGTAAAACTGCCGCCATGCCGGTAGTCAGTGGTAAATCTACGCGTGTCGCGCGTAGAAGCCTGGCTTCTATGCAAGCCCGGATCGGCCGATGTGCATACAAGCCTGGCAAAAATATCAGTGGCGCATATAAGCATGGTTTGCATACAAGCCTGGTTTGCATTGAAGCCTGATGCAGGAAGCGGCTTATGTGCTTATAAGCCCGGCTTTTATCCGCGACTTTACGGTAAGTGACATTCGACTGTAGCCAGTGCTAGACCCCTGCATTCATCAGGGAGTGTGTTCGCCCACATCTCTGTTCGTGCGATGCTCTCCTATCTGGGGACTGCTTTAGATGGAACGGCAAAATCCAGACCCAGTTCCAGGTCTGTTTGTCCTTTCGTGAGAACGTGTGATGAAAGGTGTATCACACTTGGCTTGTTGGTCGGAGCGGGTGTCCGGGATGTTCGTGGGCGAAGCTTCGCTAGCTCTTTGCTGTGCAGTTCGCTGGCACGTTGGTGGGTGATTATGCCTAGGTGAGTGATCCATTTCCAACCTTTAGTGACCGTGGAGCTTCTTTCTATGCATTCAATCCAATCCTTGATGGCTTGCTGGGTTTTCATTTGTTGTTGGTGGATTTTGAAATTAATTTTTTTGGTGTACTCTCTTAGAATTGTGGCATTGCCTGGTACCAGTGCTGCCTTTACCATTCTGAAGTCGGTTGCTTTCGTCCTATTGAGGTACTTGGGCGTCACATTGTAGGCCTTGCATTGAACTAGAATTTCCCTTTTTTGCCATTGTTTTCTGTAGAGTTACCGTCGATTTATGCCATCATTGTAACAGTAGTCGGGAACAACAACAACAACAACATCTCTTATTGGCGATGGTGCCATCGTGAGAATAAAGAATTCAAAACAACAACAGCAACAATAACCCACAAAACATTATTCAGACAAGAAGACACACAAAAAAGTATAGCGACTACGAGATTATTACGAAGTACATTTGACGCACAGTCACTGACACAAAATGTCCTAACAATAATTATAACATACACCAAAACTCAAAATATTCCGCCCCCCCTCCCCCCCCCCCCCCCCTCCCTAGAATATAGAGTGTCCAAACCAGGGTTGTCCCCTTACTGTTCAGATAGGTGTAAGACTGGGACTTTGCCAACCGGTTTATGGTTGTAGTCAGGAGCACTGCTGTAATATGCTGTCATCGTTAAAACATGATAAACTGGTTATGTACTCCTGGCAATACGTAAAATCAAGCCGAGGATCATGGAACTGTCAAAGAGTGCAGTGCGGTCAGACTAGACTACAGTCTGTTTCAAAAAGATTTACAATCAGGTTTGGGTCTTAAAAAGTATGAAGATAAGGGAAATTTGGACAACAAAGTACATAGAATGGCTTGTTAGGACACGGCAAATTGTTCTGTGAAGGTTTCGGAACAATTGGACCAACCGTTAAGGAGTTAGAATTTCGGCCAGGTTTCCGGCCTTTTCCCATGGTTTACAATTTGTCCAGGAAGCCAGTATCGATTTTTTATCAAAACCCACGATTTATCCTTTCCTTTTTGGCCTTGTGGTTATGAATGCTGTCTGCTGACCATGAAGTTGTGAGTTCAAATCCCAACCTATCCTCAAGTCAAACTTTTTTATCATTGTTTTGGTGATCAAGCTGGTTCAAGACAAAGAAGATGGCTGCACCAAACGACTTGTTGTTGGAGCTCGCGCTTCCTGCCGAACTGACTGACACTTGACTGGCTCATGCTATGTGAACACACCACACCCACAACACTGCAATGGTGTGAGTGAATTATAATGGAAGTCATCGCGCTGTAGCTTTTTGAGATTTATTTTAGTATTTCAAGATCGCCAATTTATTTGAATTTGTAGCAGTCAACGCCGTCTTCTACATGTATATCAGCGTTCACAAGCGTCTGCTTTTCTCAAAATGTAGTCGAAGTCACACGGATAGCTTTGCCAAGTCATGGCCTTGGGAATGAGTCCGTGTCGATGTTGTTTTCGTCACACGGTGAGTAAATTGCATCGCAGCTCAAAGAAACTATTTTGGTCACAAAACGAATTGGGACCCATGCCGCTCGTCAACATTTACAACACTTTCGTTTTGACATGTCCTCTCTGACTCCATTATCGATACGAGGAAGAACTCGTTTGTTGTAAACCAGACGTACACATGGTACATGACTGTATCAACGTGAGTGAGTTGTCATTTTTCCTGCTTTCGCGCGGAATATTTCTTCAAGTTCACAGTGAGTTTTTCCAGGCAGCGCTCGAGTGCTCATACGGTAAGACGCCAAACTCCGCGGGCGATCGCCAGGATTGCAAATCTTTTTGAAACGGACTGTAGTACAGTATTATGGAAAAAGACTTTACTCTGTTCCTACACCACACAAGACTTACTGAAGTCCTCCTGGAGGTGGCCAGATCCATTCATACAGCAGGCATGGAATATGCAGTGATCGACTCCGAGCAGATGACATACTTCATGCACCAGTAGACGGCAGCTGCGCTGGAAGAAAAAGGAAAAGGGGGATTCGGCTCTTGTCAATCTCTGACTTACTAGTATTGAAAAATATGTCAGAGAAGACTCGGATGAGAGCCAAGGATTACTTAAAGGAAGAAAAAGTAACTGGTGGTGTTAGTGGACATTATAGTGTAACTTGTAGTTTCTTGGTCCTTTTTCTTCCTATAAATTATGTCAGAGAAGAGATTGAGAAAAACCTAACCGTTGCTGATAATCTTCTCCAGACGCTGTGATTGATACAGCATGGTACTTCCAAGTATGTTCCTACCTTGTCACTGGACCTGAATTACAGACAGGTTCTGAAATGTTTGGTGCGCTGTGCAAGTGTTCAGCATGTCCATACCAAATTACTGTGCACAAACTGGTCTTCTGCCCTGTAACATGCTGCCATGATCATAACTGGTAAACTCACAAGCAATGCTTGCATATACCGGGTCTGCAAGTGTAGGTGAACAAAGCAATGCAGCGGAATCAACTCTCACCAGTAGAAGTGTTTCTTGTAACACTGCCGCACTGCCGGAATCCTCGCGCCACACATCGTACCAAAACTCTGATGAGAAGCGGATTTCCGGGTGGTACCGAAAGAAGCTAAAGACCTGAAAACACCGGACCAACGCAGATACCAGAAAGCATCCATTGGCCAACATAGTCCGTCTGGGCGGACTATGTTGGCCAAAGACTTTTTGGTGCAGTAACACTTGCAAGACCAATCCTGGAATGGGGAATGATTCTCGACTACACACCGACCCTTTCATAAGCAATAACAGAACTTTATGAATTGTGTGATGCTGAAGGGAACTCAAAGAAATAGACACGGTCTTAGAACAGTGTGGGCTATGCCGTCTCAACGATTGAACGTATTCTAGGAGATAATTTCTCAACTGCAGTGCTGGCAACTGAAATACGACCCCAGCTAGACGCGCTCACATTGCGAAAACCCAACAGGTGCTTGTACACTACCAAATAGAGACCACTAGAGTCAGTGCTGCATTCGAGCACGAAAATCAGGGGTCGGATTTCAGTTGCCACCAATGTAGCATGGCACTGTGAAGCAGCTCAACTCACAGCAACACGCCGTGCCCCAGCTGCCATGCCAGCAACAAACAGGTCAGGCTTGGTGTCGAACAGATCTGCCATTGTCAGTGCTACCAGGCACAGCGCATCATCAGGTATGTTGTGACGAAGTTGCTCCAACACACCGTCCACACGAAGCTGAACGCGACTGGTGCCATCGTCCGTCCGATGAAAACGCGCCGATAACGGATGGCGTCGCACCTTTGTAGCCCCGCCGTCACGGGATGCCTTGCGTCGCTTTGCAGGTGGTGATGCCCCGGCCCCAGAAGAAGCCGGGACTCCATGCCTATCACTGTCACTCTCTGCTTCAGTTCTGACTTCACCATTCCAGTACACTGTACTTTTATTCATATCCAGCCCAACTTCAGGTAGCTGCACAACCGGCACTGAGCCAAAGAATGCACGTGTGTACTCAGCAAGCTTATCAAATTGTTCGCTAGGCATTTCATCGCCAAATGAACCCAACGGGAGTAGGTAGATCTTGCCATCAGGGTACTTTTCCACCAGATTGCTGCCTGATTTATTGAAGGTTTGCTTCATGTATTTGAGGCGTCGACTAGAGAGCCAGGGGCATTGTTCAATAAACTCATCAAACGTTTGTCCAGTTTCATTGTACTGAGCCAGCCAGTCATCCTCACAGGTTGGCTTCGGCACAGGGTGAAAGAAAGGCGCCCGGTCATCATCCTCATACGCTGCATTGGGCACGTCCAGCTTTCCAAGTGCACGTTTGATGGCTGCTGCCGCAGGTGGTTTGAAACCTCGTGCGAATGGCACAGTGGCAACACCTCCCTTCTTGCCTTTTCCTTTCCTAGCCATAGACATCTTTCCAGAGCAAGAAAGAACTTGCTAACATACGACATACACAAAACCACGATCTCTATGGCTGATGAGATATTGCAGCCTGTTTTCGGAAAATCTGGTGCAGCTGTAGCCCGCGGCCCGCTCAGCTACCTACATGTAGCCTAGGTACAGTACAACAGGAAAACAAAAAAATGCCCTGCTCAGTGGCCTGGGGCACGAACTGAGTAGATTTGCTGACATACTATCCTGCACTGGCTGCAGTGCTGCACCTGCACAGGATAATAATGATCTTCTTCATCTTCTTCCCCAGAATAAAACTGAAAAGTCGCGCGCAAACAACAACTTTTGCCGACTTTTTTTGTCCAAAACAGGACAAAAACGTATGTGTGACGTCATGACCAAAGAGTGCATGCCCTCAATTTTTTTGCTTCTTTCCTTTTTCATAGGAAAGAAAGACATTTTTGGAGGCAGGAGCAAACTTTGAAGCGGCTCCAAAGAGAAGCTACACATGCACAGGGTAGACCGGACGTTGGGAGCAGCTGTCGTTGTAAATTTTATGGTCGCCTAAACGCTAAAGTAAGGAGTATTTTGCAGTAGAAATCGCTGGACGTGAAAGTGAAGACTTCGATCGTAATTTGCTGGGTTGAGTGGAATCCAATTTTATCATCCTACATCGTGCGTTTCATTCCTGAGAAAAGCAGCCAAGTGGTCTTGGAAATAGTGTTTGTCCACCAGTAGGGTGAGGATTCGAGATGTATCCAGCTGATACTGAACTGACGTAGTAGTACTGTTGGAATACTGGGAGATAGCCCACTGAGTCAGAGCTTCAGAAATGGAGTCCCCTTGCTTGTCAAGGCATGAGCTCACGACTCTCCTGCAGAAGTGAGTACTGTAATATCATGATGACTGCGCCTGTGTGTGTGATGTGATGTGGTGTGTGTGTGTGTCTGTGTCTGTGTCTGTGTGTGTGTGTCTGTCTGTCTGTCTGTGTGTGTACATGGTGTGTATGTGTGTGTGTGTGTGTGTGTGTGTGTGTGTGTGTGTGTGTGTGTGTGTGTGTGTGTGTGTGTGTGTGTGTGTGTGTGTGTGTGTGTGTGTGTGTGTGTGTGTGTGTGTGTGTGTGTGTGTGGTGTCATGATAACTGTGGCAGGATGAATGCACTGGAAACTCTGGTAGCATGACCCGAGTTCGTAGCTTGATGTGATGCGTGTGCATGATCAATGTGCAAAATTAAATTTAGTGAATATTGGCACTCCCACAAGTGTCATGAGGTGTGGCTGTTCCAGTAACACTAATGCATGTACTGTGTATCCTGCTTATGCAGCGCTAGGATTTGCTATATCATGCACAGTTCTGTGCATATGAATACTGCATGCGCTTATTGTGCAAAGTGATCTGATGTCTGCCTGAACAGCGTGCGCCGGGTTGGTAGGTCACTGTTAGAACACTGTTCTTTGAGTCACGGGTCAGTTCAAGTACATGGTCACTTGAGTCTAGTTGCTACTCTGAGTTTCTTGTTCAAGCAATCACCAGGCAACTGATAACAATCAACACAGAGAGTAGTTCATTGATTCGTGAGCTCATGTATATATTGTAGCGGCCACTGAATTACGCTCTGATGGACAGCATCTGGCTTTGTTATCGCAGTAAAGAGAGAGAGAGAGAGAGAGAGAGAGAGAGAGAGAGAGAGAGAGAGAGAGAGAGAGAGAGAGAGAGAGAGAGAGAGAGAGAGAGAGGGGGGGAGAGAGAGAGAGAGAGAGAGAGAGAGACCGCCAGTGTATGCTCTCTTGTGCCGGCTAAAAGTATTGTCACAATAAATGAGTTGGTGGGTGGTAGAGAATGGAAGAGTGCATGACTCATGTATGTGTCGGTGATGGCTATCACTGAACTGAAGGAGGCTGTTGTGTTGACCCTGCACCCTACATCCTAGTTTGCACTGAGCTCAGCTTTAGTCAAGCGAATAGGTGGCTGTTGCACCAGTGTTTCGTCTTGAAAAACAGTGGGCGCGTTCGATTACACACAAATCGGTCAATTCTAGAATTAGTTATTGTTGATGCACAGTTCGATTACACAAACTCCTTCGTTAGAATTGATTTTGTGATTTTTATCCAATTCCGTCAATTCTGAAGAGAGGGTGGAATTTCTCTAATTCTGGCGCTAGAATTGCACACTCATGTGTTACCGGTCTGGGCATGCATGACTCAAGTCAAGGAAGAGCTTCCCTGGCCGGTGTAGCCCGAAAGCAGGGCTACAACTACATGTAGTTGCTACTTTTGTCTTCCCGAAAAGCTAATTGCCGCAGTTGAGTTTCCGCTGGGAGCTGATTATTAGACCAGATCATTTTGGGTGGTCCTTTCGCACACGCGTTCAGCTTTATCGAAGCCCAATATTGTTGCCGACATGGAGCCTTCACCGCGAAGCTGGGACTACGTTCGCGCGAGGGTATACGTGATCTCTTTTTACGACCAATTTTGTTTGTGATATGCCATGAAAAAAATGTGTTGTGAATTCCAGTCGTTCGTTTACATGGCCGGAATTCGTACATTCTTGTCATTCGAGAATTACAAAACCCAGTTCCAGAATTGTGTAAACGTGTAATCGGAAGCACCCAATGTGAGCCGTACGTGGTACAACCAGTGACCTTGTTGAAATCCACCCTCCTTGCCTTTCACAGCACATGGCACACGGAATATTAAAAACTGGATTCCATCAACATTTGCCAACTAGGACCCCCTCCTTGCTCTTTGCTTTGTTGTGCTTTGGTGTGGTGATGAGTCGAATGGTTGCTGGAGTCCCTTGTATTTTTCTCTCTCTCTCTCTCTCTCTCTCTCTCTCTCTCTCTCTCTCTCTCTCTCTCTCTCTCTCTCTCTCTCCTGCGTATGTATTCATGTGTGTGTGTGCAGTGTCCTGTCTGAGAATGCCATGGGTGCAAGCCTGGAGGTGATCTGGCAGCACTTCAACAGGGAATTTCCGAAGGCAGACCATTTCCGCATTGGCGAATCACTGGTAAGCTTTCATCTTGTTGTTGGGGATACGTGAAATCAAGAGTACACAAGCTCCCAAGAGTGTGTAACTCTTGATACCCCTTCTATGGGGTCTACCGAACTGGTATAGTGTTTCCATTGTACAGGCGAAGGCCGTTTTAGCGACCAATAGTGTAGTAAAGTAGCACTCCCGGACAGAAACCCATTCAGCTTATGCGAGTCCTCAGCATGATCATGGCAGATATTCAGACTGCGCGCATGCTGGCCTTCGTTGTACGTAGTGCAAATCGTACTTGGAACACGTTATGTGAGTTTTCTTGGTGAAATACTTAGGGAGAGCTAAGGCGACTTTCCCTTGTGTGAGCAAAGCCAGCAGGCATATTGCATTTAACATGAACCATTTGGGTCCTACATGCGTGCTTCCTCTAAGTTAATCCACTGTTCTTGTTCCTTTGCCTGTATTTCACCTGATGAGAAGGCTTGAAAGTATACTTGTGAAACCGAAAACTTTCAAGATGTTTGTCAAGAGCCTGAAGCGTGTCCTTTTTCTGAATAGTATCGCATTCTTGTCTCAGAGGAAACTGCTTCCTCTAAGTGTTTGCATTTTACCCTTGCTACAACTCCGGGAGTCTCCCGATAGCCCCATCCACTGACCTGTTTACTAGTATCTGAGTACATGTATTGTATGTTCCTTGATGTGTATTCATCTTTTCCAGATGCTGTTATTAGCTGAGCCAGATCTGCTGTCCAGCAGTGCACAGAGGATAGGCGCCATGAGCATTCTGTTCAGTGTCTGCTCAGAGCCAGTGGAGTCGAACCCGTTTGCACCGTTCTTTGCCCAGCTCCTGCAGGTATGTGCGTCCCGTGTGTGTGGTGTGGTGTGTGTGTGTGTGTGTGTGTGTGTGTGTGTGTGTGTGTGTGTGTGTGTGTGTGTGTGTGTGTGTGTGTGTGTGTGTGTGTGTGTGTGTGTGTGACTTGTGCTATGATGCACATATTCACACCAGTACTCACTGGGCCATTTGGTTGGAGGTACATCAGATATCAACTGCGTATGCAGCTCTATAATATTCTTTGGGGTGTTGCCATGCCCTTACAGTCCATTCAGAAAAAGATGGACTTCTAGCTTTTGGCCATAAATGGGTCAAACTTTGAGTTTTTTTTTAGAATTTTTTTCCGCCATCCCCTATGGAATCCTCTTCCAATTATGTTTCTGAATTTTTTTGTCCAAAAAGCAAGCCATAGCAAGAATAGGATTTCGGCCAGGTTTTACCCCAAAAGCACTGAATCGGGAAAACCATCAAAATCCAGGCCGTTTGACCCCGCCTGCAACAGTGCATTGTGCGGTTCGAACCCCAGTTCAGGTACCTTTTTGGACCCTTTTTCAAATTTAAGTTCGCAGCACTGCACTGTGTACGATGAAATCACGAAAAATCGCCAAATACGGGAGCTCGCCAGAGCCAGGGCCCATCTTTTTATGAATGGACTGTAGTCTACCAATAGTGGGAGTATCTTTGTAGAATCTTGCCATCCCATTTTCTGAATTAAGTTTCTACATCCCTCATTGTCACTGTGCTGTTTTTGGTATTGTGCAGTGTCCATCATCAACACCGAATAGCAGCACTCCACCTTTGGCATCGCCACAAGAAAAAGCTTTCTTGGCTCGACTGGTAACTGGTCCAACAAGAGAGGTGCGTGTACATGTATAGTATGTGTGTGCCTGTGTACGCTTGTGTCTGTGTACATTTATGTGTATGTGTGCATGTGTCTGTCTGTATCTGTGTATATTTTTTATGTGTGTGTTATCTGGCCGGGGCAAGTGCATGCAGCCTCAATTCCCCTAGTGTTCTGCCCTGTGGTGCCAGAAAAAGTTCAATTTTCTGAAACCATGTACATGTATTACCAGTGCAGAGATACTTTGGTGTACATTTCCTTCTGTGTACTGTTTGGCACGTGGGGATAATGTGCGTTGGTTAACAGCAAGTACTAGAACTCAGAGCTACAGTGCGCCTTTTTTGCAAGCCGTGTATTACTGTACACATGGCGGGTGTTCTGTTGGCTTTCCAATCTCCGCTTGTCCTGCTAGCAGGCCACGAGCACTGTGGGTTCATGTGAAGCTGTATTGGCACTGAACACTGAAATGTGAACATGTTCTCCAGATATTGCCTGGTCTGTCCAGTGTTTGACCATCGCTTGGGTTTCTCTTTAGTTCTTGTTTGACCTGTGCTTTGAACCTGTTACTGCTGTTGCTGTTGCTCGCATTCAGCTTTTCAAGGAGTCATGCCGGTATATTGCCTCAGCTGATGTCTCGGTGAGTCAGGATGCCTTTGAACTTCATGTGTATAGTACCTAGGCATCACATCTAGCACTCATCACTTTTCTCTAGTGTATATGTGCTAGCACATGTAAAGTCGGTAGCAAGCTTCAGATTCGTGTTGACAGTATCCAACTGCTCTAAAACAAGCGCCGAAATCACTACTTCTATCAAAGTTGATAGTATACGTAGTTTGAACTGGTTTACTGTGTTCTATAGCACACTTTGCTAGTATCCTCGTGTCACCCCGTATTGTGGTACGTTACGTGTATACTATTCACACGCCAAGTTTGGTGAGATCCTTCTAGATACACACTACCTTGGCACTGTGGGCTGTCGCCCTTTCATCACACATACAGTAGCATTGAAGAGCAGGTAGTGTGTTGCACAAGCCCAGCCACTACTCTCCTGGTGCTGCTGTTGCTGGCTTAGTCAAGCTATTTCTCTGCCTTGCCATGCTCATCCTCCAAGTTCTTGTGATAGCGTCTGACCGTCTTGTCTGCATGCATGTGTTGTTTTGCTTGGTATTTCCCCCTCAGGCGATAAACTATGACTACAGTAAGATCGCCTCTAGATTATGCCAAGCTCAGAAGTCCTATCCACCTCGTGTGCAAGTCGGCCGATCTTGTGTCATTGCTGATCCCGGTCCTGACACACAGCCCGGGTATGTACGCACCTGTGTGTGCGTGTGTGTGTGTGTGTGTGTGTGTGTGTGTGCTATATTTACTCATGTGGGTACCCGTGTGTGTATTTAATCATTGTGGCTGCTCATTGTCTCCTTGTTTTCTTGTCTTCAATAGGAGACCTGATTCGCAGGCTGTTTGGATGACTGCTGAGCAGCTATTTCTAGGTTGGTTGGCAAATTTAGTTTGTTGGGATTTGTTCATGCACATGTAGCTGCTGCAAATGTTCAAATCTGCTCTGTTGACTGTCACAGATTTAGCTGCTATTTTGGAAGCACTTGGCCTGTCTGTTCTTTGTTAATTGGTCATACATAGGCCTTTAGACAAGGGCTGGGGTGGGAGAGAGGCGGATGATACCAGCAGAAGAAGCAAGGCGTGACAAGAACAAAAGGACAAGATTTATTATAGGGGTATAGGGGCAGTGAGTGGCTGTAGACAATAGTGCTGCTGAGGTTTACTTCATACATGTAGGTCCAGAATAAGAAACCCATACTTACTAAGTTACTGTAAATATACAAATTTTCGGCAGCTATTTAATTTCGGCTATATACGGCACCGACCCAAAACGCCTAAATTAAAACGCCGATGAAATTTTTCACAGCATCTGTTGCACTATACCATGCCCTCTGCCCCACGCCGAAAATAAATCGCCGCCGAAGTGTCAAAAATCGTGAAGTGCCGAAATTTTGTATATTTACAGTACTTCATACAATCATGTAGGTTACCAGACTCACCCAACCATAAGTCTTGGGCTGATAGTCTTCTTCTGCTTCTTCTTCCTCTTCCTTGTGTGTGTGCTTTCTGGATACAATCGTCCGAAGTGGAAATATATCACCTGAGTATTTCTTGTTATTACTGTTGCTACTTATGCTGATGTTGTTGCTGCTCCTGCTGCTGCTGATGTTGTTGTTCTTGTTCTGGTATGTATGTATGTAGGCGATAGCCGGTGTCTTGGTACATTTGAGCCACCAATGCTGAGACCTCCACCACCACTACATACAGTCGAAGATGAGGTGAGTGTGTAGCTGATACATCTATAGCTTACTCAATATCCGGACGGCTAGCTGCTTTGACCTTGTTAAGTCACCGGCCAAACCGGTTGCAATGAGGTCCAGTCAACAACAAAGCTTCTTTTTCTTTTTTTAATGACTCAAAGCCTCAAAGATGACCAAGTTGAAAGAAGTGCCGCACTGCCTGAACTGATCAACTAAGAACAGCCTTTCTTTTTTTAATCTCTGTCTGAGGTGAGCAAGTACAGAGTAGTCAACCCAATTTGAGATGTCAATTCGCCCCAGATGTGGGGGTTGAAATCAACCTGGGTTGAGCCTTTGCTAGTAACCCTGGCCAAGGGAAGCTCATCACGTGAACGCTCCAGTCAATTGTGTTGAAACTCTCGTGTAAACACAGCCTCAGCGATGTGTTTGTGCGTGTGCTTGTGTGCTTGGCTTTAACTTAGCTAATGTGGTTAAATCCGCCAATGTCTCCACCGTCCATCCAGTGGGATTACACGATGTGCATACCAGTAGCAACCACACAGGAAAGTAAGTACATGCACAATGTTCTATGTACAGGGTGCAGGGTGGAATGAACACAGTGTTCTTGAAGTAGTAAGTAGTTCTGCTGCAGCTTGAAGAGAAAGGTCGCTTGATGTGACCACTCATCCAGTAGTACATGTGCGACCTGAAGTAGACAATGCATTTGTGTGTGTGTGTGTGTGTGTGTGTGTGTGTGTGTGTGTGTGTGTGTGTGTGTGTGTGCGCGCGCTCGTGTGTGCGTGCAGGCATGCGTCTGTGTGGCTTGCATTGCTGTTCTTATTTTTTCCCGCTACATGTACCTCGTCTTTGCACTTCACGTATACTGTGTTCTTGGAATTTCAGTGCACCGTGGCTTGTGTTGTTCATCCTGTGATGGGTATGAAGTGAATACAAAGTCGTATGTGTTCCATCGCTGCTTGTTTTCTTGTACAGCTGAAACGGAGCTCAAGCAGGTACTGCAAGATGCATGTCGGTCTGTTCTAAATCCACAGCAGCAGAACGTAAGTTTTGTGTGCGTGTGTGCGTGTGTGTGTTTGATGGGGGGGGGGGGACTACTGTAAGACATGTTATTATAACGAGTCGCAAATTTAACAATTGTCCAAAATTCATAGGTTAACGAGAAGATATGTTAACGATCCTGCAGTATTCCGCCATGTCCAAACACAACATATATGAAGCCATACGGACTAAACGGATCTTATTATAACGAAGAAATGTCATCCGTTAAAACGTTAGATTTACTTCCTCGTTAAATAAACATGTCTTACAGTAACCTAGATTTGCAGTTGCTTTCTAGAGGCTGGACATTGTGATATATCGACTGGAACATGTTGCAGAGAGGTAAACCAATGTTGAACTTGCCGATGCTTTCTACGTGCAGTGGCTAGCGGAGGAGGCTGGAGTGCGACTATGTTGCCTTGCCTGGTTGCAGATGTTTTTGGAACGATGTGCCAATTGTGATTGGATGTTCTCTCTTCCTGTTTGATATTGCTACAGTTCTTCCTTTCTAAACTAGAAGCCGACCCTGATCTCATCTACCACATTGGCCTCACTCCTAAAAAGGTACTGTTTTTTAATGACTTTTACTTAGCGCACCATTCATAAAACCTTTTAAAACTTTGTCCGAAAGTGAAAAATAAGACCAGATGAAATTAGGAAGGTCTTCTCCACTTATTCGTTGAAGAAAAACCCCATTTCGAATCCCATTTCCCACTTGCCTGACAATGCCGTCAGAATGGCCCCTAAAAATGTTGCACTGCTCCAGGCACATGACACATGTTGTGCTATTTCGCTTTATGTCTGCTCTCCAGCTGCCGAAATTGATTGAATACAATCCTCTTGTGGCCATCGAGGTCTTGCTGAAGCTAACAACGACCAGTGCCATCACCGAGTACGTATTTTATCATGTTTCCCCATGTCCTGTTCTGTTCCCAACTTGGCCTTTGCTTCAGCTTGGTTCTTTCACCTTGGCTGTCTATCGATTTCAAGCTTACTCTCCATATTCCACGTTCCCCGTACCGTGCATGTTGCACTTGTATTGGTATTGGTATTTGTATGTATGGATTCTCCACAGGCCTTAGCCTAAATCGAGGGAGTCTCCGTCATTAACTGTGTTGGGAGTGTGTGTACACTCTGTACATGAGAAGCTGAAAAAGTGCACTTGCTGATTCATTTCATGGCTGTTGTGTATCACTGCTGTATTATTCTATTCTTGCAGTTATTTCGGGGAGATCATTACGATGGAGATGTCTCTTCACTCCATGGAGGTTGTCAATCGTCTCACTACGGTATGTTCAGGTTCCTGGGTGTGGGTGTGTGTGTGGGGGGGGGGGGTATGTGCACAGACACATACGCACATACCTTGGTCCTTGGTAACACTGCCATCAAATGCCAATGGTCACGTGTCCCCTGTGCACGGGTCGACAGCACTGAGTTCAGCATTGGATCCAGAAACGCCGCTCTACTTCTTGGACAGGAAATTAGCACAGCTATGCAGGTCGAAACCACGGGATGACTTGCAGCAGCGACCGCAGCCGAGACAATGCGCTCTGCAGCAGGGCAGGGCAACCCGCTCTTTCCGGACCGAGTCTGCCGATGCCACAACCGAGACCGACGCCACTTCAGCAGCCGAGTTGGAGAGACACTTATGCGAAGCTAGCCCGCCAGCACTCAAAAACCATCTCCCGGACGCATTACATAGTCGGCTGCCGGACTGCTCAGATATTGGTTTCCTCCTCTCGGCCAGGCACTTGTGGCGATTCTTGTATTTCTGGTGGGCGAAAGTACGCTGGCAGACATTGCAGAGCACAGAAGTGTCACGCTGAGCCGATCGCGGTACTGGTTGAGCGGAATACGCACTGCGCCATTTCTCACGCTCCTGGGCGAGGTCGTACCATTCCACGTGGTCGATGTTCATTGTGGAGAGGTCAGCTCTGACAGAGTCTCGCCACCGTTTCCGAGGACCGCAAGCCGGCCTCGGCGGAAGGAGCGTACCAAACAGGAACTGGCGCGGAGTTCTATCGCCGTCCATCCTGGCTAGATGGCCCAGCCACTCCAGACGGCGGCGAAGAACACGTGTGGTAATATCCACCGGATCTCGACGATTCCAGGCCTCCAGAATGGTATTCCTGTTGATGTGGAAGTCCCAGGTGTCTCTTCTTACGAGGGCTAAGATTGTGGAAATGCAGCGAAGATGGAAGGCGGACAGCGCCGCAAGCTCGCTTTTCAGTGGCACCCAACACTGCTCCGTAAAGGAGAAGAGAAGCCACACATGCATCATACACCATTCGCTTCGTTGCCAGTGAAAGATCGCCATCATCAAAGACAGATCGACGCAATGCTCCGAATGCCCTAGATGCTGACGCTATTCGGGACCGAGTGTCCACTGCGGTGCGGCCACCAGTATGGATGATGGAGCCTAGGTAGCGAAAGTCATGCACGTTCTCGACCATTTCCCCGCCAACCACCAATGGACGATGATCCTCCGGAGAAATGCCGAAGCCGACCGCAATTACTTTGGTTTTTGATAGGTTGATGGTGAGGCCGAAGCGAGTTGCGACGTCCATGAACCGGCTGAGTGCAAGTGTGGCACCATGGTGAGTTGTAGCAATAAGTGCCGAATCGTCTGCGAATTGACAGTCACGATGGATGTTGATTGTGTCAGTCTTCTGGCGTTTGAAAAGGAGAGACGGTCCAGAGTTTGAGGAGACGGGAAGTCCGATCTCAGGTATGTCCGCAACCTCACGCTGCCACAGCTGGAATACTGCCCACATGAATATATTGAACAATGCTGGGGCCATACAACAACCTTGTCGAAGGCCATTTTGCACCTCAATAGGCTCAGCCTCGATGTCCGGGATCGACAGGTTTGCAGACATAGAGGCATGAAATGAGCTGATAATGGTAACCAGCTTGTCAGGTACGCCCGCCTTCCGGAGAATTTCCCACATGCACTTACGGGTGACGGAATCATAGGCCTTCCGTAGATCAACAAAAACCATGAAACCAGAGCAGCGATGTTCATAATAATTATAGTTTCTCAGATATTTGTCTCACCGCGAAGACCATGTCCGCGCAAGATCTGCCTTTGCGGAATCCACACTGCGTGTCTGGCAGGATGTCTTCTGCGAGCCGCTGCAATCTTGTCTGGATGAGGCCAGCAACAGCCTTACCTACCACCTCCAGAAGAGCGATGCCTCTCCAATTGTCACAGCTGGATAGATTTCCTTTTTTTGGTATCACATACACACACACTCTCTCTCTCTCTCTCTCTCTCTATCTCTATCTCTCTATCTCTCTCTCTATCTCTCTCTCTCTCTCTCTCTCTCTCTCTCTCTCTCTCTCTCTCTCTCTCTCTCTCTCTCTCTCTCTCTCTCTCTCTCTCTCTCTCTCTCTCTCTCTCTCTCTCTCCCTCCCTCATACACATACACATACACACACGCACACTGTGGACTCTATTTTGTTGACAAGTTCTGTCTGCGTTTGTGTACTTGAAGTATGATGTGTGTCTCTTTTCTTCATTTCCTGTGCTGTTGCCACTGTTAGCTGGTGGAGCTCCCCAACGAGTTCATTCATCTCTATATCAGCAACTGCATCTCCCAGTGTGAGAAAGTCAAGGAGAAATACATGCAGAATAGACTGGTGCGACTGGTAAGTGCACCTACAATTTCATCTACACGCAAACTCATGGATTATGGATTATGTCACACAGTGAACCTCACCTGACACCAATACGGGCAACCCTGATCATAGCAATGAATTGCCAGGGGCAGCATTTGAACTGCACTCTTTCACGACCATTTCCGATTTTGTAAATATCGACTTTCTAGCAGCAACACTTCTCTTGTCCAGCCAGATGCTGTATCATTCCTAAAAAATAGCCTGTATTTGAAGAATTGCCTTTTCACTATCTTGCGTGAGTCTCCTTGTTGAGGTCCACATCAATCGCATGGATATTTGTTTTTTTGGGTTGTGTTTACACACGCACCTTGGAAATAATTGTGCTCTTTGTCCGCCTTTTGTTTTCTTGCTAGGTATGTGTGTTCCTGCAGTCGATGATTCGCAACCGTCACTGCAACATCCAGGAGATCTTCATCGAGGTGCAGGCGTTCTGCATCGAGTTCAGCCGCATACGCGAGGCAGCCGGCCTTTTCCGTCTTCTCAAGAGCTACGAAGAAGGAACCCTTCCAGCAGCAGAGTCTAACAGCGGTGTTACGTCATTAGCGGCGGCGGCAGCAGCAGCGGCTGCAGCAAGTTCCGGTGTAGCTGGTGCAATGGGTGCAGCAAGTACGGACAGCAACACGTAGCAGTGACATCTTAGACTGTGCTTACAAGTGCGCTGTGTGCGCTGATTTCAGCAGTTACACCCGATGATCAGGCTGCCTTTGCGTAGGATAACATTATCTATTTCAAGATCCAGTTCTAACGTTACCATCTCCTCCTCTCGAGTACCGTACTCCGTGGCACGCCATAGCTCACATGTAGCTGTGGCGTGATATCAAGCCTAGCACCAAGCAGTGTATTGCGTCGCATCTTCCATTGCCAACAGGGCCTTACAAGAGCCATGTTCTGCAGCGAGTGGTCTGACTGCTAGGTACCTAGTGTAGCCATACTGCTACTACTAGACGGCCGTAGTCAAGGTAGACAAATGCGCGTGTGTGTGCACGCGCATGTGTGTGTGTATGTTTGTGTGTGTGCACGCGCATGTGTGTGTGGCTACTGCTGCTGCCTTCACCTTTATCGCTACCACCACTGCTGTTGGTGTGATTTGTGCTGTTCTCATGATCACAGCACTGCTAACAGTTACAGCAGCTGATGTCCTTATTAGCTGTCGCTGGCCACAGTCGACTACTTGTCTTGTACCCCCGCCGTGGCCGGGTTTGGTTGGGCACAACGCAATTGATTGCTTTTGTCATTGTCGGTTCCGCTTCGGTTTCAGCTGTGAGAGGATAACTTTTTTCCTTTCTTTCTTTTATTAGTTCCTTTCTCCAAACATCTATTCACCGGTGTTTCTAGTTGCAGTTTCTTGCTTCTTTTGTTGACTTTTATTGTCGTGTCTTGTTTGCTGTTCTTTCTCATTTGAGTTTATGTAGTGGTGGTGGTGGTAGTAGTAGTTGTTGTTGATGTAGTGTGTTGTTATTGTTGTTGTTTCATTATCCTCCCCGTTGCACATAGACTATTTTGCATGGCTTGCTCTGGACATAATGTACAGTGTTGCAGCAGCCGTTTGTCTGCCTCTATCCAATGCTTTCTATTCCGTTATTGTCCGCAGATGTATCTGCTTTTGTCTGCTGTTGCATATTCGCTGGCTGACACGAGTATATGGGTGAACGTGATAACCCCAATGACGCCTTTGAGAATTAGATTTTTTCCTCTATTTCGTTATGGACGCATTTTGCCGATGATTCTGCTGGTGACTTCTCCTAGCCCGTGTCTTGTCGTTGAGTTGGAGTGTTTCTTTCCTTCCATGATCAGATGTACTCTCACTGTTCGGTCCTGCTTGCCTCCGAGATGTTGAAGTCCATGGACTTCATGTGGCGTGTTTAGGGTGGGGAAGAGGGGTGGGGGTCGTGATTCACCGCCACGACACGTAGATCTGTATGCATGTACAGTGTGCATGTGTACAGGCTAGTAATAGTTGTATAGAGTATAGAGTGTTCAACACCACAACAAGGATGGAGCCACAAAGGCAGAAGAGAACCGGCTAGATTGCACATCAGAGGCTCCGCTCCATGTAACACTGTAGTAATCCTCAGACAACTGATAATCTGTAAATCACCTGGCTTAGACTAGCTACAAACTTATATCCAGACAAGTGGTAAGTAAGTCAAGACCATGGTGCCCTGGTGGTGAAGAAGGAGATTGAGACATACATGTAAGTAGTAAAGTCACAGTGTGAGTGACAATAGCGTTTAGTGAGGAAGTCGATGATTAGTTGCCGTGGGGTATGAGTCTGTTCGACTCATCTCTACTCATAATGAGTGAAGGGGACCCACCGCCAAAGTCCTTGGTTGCAGTCAGGAAGCCTGTCCTCCACCCTGCTGTAGCTGTCATCATCATCATACACGTACCTACAACAAAAATGTAGGGCAAGGGAAGTGAAGAGTCTGTCTGCTATCCGGTATGAGTACTGGCGCGGGTCCACTGACTGCTGTCTGACGGTAGATCTACACTACAGCTACAGGCTTGTGGCGTGAATTACTACATACTAGTACTTGTGCCTTGTGGTATGTGTCCACGTTATGGGGCCGGGGCTGATGATCAGCCGTGAGCGCTCGGATAGCTATCGTGAATCTTGACATGTATGATGATGGCTTTGTTCGTTGTCACACGATTCACCCATGCGATGAGAAACTCGATCTGTCTCGTGGTCACCGCTACCTGCACTGTACAGCCTACAGGTAGCATTGTAGATCTACTCAACATTTTCACGAAAACAGAACACATCTCAGCTCGCCACAAGTACAAACAGAACAACCCAGGATCTAGGAGCTAGCTGACCCGCTGATCTGCTGAGTTCAGCATGACCAGATGACCGGACCATGAGCTAAAACTTGATACTACGATAGACCATGGCATATGCGCTAGGCGTTGACCATCAACGACGAAAAACTCCGTTTTTAGTTGCACAGGAACACTCTGTTGCTCTTTCCGTCATTGTTGGCTTCCTACAAGTTCCTAGGGTGGAAGTTGTGTGGCGTTGGCTAACGAACCTTCCGTCCCTGTCACACCCTGCACTGAGTCTGTGTCCGAGCAGTCAGCCTGCGGTTAGTTAGGTGCCGAATTCGTCGGACGGCTGACTTTTCTGCAGACCACCTTTTGCCAGTTTTGAAAGCGCGATGCTCCTTTGGCGAATGGTCGACAAACGGCCTGCTAGCTACGAACACGCAGACCGACTTCCAGGAGTTGTTTCTTCTGTACTCTCGGTGTGGATGTGGATGTGGCGGCTGGAATTGTGTGCCCTGACGGTAATTAGCACCATCGGTGCTATCACGGCGGCTTCGCCAGGTACACCAGGCGCAGGCCCCTGGCAATGTTATACAGCCACGGGACAGCCACAGTACTGTCAGCCAGCTCCGTTCAACGACGTGCGCACCTTGCCCGCCTTCAATGTCACATCCAACAGCGAGTGTGGCGTGGGTGGCTTCGACCGCTACCGTGCCCTGGGAGCCAACGGTATCGTTGGGAATGACGTTTGCGATGGAGCTCAACCTCGACTTGCCTCAAACCTTGCCAGCAATACCGGCGGGAGATGGCAATCAAGATCCAATGTTTCGACACCAGTGTATTTGTCGCTACATCTTCCCAGAGCCATGTACGTGCGTTCCTTGCAGATCGACTTCACGTTTGTAGCACCATCTAAGATGAGTATCCAACTGACACCAGGACCGGGTAAGTCAGACACCGGAGTCACGTATGCACGTGATTGTGCAGCCATGCCAGTGACGACGAACTGCATCGAGCTTGCTAGCAGCTCGCTGAATGTAACCCTGGACCTTGCCAATGTTACTCTGCTGGCGACCAGTCGAGAGCCCAGTGAACGGCAGCTTGTCCGCGATTTGTTCTTCACCGACAGAGTCGTCATCGTCTTTGAAGAAGTTGGCTTTCCGGACGCCTTACCTGCGACGGAACTTGACGATCTTGATCTGTGGCGGTACTATGCAGTGTCTGATGTTCTCATGTCAGTGCTGTGTGACTGCTCTGGACATGCCAGCCAGTGTTCAGGGGAAACTAGTGAGTGCGAGTGCCAGCACCGCACTCGCGGCGAGCACTGTTCCAGCTGCCAACCTGCCTACTCGGACGCGACATGGAGACGAGCACGACCAGGAACGGTTACGCAGTGCCAGGTCTGCTCCTTGCCGTCAAACACTAGCCAATCACATTCAGATTGTCATGCCAACGCCACGTGTGTACCCACTGGTAATGGCACGGAGTCAGAATGTAAATGCACGTCTGGGTTCGAGGGCACCGGCGTGGACTGTGCGGACATTAATGAGTGTCAGGTGAATGTAAGTTATACTCTGCTCCGCTCCTGCTTTCTCTCTCTCTCTCTCTCTCTCACACACACACACACACACACACACACACACACACACACACACACACACACACACACACACACACACACACGTGCACACACACACACACACCCATGTGCATATACACACACACAGCACTCCGTTGAAACAAACGCACACTATTTCCTGTTTCTCTCATTGGTCTGATTATGATTATCAACTTGCTGTCTTATCCATTGTGTGTGTGGCACAGAGCACGATATGTGGCAAGCCGGACACTGCTGTCTGCAACAATGTGGAGGGAACATTCCTATGTGGCTGTGTCAGTGATCGGTATGAGTATAATATCACCAACGCAGAGTGCGTATTGCAACCAGGTAAGTCAGCCATGCCATGCCAGGCATGTTCAAGTACAATACAATACATTCGGTTGCTACCGATTGACTTCTTTTGGAGAGCAGCATGTTGATGTGTTTCTCGTTGCGCTCAACTCACCATGTCACGCGACATCATTCCTGGTTAGGGGCAGCAACCTTGCTCTAGATACAGAGTTGCGACTCAGCGAAAGTAACACTTGTACCTGTCAGCTGCTGACTGTTTCACGGTTGTTGTTGTTGTTGTTGTTGTTGTTGTTGTTGTTGTTGTTGTTGTTGTTGTTGTTGTTGTTGTTGTTGTTGTTGTTGTTGTTGTTGTTGCTTTTTATTTTACTTCGCAAGGCCAAACGGGCAATGGTGCCCAATTCTATGGAAGCGAATTTCAAAGCGGGAGAGAGGGAGAGGTGTTTCCTGGGGAAAGAGCGGGGCAGCATTGCTTCGTGCTAGCTCATCTCGAGCAACACTTTTGAAAACTTCCACAAGAGCTTTCGATGCCTTCTCATCAGGTGGAGTACAGGCAAAAAGAAACTGAGCAAGCACAATGAAATCTTATACAGCAGGGAGGTGATAGGAACAGCGCGAAAAAGATGGTCAGAAACAATACGAAAAATTCATAACCTCATACACATACCATGGAATGACACAAAAAGGTGCAAGTGTGAAGAAATCTAACAGGGTTGGGATGTCTTGCGGCAACAACAAACAACCCATGTACAGAAATAATGAGTTGTTGACAACCTACCAAACAGCCCTAGTGTGAATTTAATCTTGTTCTGCCTGCTGAGGTTAGGCGGCTTCTAAAAGTCCATTCTACTCGTAGTGTGAATACACAGCAGCTGCTGCAGTGGAGCATTCAATAATTACACTACGTAGAAGCTAAAACGCTATTCACTCTAAAAAGTGTGATCGCTGCGAGCCGAAGCAAATTGAATTCACGCTTTAAAATAGACTGTTTGGTAGGCCGCCAACAACTCATGAGTTCTGTTCATTGGTTGTCTATTGTTGACGCAATACCTCGCATGCTTGTCAGTATTATGCTTCTTTACACTTGCACCTTTTGCCATTCCTTCTATCTGTATGATAGTACGCTCTGTACCGTGTTGTTTCTGACCATCTTTTTCGCGCTGTTCCTTTCACCTCCCTGCTGTATAAGATGTCATTGTGCTTGATCAGTTTCTTTTTGCCTGTATTCCACCTGATGACTCTTTGAGAAGGCATCGAAAGTTCTGGTTGGAAGTTTTCAAGGATGTTGCTAATGTGAGGAGACTGAAGTTTTGTTCTTTTCTTGGGTGTTATTGCATTTTGGTGGCTGTCAATCATTTTCATCATTTACGACTTCATACGAGCCCAACGAGAAATCCTAATCCGAACTTCAACCTGAAATATATGCGCACAGATCAACGCTCTAACCAACCTTTTGATTTATGCTTTCTCCCGTTCTCCTTTGCATTGGACAGGCACGGCAAGCGGCAGCCCCAGTACCAGTGTGACTCTGAGTAGTACACACATGCCCGCGCCACGCATATCCAGTGAGTTCATGACTATGCGGCCTGCAACAACCGTGCAGTCTTCAACTGCACCGCTCAGCAGCACCGTGCCAGGTTTGAGTGCTACGGCGGCGACAGTTACGAGCAGCATGCAGGCAATGCCCAGTGCAATGTCCAGTGCTACTGAAGCGTCAAGTGCCAGCAGCGCAGCCTCAGTCAGCTCAACACTGGAGAGCACATCACACGAAGGCAGCAGCGCACAGACGTCTTCATCGCTACCCACCGTTTCTCCAACAGGTAATGCTGGGAGTATTCCTCTGACATCTGCTACTGTCCTGCCAACTGCACAGAGCTCACAGCCTCTCACAGCAATATCTCAGACATCAGCCAACAGTACTCCGAGTCAGACTAGAGCAGGCAATACCAGTGCTGCGTCTTCTGCCTCACCTAGTCCACCTACAGGAGCAACTTCTACCGGGGCGGTGTTGCTCATGGTTACGAATGACCAAGACGGGAACATGTCAGTGATAACTGATCCTGGTGACAGTACTGATGGTGCTGTTATGGATAATGTATCTCTAAGTGTCTCTGATGGTACAAGCACTGTACCGGTCACCGTAATTGGCGGTGACAATGCCAATGAAACATCTTCTAATACGACAGACCAGTCGCCGTCCGACAACATTGCCAATGTACTGTTTGTTGACAATCATGTGGTCACTATCATCACTGTGTGCGTGATGGTGTCAGCAGCTGCTTGCGTCCTGCTGTCCTTGATCATTGCCAAGAGAAGGCGGAAAGGTAAGATCTAACGTGTGGTTGAATAATGAATGTACAGGTCAGACCTCGATATAACGACCCCCGCTATAACATAAACTTCACTATAACGTACAAAGTAGTATTTTTTGTTGAAAATACAAATGTCCCTACCGAAACAGCATCACTTCTGTACAAAATGTCCTCGCTATACCATAATCCGCTATAGCGTAATTTCGCTATAACACACTCTTCCGCAGTGTTCGCTTGGTCCCACGCGCACAGAGACTGCAATAATATTCACAAACAGTCATACAATCGCGACACGGTCCAAATCACTTTCGCTTCTTGAAATCTCTGCTCACGGCTGCATACTCTTAGCCTTGCTTGCATTCAACGCATATACTGGCATTCAAGCGATTCTTCTAACAGTCCCGGCACACTGCAGTCGTGTAGACTTGGTACAGAGTGTGTACTTCGAAGTACAGTAGTGTTTTGAACACATGCAGTAGACACACTAGAACATACAGTGTACGTGTAGATGTCGTACATACACGTACATACACGCACTTCCTAAGGGTTGGCTCACATATCGCCGGTACGCGCCGGGAGCCACCGGAGCCAGACTTTGTCAAAATTTCAAACCAAGACTCATCCTAAATTTTCCTAAATTGAAGCTAAAGATGAGGTCCGTTCGCCATTCTTGTAGTCGTTTCAAGGTGGCAAATTAAGTAGGGCTCAAACGGTCACGGTTTTACCCCTAACGGTTAACTGCTAAGCTAACGGTCGGTTTAACGGTTATAACCTATAAGCCACGGCAATCCTGCAGACTCTTTTTTAACCGTATATTTGAATATATTCATTCAAAAAATGTACCCTATTCAGTACAACGCACACATGTACATTCTCTTGCATGCTCATTCATACATACTCTCACACCAAGAGACCAGATATGACCGAGTTGACAGCCCAGAAATTGCGTACGCGTGCGACAGCCTGCGAAAGTGCATACTTTGCAACGACCTGATACTTGAAAAATTTACTGAAAAGTTACTGCGTGACCGTTATCTTTATCGGTTAACCGTTAATTCTTCGTAACCGGTCTGCAACCGGTTAATCGGACTAACCATTTGAGCCCTAAAATTAAGTCAGCATACCAACCCTTCCTTCTCGGATGATCTGCTTGACTGCTGTGCAACTTATGAGACAAATACAATTGAAATAAATGAAAAATACGAAGGATACATGACAAGTTTGTTGTGAAATGATGTGTTGTTTTCCTGTGTGATGGCATTCCCCAAACTGTCTCGTCTAGTCGCGTGCATGTGTGATATGAGCATGCGCGATTTTGTAGTCGAGAGTCCTTTTGTCAGTCTTCTTGTTCGTCCCTTTGAGTGTTGTCTCCATTTCCGTAATGTCAATAATAATTATGTAAACCAAACTAGTCTTGTCCTTTGTGTCCTGCGTCCCGGGGAACGGAATGGCTGTGATTCCGTTACAAGTTCGTGTGACTTCGTCAACGTTTGCGCGCATAATTTCGACCCCACCGCTTACTAGACTGCAATAAAAGGTGTAGAAGTAGTCTCATGATCTCCAGTAAAAGGTAGCACAGAGTGGCCATCACCGAAAGACAAACTACTGAAGAAACAAAGAATTGAAGCTTCAATTGGCAAACCTGTCGTAGCATTTGGGCACATTCTGTACTACTTTGTAGTAGATTTGGTACTCTAACCGTATGCACAACGGATCGGGAGCTGGCTCACCGCCGATGTCTTGCGGCGCCGATTTTGCTTATGTGAACCAACCCTAAGTAAGTGAGTTGATCAGAGTGGATCATTACTGCTACACTTGTAATCAGTAAGCAAAGACAGGCGCGTAGCAGCCGCTCCGGCCGGTCCGGCTTTGGCCGGACCACTTTTTCGCCCGACCACGACCACCATAGTAAAACAATGCCAAAAGTGGCCAGAATGCAGGATTTTGCACCCTAATTTCAAAAAAATTCTGGGGGAGATCCCCCGGACCGATCCTCCCGGACCACCCATGGCCGGACCACCCCCAACGGCGGTGCTACACGCCTGAAAGAGCACCATTTTTCACATGTTGCATATTGGCGGACCCAACTCTCTATAACATAAACCTCGCTATAACACAGTATTGCCATACCTCAGAGATCATTACGTTATAGCGAGGTCTAACCTGTACATGCGTCATTCATGATTAAATCATAATCGATGTACATTCAGCAATACCACACAATTTACAATTTTGATGTACAAACATCCAGTATGCCCCCCCCCCCTGTACTGGATGTACATGTATTTCTACATCCATCCGTAGGTTAATGGAACTTAATGCAAAGCGTTCGCTCCTAGCCTGGGTGTTCCAAGCTGGAAGGTTGTCGGTTTGTGCCGCGTAGATGTGCTGGAGCTAGGTGTCGGGTTGTTGAATGTTTCAGTACCCCCTTTCCAGTGTTATGCCTTGTGGTTTGCACTCGCCGCAGTGATTGTACTGCAAGTCTACAAATTTTCGGCCCATTCAAATGTCGGTCTCCCAGAACTAAAACCCATTTCGGCCGCATCAAATTTTCGGCCTGTGCTGCAGCTGCCTGTATACACTGTCACACTGAACCTTGCAAAACAAAATTTCGGCTGCAACAAAATTTCGGCCAAAACATGACCAGGTTGAAAATAGCGGAAAATAAACATGCGCCGAGTATTTGTTGACTTACAGTACATGATCTGGTTATTTTGGTGGACAATTAGTCATAACAATCATATTGTCCTTCTTTTTTTACCCGATTCTAGAGTGGATGGGTGTAATGGAACGCGCCGCGGCCCGTGGTGTCTTGCAAGCACCCTGGCGCTTGTTTTATCACCGGCACAGCCATACCATGTGTATGTGTATGTCTGCCTGTGTGTGTGTGTGTGTGTGTGTATGTGTCTTTCTGCTTGTGTCTGTGCATGTCCATATATCTGCACACACACTCAATCTGCGGACACACATGTATGTGCATGTGCATATCCCTGCAGTCGGACTATGGTGGGTACGAGCTGACTATGGCACGCTGGACAGCGATCGGAGTCAAACCCTTCGCTCCAAGCAATCGACAGGCAACAGCGCTGGTGGTACCGTGCCATCAAACTTCCGCTACATCACCCCGGTGAAACGCGTGGCAGGTGACAACAAAGCGGACGACACCAACCCCGTCATCATCACCAACCCAGAGGCAATGACTGAGCCAGTTAGTCCAATAAAAGAACTTCGCCTGCAACCAAGTCTCCCCGCCACTGAATGCGAACTCACCACGTCTTTCTTCTCCTTCCAGGACCCTCGACTGAACAGTGTGTCAGAGGAAGATTCTGTGGTCCACTCGGGGGAGATACGTGACACCATGGCGTTGTTTGATGCATGTGCAGCTGTGGACACTCGCAGTCTTGTTACTACTGAGCACACCGGAAGTTCAGGAGGCGGCAGCCCACGGCATCAGCCAGACTCAATACTCCTCAGCCCAGTATCGGCAGCTCACCGTAGCCTGGGTTCTCCACAGATGTCCGATAGCGCCCAGCAGAGCCCTCAGAGTCCTCAGAGTCCTCAAAGCCCGCGTCACTTGCAGGCCAGACCGCGCAAGGAACGCTACCTCAGCGGCGGCAGCAATGCCGAAACGCTCTCGGAGGCGCGGGACAAGCGACTCACTCACGTCAGCTTTCCGCTGGGAGTGCAACTTGAGCTGGGTATGTCCGAACCTAATCTCTGTGACTGCAGTCCCCAGAGCCCTGGTGTCCTGTCAGCCAGCAGCAATATCTACACTGGGAAAAGTCCATCCACACCCTGAGTTACTGTGACCAGTCGGCAGAGTAAGGCAACATGGAAGGGCCTTCTCAGTTTCTACTGAGCCTGTGCTTGTCCAAGCCTGCCATATAGCCTGGATGACTGAAGACTCAGCACCCAGGCCTGAGAAAAACTATCAATCCCGAACATGGTACTGTCCACAGGTTGAGTTGAAGCAGAATATAATTATTATGACGTAGGAGTGAATTCAAAGTATACCGGCCTCCGAGGAAGCTGCAAATGATGGCTGCAAACCAAGCCAGTCAAGTCAGTGTTTCAAGTTCACCCGATGATTTTCATGGCGTAAGCCGTACCAGCACGGGGGATCTAGCACGCCGAGTACAAACTGATCAGCAGTGGTACGAGTAGTGCAGCACTGCCAGTCATCCGGCTGTCAGGGGTATTCCCCACTGCTGTGCTCATAGCTAACTGTAGTGTTTGCAATGATGCCCTACTCACGGTGATTCTCAGCCGGCTTTTCAGCTTTCAGCTTCCACTCGTAACTAATTTACTTGTTTAGCTATGCATCCCAGACTTTTCTTGTCCGTAAACCGGCCTGTCTGCAGACTTCAAGTAACGTTGTTGGTACTAGACATACTGACACATGTGGAAAACTAATTACTTGGCAAACAAAAAAATGCAGCCTTTTGACTGCTTATCCACGTATATTTTCCACATTCCGTTCCGACTTTTGAGACTGGAGAATGCTTTCCACACTTTTCATAAGAAGAACCACGTCGCTGTAGCGCCAGAGTGCTCTAGCTACGAAAAGTAGCGGGCAGTGCATAATGCAGCAGTACTACAGTAGAGCAGCCTACCGAGAGTGCACAACAAGACGAATGCCGAGGAGCGTAATACCCAATGAGTATAACCTTCAAGGGGAAGTTAAGGCAAAAATTAAAATTTCATCAGTTGTAGTCTTCGGGGTGCTGAGTCGAATGGTCTTGGTCACGTCCGAGAAAGCTGAGACGCTCCCTTCCTACTTGAATCCCAATCGAACTCGCGCACTTCCACCGAAACTGGGTGACTGCGCCCTACTAGATGGGGATTTGTATGCAAAATGTCACTAAAAGCGCCGTTTTGTTCTTATAAAAGCACGGATGACCGCGATTGGCCCATATGTTGTAGTCTTTTGGACGCTGAGTCGACTGGTTTTGGTCCGAAAAGGCTGCGATGCAGCGTTCCTCCTTTATTCCCAATCGAACATAGTTGAACAAGTGGTCACGTGCTCCTGGGTGCCCAAATCACCTGGTCACCACGCCAGCAGGCGACAACTTTCACACCAAGGTTCAACTCGAGTTCAACTCGAGTGACAGGACTGCACCCAAAAAAGGTCAAACAGGCTAGTAAGTTGTACCCTGCAGGCACGGCGACCAGCTGACTGATGTACGCAGGAGCACGTGACCGCTTGTTCAACCATGTTCGATTGGGAATAAAGGAGGAACGCTGCATCGCAGCCTTTTCGGACCAAAACCAGTCGACTCAGCGTCCAAAAGACTACAACATATAATATGGGCCAATCGCGGTCATCCGTGCTTTTATAAGAACGAAATGGCGCTTTTAGTGACATTTTGCATACAAATCCCCATCTAGTAGGGCGCAGTCACCCAGTTTCGGTGGAAGTGCGCGAGTTCGATTGGGAATAAAGGAGGAAGGGAGCGTCTCAGCTTCCTCGGACCAAGACCATTCGACTCAGCACCCCGAAGACTACAACTGGTGAAAATTTGATTTTAGGGTATACTTCCCCTTTAAAGACTGTTTTTGAATATTGTGTGTTGCTCCCTACGTGGGAGCTGGCGCTTTTCCTGCTGACTTGAATTCTCACTTGACTGACTCACGACTGCCACCCATGAGCACACGAGAAATCCATCGAACCTTCCACTCGGTAAGTAGTTTTCCTGCACAATACCACACAGTGTATGTGGATATATTTCTACTCTATGTACAGAAGCTCAGTTCAGCGTTCATAATCATAGGCCTTCTAAAGGCCCTGGTGAACAATAATGACTGTATTCGCCCTTACTTAGCCGCTAGTACGAGTAGTAGTAGTAGTACTCCTGCAACATCGGGTTTTGTGCATGTCCAGTCCATGGAACCTAACTGCGCAAACGAGTAACTACAATCATTATAATTCCCCCTTTCATCGGAAATATCTGATGATGATCGATAGCCCTGGCAGCGTACATAATTATATTACCTTAGGCTTCTTAGCCTTAGCCATAGGTCGGAACTATGTGCAGTAACAGGGTTACTGCAACTACTTACTGGGCGTTAGCACAGGGCTAAGTCCCAATGAGTCACTTGATGGGACGAGGCGCGAGTTTTTTGATTGGAGCATTTACCATGATTGCTTCGGGGCAGTTGCCATTTTATTGAGAACTTCAGTGAACGCAATGAAGGGTGGCCCTCTCGATCCTTGACTGCCTGGAACATGCATGCAGCACATGCATGCTGCACATGCTGCATTGCTTCAAGTGTTACGACAACAGTGTTTTCCAAGTGGCAAGTGTGATTTTCTCAGTACTCGTAACGATGTTCCGATGTTGATGCCTACCCACTCGGCATCAGCAAGAGCCATTCTTTCGATGATTGACGACACCACCCTCTTCATGATTCACCGCACAGTGGCACCTCGTTCCTGATCTCGCCAGCTGTTTCTATGGTGAATCGGCGGCATTCCAAGTACATCTTTGCGGCTCCGAAGAAAGGAAGTGGTTTGCCTCGTATTGCACTACAAAGTACTCTGTACCTAAACACTATACACGGTTCTACACGGTTCTAACTGCTGAGTCTGAGCGCCTCCGACTTGTGCTGAGCTCTCGTGCACCACGCCCCATTCCTACTAATCGTAGTGTTGCCATTGCCTTGGTTTCACCTCAACAATGAAAGTCTCTTATCAAGCACGTCAACAGTGGTTGTGATAGCAGCAGCAGCTACACGGTGTGCATAAAGCGCATAGCAAGAGAACGGCTTGCGGCTAATCAAGTCGGGTATGTGCCACGGGCTTTGAAAGCCTTCATCAGTTCATGATCCAGTCCCAGGAGACATTCCCACAGCAATGAACCAACCACCGTCAGAAAGGACACCGCATGCTATAATTATAGTGCACTCAGGTGACTCAGGTCGTACCAAAATGTAGTTGCGCTCGCTGCTTGTGCGAACAATCAGACACATACACATACACACACCACATACACACACGCGTGCGCGCGCACACACACACGAGCGCGCACACACACACCACATACACACACGCGTGCGCGCGCACACACACACGAGCGCGCACACACACGAGGGCGCACACACACGAGCGCGCACACAACATATCAGTTATCACCTCCGAGACAATTATCGTGACACCACTCAACAACAGATGATGCAAGGTCCTCTTACTCTTAGTCTCACCTGTCCCGTCAAGGATATGAGAAGCGTGCCAGGCATCGCAGCTTCACACCTGTTCACCTGTTCACAGCTCATCGGACACTACCTCTGCAGATCATGGTAGATGGGTGGACACCTACCGAGCCGTCACAGAGACGCGTGAACTGGCGCTGTGGCCATAGTTTCGGCAGGTTTCTTCGCCGCCGGTAGATCGGCGATCCACAACGTTGCTGGTGCCTAGCCTATCGACAGTGCCGTGGACAGTGGCGAGTTCATCGCTGACCCACTTGCACTCCACTCCACACTGCGCGCGCAGCACACCATCCATCCGTGAAGATCCTGAGTGCCGGAGGGTCGGAACGTCAGGTCAATAATCATTGGCAGTAGTCGGCTGGAGCCAGTGCACACATCACGAGAGCTCAAAAATCTCCGCTCATCCCCAATGACAATTTTGTGTTTGCCGTGACAGGCAGTTGAGTGCTAGCTGGGTTGGATCCAGCAGTTGAAGCTAGCTGACATGACATGTACCTTCCACGGCGTATTGACTTCCCAGGTCTGCGGTAGCGCCAGAGAACAGGAACCATTCGACGATTGTCTCGCGATTCAGTGTTTGTTGGGCTAGGGCACGCGGACAGCAGCCAGCCGAGGGTGTGAATTGTAGCGCGAATGGATGAATGAAGTCTGTGCGAGGTGACTCCTGTGCTGTAGTCCTGAGTCCTGACCTAGGCTGATATCGTGCTGAGCCCAGCTAGCTCTTGAAACGTCAACAAAATCAGTTCTCTGAAAAGCCAGTTCATATTATTTTTGCTTGTGAGATAGTTTGCTACTGCTAGTGTGTAGTATACGGTGACGCACCACTGGCATTTCTACGAGAGTGGGCAGGTGCAGCTGCAGGTAAAGACACCGAGAGACAGAACAACGCGGGAGGAGAAGGTGAGCGACGGCCTTTGCGGTGCTTCTAAGTTTGTTGACAGCGAGTGGCTACCGGTGCTGGAAGCTGGAAGTGGTGGAGGTCTGTTCCCTACCACCATGGCTCAATCAAAGTGGTAAGCAATGCCGGTATGACCACGGATGCATGCACGCGTTTCAATGAACTGCATCACTCAAATAATGTTGTCTCATCAACCATTATGGTACCCACAGTGACACTCGTCCACGTGTGCCTAGGCTAGAAGGACTAGGGGTAGTTCCGAATGGCGCTCATAATTCTATACCTTACCGGTACCCATAGCACCCCCCCCCCCCCCCCTGGCGACCCAGGAGCGGAATGCAACATGGCACCAAAGCAATACCCATTGTAACAATACTAGCACCAGGATAACTAACTTACTTGTGCACACCGTCCTGTTGCTACTGCTGCTGCCAGAGCCAGTGCTCAACTGGACGATCATATCCCGCTCAGCTTTCCTTCGCCGATTCTATTTTTAAAGGCATTCGCTGTCAGCCCGACGGATGCCAACAGCTTTGCTGAGCTCTGCAGACCTTATCAGGACAAGAGCACTTTGTACATGTAGTAGCTGAGAAACTCTCACTCTTCTAGGGTTTCATTGAAAACACAAGGTCATGCTCACTCAGGGATTGGTATCGTAGAACTTCTACAAGTAACGGCGAGACCAAATTAATGCCAGTGAAGACAAACACAAATGAGTGCTTATATGAGTTCCAATGCCATAGTTATTTCATCCCATCCACTCCGATCCAGATTTCAATACGCCCCAGTCTCATCTATGTACATGTACATGTGTGTACATGTGGTCCTGAGAAGTCAAATCTAGATGTAGATGAGAGATGGCGTGGCCGGCTCGGTTAATTGGATTGTGAAACGCAAAGCTTCCTCAGCCTGCCCCCCCCCCCCCCCCCTCTGTGCGGTACCATAATTATTGCACAGCACAAAGTGCAGGCACACACATGCACGTATGCACGCCCACTCACACCATATAATTGTAACACATATACATTATAGAACAAGGGTCGAACACTATGCTACATGTAGCTGTCCGGAGATTGGGTGTAAGCATCGTTTTATTGCTCCGCATCTACCGTATTTCTCCGATTATAAGTCGCATTCGAGTATAAGTCGCATCCCATTTTCAGGTCCAAGCCGTAATTGTTTTAATATAATTCACATAAGTAGGATGTCACACTCGATTGTAAGTCGAATCCCCTTCTTTGCTTGAGAAGTTCAGTGTAAAAAATTTCGACTTATAATGGAGGCAATACGGTAAGCCCGGGTCAGCAATGCTATGCGAATGCAGGAACTCCCTGAAACCAGGAGCTTTTACTCTGGAAAAGGGTGTTTTGAGTATATAGTGTGAAGCCGTTCTAACCCACTATTCCCTGACCCTGGCCAGAGATTATGTTAGAGCTTGAAGGCAGGGCCTGTACTGATATCTCTAATGAGTGTTGTCCGTTACTATATTTCAGGGCCAGCGTCACTGGTACAACTGGTACGGCCATGGCCGTCCGTACACCATTGCCAGTGTTCATAGAATGGCCAGAGTGAAATACCGTAATGTGCCAGTGCTAATCTAGTGCTGGTGCTGTTCATGTACACGTCGCACACCCCTCGCTAGAGTCTCTCCCTCTGCAACTGTTCTTCCTGTCCAGTGAGGATTACTGTGCTGTCTACATATCTGTTGCTAGCGGAATAAGATGTACTGTAAAACTGGAAAGTCTAACGAGTCACAAAGTCTAACGTTTTAACGACCATTTTTTTTTCGTTATCTGAAGAAACATTATTGCGAACCCGGTTTGAGATGTCTGTGCAAAGATGCGTATACAGATGGGTGGCCAAGTAGCCATCGTTAGCTTGAACTTTCTGCACGTTATCATGCCAAAATTACACAAAAAACGTTAGACTTTTTGGTCATTCAACGTTCCGGTTTTACAGTAGCTGAAACAACCAGATACCATGCCGCATAGAGCTAGAGGTTCATCCTCCTATAACGCTGAAATTGGGCATAGGGTAATGATCGGGCCTGGGGCCGTACCACCTCTCAGGAGCTGGCTCCGGGCCTGTATGTACATGGAATCTATGTGCTTGGAACAACATTCGACTGACGTACTCACTAGCACTCCTGCTCCTTCTTTTCTTGGTGCTAAATTTCTGTTTGACTATAGGCCGGAGTTCTCCAGCAGCAACCATTCCCTGCGATGTATGTTGATAGGCCTTGCCATGCTGCTGGCACATGTTCCACAGACGCAGTGCCAGAAAATAGTAGCAAGGCCAGGTAAGAACAGATAATCATATTTTTCTGGAATTGGGGCCGGTCCTTCATTACCGCCTGTCTGAAATAAGCGCCGCACCATCCCAGGGTTTTATGTGTGGACTTTCTAAGCACCTCGGCCAGTATTGCCGAACACACGATTATGATTTGCTCCTAGAAAGTATTTTCACACGTGTTTACTAGTACAAAATGTTGTGTTTACACAGTAGTCATGTTTGCTACATACTGCATTAGTCACCAGTGAAGTCACAGCCCCACTCTGCAGGGAACACCATCATGCAGAAATCAGCACTGCACAGACACATTACTGTCCTCACACTTCTGGAAACGATCGGACGTTTCCAGATGCGGCATGAATCGTCATCGTCGAATTCTTGCACTCAGCCGAGCTCCAAAGTTCAGCACAGCACAAGCTAGACATGGTGGCATTATACACCGTGATACAGTGAAAATCAGCTCTAGTGTGACCGTGTACTGTATTAGAATACAATGCCTACAAGAGTGAACTCTTAATTTCACAATCATAGCACATGTTTTAACGGTACGAGAACTAAGAATGGACTTTGGGTAGCGAAACATGCCAGATTAGCACAAAGTGTATCGCCTGCAGTAATAACATCTGTCCGGTGTAGTTCTGATCCGACTCGCATTGCATCGTAGTGCAGCAAGTCCATGTGTTGTGGTGATATACTGTATAACACCTTTATTTCGGTGTAATTTAAATTTCGGTAACTTCGGTACTCGTCTTGGATCACCTAATTTAACATTACACCTAAATTTTCCGAAATACCAAAATATGTAAAAAATCATGAAAATCACTGTCCAATTAAAAAAATCAACTTGTCTACTGGTAGTAAGTTACATGTGCTGCGCTGATGAGTTCAAAAAGAACGAAACAGCATGCTGTCCGCAGATTGAGTATTTCGCTCCTGCTCTTGTAGCAGTGGAGCGCTCTTGCGTGGGGTAGTGCCTTTGCTGTTTGCGTTATGCAGAGCTCACTGACTTGTCAGTTTGAGCACTCTGGCAAGGTACGTTTGGGCCTGATTGGAAATTTTTATTTCCATTGCTGCCTTAGCACGTACACGCACTGAAGTTCACGTACACACTGCAAAATGGACGAGCAGAGTTCGCGGCTGCAAGGCCAGTGCCACGTGGCCACTCAATTTCTCAATGGATTTCAATGTCCACAAGAGTACATGTACTATAAATAGCCGCATGCACAGTTGCACTACATTGCATGCACGATGACCGCCGTCGTGCCTCTGAGCACATGCATATATGTGATACTTGATTTATCGTGGATAAGAAAATATCGGAAATAAGAATCGAAAGCACTTTTTCAAACACACATGCTATAACAGATACGAACTGTACTTGGGTTACATGTACGAAGCCTTTTGGGTCAATGGACAGTGGAAACAAGACGCATGGCACGGTGATACATGTACCGTAATCTCACGCATTTAAGAACATGTTCTTATTTTCAAATATAAGAGCACTCTTGCTTATAAGAACATGCACTTATAAGTGAATGAAAATCACAAAACGAAACGAGGATCATCATGGTCCCATTGTACTAGCATTCACGAGTAATATGTATGCATACTTGCGCATGTACATGTCGATGCGATGTGTGTGTATCGCAAATAAGACCAGGGTCTTATGATCGAACGGAAATGCACTTGTGAAAGGACCGAAAACAGCGACTTTTCGATTATAAGACCATGGTGTTCTATGCGCGAGATTGCGGTACATGTACTTCATGGTGCACAAACTAACACTTCAATGCATTCATGAGAACATTTCCTCTTCTCTCTTTTTTCACAAGTATTAAAGAAGTAAAATGGCAATGGGCAAAACTTGGTCGGTAAACGGGTGCTCTGATCAGTGACTAGAATAAAAGGAACAATACACGATAATGGGTGGGCTAGACCTAAGCTACTAGTGCTGTGGTGGCAAACGTTTCATCCTGTATGTGCAGCTCAAAGAATACATACATGTGCCTACTGGAACATTCACATGAGATATCTTAGAGCGTCAGTATTCTTTTGAGCAAAATATGGCCGGTCTGCGGCATTTTCTGTGACAAGAGCATACAACAAACAATGTAATATAAAGTACGCACACGGGACGGCAACCTATGAAAATAGTGATAGCTTTTATGACAGAATAGTTTTCGTGAAATCGTTGCAGCCTAGATAAAATAAGCACTGGCTGGAGTACAGCCATTTAAAAAGATCTGTTCCACTGTAGACAACGTGTTACTCTGCTTTGAGTTTGCCAGCAGTATGGCTATCGGGTGTGTTTTCTGATGGTGGCGTGCCATCGTCGTCATCGTTATCATATGAGACGCCAAACTCATTAGCCCGCTTCATATCCACAGGGTACAGCCATCGCTGGTACAAGTACACAAAGAACACCAGGTCATCGCGGAACACAGCGATGCGGTGCGACGTCGGCATGGTGATAATGAACGCAAACACGTCGTCGATGAACGTGTTGAACGCTTTGTACGTGAACACCCTCCATGGGAGGTGAGCTACGGATTTCAGCTTGTAGTTGACAAACAGCTGCGGCAGCATCATCAGAAATCCAAACACGTATATACCGTTGGCGGCACTATGAACAATCCATGACCACCAGCTATTGTACTGGAGGTACAGTAGACTGTATACAGCACAGCCCAGTACCAGCGGGATCAGTGCAAACTTGATGTAGCGGAACGCCTGCGAGTCGTGCACCTGCGTCTCCGCCTCAACGCTGGACAGGGCACCAAACTCAACCTTTGGCAGGCTAGAGAAGCCACGCCAATGAACGCTCAGCTTCAGCGCCTTCGTGACCTTCCACAGCTCGATAAAGCAGGCAATCCCGCTCGGAATCGTCACCAGCAGACTCGTATCCTCATCCACCAGGTACAGAAAGATAACAAACTGACTGAAGCAACGATAGAAGATGACATTACGAGACAAACCAACCATGTTCTTTCTTGACCTCCAGTAGTTAATGTCATTCTTGAAAGCAAGGAAGTCGAAGAGGATGTGCACGAACGAGACAAAGAAGGTCAGCGCCAGGAAATGCAGCTGGATGTGAAAGAGCTCCTTCACTTCGTCCATGTCCTTGTCCTTGAAGCCTAGCATCTGAAGCGTCTCGAATGACTTAGTAAACGCCGCCCACACACGCACTCGCCCAAGCATGTACGGCGAATAGTGGATCTTGAGCAGCATGTCCGTGGCGTTCTTTTCCACCGGCACCAGGTCCTTGTACCTCACTGCCATGTCATTGACATAGAGAATTGGCAGGTAGCGGGTGTTGTCAAAACGAAACAAGTGCATGATATCTCCGGGAAGGGCATTTCGGTCAAAAACCATATCCGTTTCTGCCAAGTGCAAAGATAACTTCGGTTTCCAATGAGTCATGGGTGGTTCGCTACTGGAAGAATTGGAACTATCAAGTGCCTGCTTGTTAGTAGCTGGCTTAGGAGTAGTAGAGTTAGAGCTAGAGTTGGTTGAACTGTTCATCGACGACTGTGCTAGATTCAAGAGGCTGACGGTTGCACGCCGTCTCACAGCATACTGTGTTAGTAGCACACGCTGACGGGCGAACTGCGACAGTTTACTGTTGCCCACGGCGCCCAGGAATATGTGCGCGTAGAGTGTGCCATTGCGGACGGTCGAGCGTGGCAGAGTCACGTTGACCTGGACAAAGACAATACATGTATACACCACACAGTACATGTAGACTCTGCGTCAGGGCACAATGAAGGAACGCCTAGATGGATCGAAGACAGGATGCAGTTACAGGCCTGATGTATGGCGCTTGACACAGTACTGTAAAAGCCATTATTCTAACGAGGCGAATATATAACGATTTCCCAAAATTGACAAGTTTACGTGCACCAAAGGTAACGATTCTCACTCATTCTCAACGCTCAATAGTACAGTATATGTATCGATTTCGGTATAACGATTTATATTTTAACGACAGATTTCTCCTCGTTAACTCGTTAGAGTTAGCACTTCGTTTTATATATATACGGCTTTTACAGTAGTTGGAAGTGATTGCAGGTGCCACCACTCACACATGTCATGTCACGGGAAGCCACTTTAAACATGCATCTATCTACCCATGACTGTAATCATACAGTGCAAGTCAATCCAAACGTCACTATTGTAGTATTCTGTCCCTGCAGGAAATTGCGGAAAAAACTCTCGAAAACTTGCGCAAGAAATTGCGGCAGAAAACAAAAATGCGACGAAAAGTGCGGAATGATGCAGAACTTGCCAGGAATTCGCGGAAGTATTTGCAGAAAATTGCGGGTTTGGGCCAAAATCACGAAATTTGTTGCATCATATATCTACTCGGGATTAGTACGAGTCGTGCTGTGCAAATAACCTACAGGATCATGGAAAGCACTGCGTGAAAAGTGCATAGAAATGTGAGATATAGTGCAGAAAACAACATAAAAACGCGGGAAATCGCGGATTTTGCTGAAAATCGCGGGTTAGGGCCAAAATCGCGAAATTTGTTGCATCCGTGGAATCGCGATTTCCTGGAGGGACAGAGTATTGAAGAAAAAAACATTTCTGGGTTCCCCATCCAGCTGTGACATAGCACTTGCACACCTTGTCCAATGCTCTACACATAGCCTGGGCCGCATTCTCTCCGTCTTTTCATGCTGACAAGGCTAATCTGCATGAAGTGTACGCATTTGTGCTAATTCAGATGCCCCAGCAGTGCGTTCCTATGTACATTGCACTTGCAAAGGCATAATAAAGCAATTTGAATGCAGCCATGTATGTAGCTGGTGTTTATTTTATTTATCTAATAATTATTACAGGGCGCGACAGGGCTCTCGGCCATTGAAGAAAATGTTGTATATCACCTCCACCACTACACTGCGCTCTTAGCCGACTAGACCCTCCTGCACTTTCCTTTTCTCGCGTTATCATCTCAGCTATGCCAGTTTTGTATGTGGAGAAGAAAACCTATATAATAGCAGTTTGGTCTTATATTTATCATTCATGATGCTACATGAGGAGACAATAGTGATGACATTTTTCCAATGAGACCAATTTTATGACGCTCCATGTTACTGAAGGACTAACTTCGATCATTGGTTTTGTAGAGCCCCATTCTCTAGGAGCTGTCTACATCTGCTTTGTTTCAATGTCCAGCATAAGCGAACGTGTGGATCAAGCATAACTGCTTGGTTGACGCTGCCGCGGGAATGCGTATAATAATAATAATAATAATAATTTATCATTCAACATCTACCATGACTGATGTGCTATGCATTATCGAAACAGCTGTCTGAAGGAGTTATCAATATCGTCTGCGGAAGTGTCCTCGCATTGGTGATGGTTGTGTGCAGGAGGGTCTAGTCGTCTAAGAGCGCAGTGTAGTGGTGGAGGTGATAGTCAACATTATCTAATAATTATTTGTTCTACAACAAACTTTTTATGAAACATCTATAAATGCTTGAAAGTATTATTTTACAAAAGAATGAATTGCTTACTTCATGATCGTGAGTGCTGTTCATGAAGAAATCCTCTTTCACATGCCAAATCGTCTCTCCAGATGTGAAGTCTACGGCATTTCCCGACGCGCTTATGGAGACCCTCAGCTGCAGAGGAGCATCTCTTGTCAAGAGGGGATAAATGCAATCGCGATTCACTCTGTTCGTTGTCATCTTGCAGCTTTCTGGATTGAATAAAGTGTAAATCTGGTGGCCCACCAGAGCCAGATAGCCAAAGAATATGGCCAGCACTACGTTGGTAAATGTACACAGCCCTGCCATCTCAACTGAGGGGAATTATCATTCATTCGATCACTGAATGGGAAAATATTACAGAATGTCACAACTACAATAAAAAATTAATTAATGTGAATTTCAAGCAGTCTGCCCAGAGTAGTAGTCCCTTCCGAAAGAACTGCACAACTGACAAGAGTCATGCACCTATTCTATTTCTGGTGAGTGCCAAAGAACTGAGGCGTAGGCCAGGTGTATCTACAAGCAAGCTACTCTGCAGGTAGTAAACCTTGCTTCTTGTTTAGCTGTAGAAAATATTGTAATGTACATGTATAAAAAACTAAAAGCTAAAAAAAACTGGAAACACTCCACTTGATCTGATGAGTGATGTTTGTGTAGCTACAGTAGCTGTCATGTGTTGTCAGTGTTGCCCAGGGAGTCGTAAAATACCGTATTTTTCGACGGCCTGCCGGTACCGCGGTGCGCGCTACATCATAGTACATGTATACACCAGGGAGTAGTACTATTGATACTATTGTACTACTCCCTGGTACCATGGTGGTATACACCAGGGAGTAGTACAAGGTATTGTACTACTCCCTGGTATACACTACAGTGGGAAAAGACAGACAAAATAATTCAAAAAATTGTTCCTGTTGAGCTGTCGTACCCGATCGTCGACGTTCAAAAATATTTGAAATGATTATGTGTATGTGTGTGGTTGTCGATTGTCATGCACAAGTCGACGAAGTCACAGATAATCAAAGGCAGCTCCGTGCTTGACACCGACATTGCCAGTTCCTCATACTCATAGTCGACTAGTACTAGTAGTCCGGCTGGCCTGAGCTGATTTATCCGAAATCCAACTCCGAGATTGCTGGATTATCGTAGTGTCTCTCTTCCTCTCCAACAAACGTATTACATTTTCTGCTTTGCTTGGCCATGTCGAATTACAATTATGATCCCCTGGCTAAAGGCGATATGGCTAAAGGACAAACCAAACCTGGAACGTTGCCACCGTATCAACCTGGACCTGGTAGCTATACAACATCGACCAAATCATCGACCAAATCGGTTGATCAGCCGAAATCAGCGCCCACTGTCAATGTGGGCAGAGTTGTAACAAATTTCTTCCAGGAGTCACCGATGTCCATCACTTGCACCCATTGCAATGCCACGGTTGTGTCGGAAACGCGCAGGGTACCAAACAGCAGGACGTGGTGTTTGTGCGCCACGATCTTTTTGCTCGGTGGCGTGCTAGGATGCTGTCTAATACCATTCTATAGTGATAGCTGTCGTGACGTGGAACATCGATGTCCTAACTGTGATGTGGCGTTGGGGCGCTGGTCGCCGAGTTGAGTATCTGGGAGTTGAGCATGATGCATCTCACAGGCTGTACAATGGGTTTGTGGGTGTAACGTATCAACATGCTGCTCTGGTCCATAAAATAATAATTACAACGATTCAACATGGTATCTCAATGTATCTGTGGACACAGGACGGTAGTGTTGCATAAACTTACCGATGCTACCCAGCGCGGTATGTAGTCCTGCTGCATTGTCGCGCCATCAGTGGAAGTATTTGAGTCGCCATAACACTATCAATGTGATAACGCGTTTGCTGAAATGAAGCCATCCATCGGAGTGCACTGGGTCGCTACGGTGTCGACCTGCATGTAAATGTTAGTCGCAGTCACAACACCATGTCTCCAAGAAAGTTGAGTATGGCTGACCAGCCAGAGACTAGTCACTATGCAACCTCAATGCCACTGCTATGTCAGGAGGCATTGTGTGGCTGCTGAAGCAGTCATCACCCTTCTCATGTACATTGTACATGACTTACAATATTGCTGCCATGTCTTGTGTAGTGACCCTGTACCATGCCCAAAAGAAGTAAACTCAACCAAATGTCAACGTTCATATCCAGTCTTTATCTCCTCTGTATTATTCTTACTATCTTATTCGCTTTACTCGAGCATCACCCTTCCTTTTTCTCTTCCCCGGACATCTCTCCATGTCTACCTGTTTCGTCTCCCTAGATATCGCCCTGTATCTATCTGTTGTTTATTCGGCAAAGAGGTTGTATCGTAGACAATATTCAGAATATCTCTATCTCTGCCCATGATGCTGTCGGCTGGTGCGAAGTGATGGCCACTACCTCCGCACCGCTACAGCATGCTATATCTTAGCCTACCCTTGCTATTGAATCCAGTTATTAATTTATGAAGAGACTATTTTTACATGCATTCCCATACCCATACTCCCAGAGATGTGTATCTTTAATACTTTTAAAAGGTTTGAGCTGGTGGCAGTCGGCTGCGGACTAGTTATTCCTCAAGACCTTTTTTTAAATACGGACAAGTTTTGATTTTATTTAATTATTCGCTGTACTTGACAACGTTATTTCAAAAACACTTCAAATGATAGTTGCCAATGTCTGTTGTGTGTGCATGTGGGTGTTTGTTTCGGCACTTCCGTGCACGTGCATGTGTACTTGATCGTGTTGGAAACTCTTTCCTGTCTTGTTCTGCGGATGGATGACTGCATTCCAGGCAGATGACTCCCTGCACGGGAAACTTTGCAGATACATCTGCTTATGTGTTGCACTGTATGCATTGCTGCATGTGTGTTAACTGCAGATATTCCGAGAGCTTTCGTTACCCTAAACAAACACGAGCCGGGTGTAGTAGTCAGCATCAATGAAGGCGGCCGTGCTGAGTTTGAATGCACTGCCCTTGTCAACCCCAAACCTATGTACCACTGGACACTGCAGCCGGAGAACATGCTCATACCACCGTACCGTGCCGTCTTCTCGGCGAACCAGCGCCGGGTCATGGTGTTCGATATCATGGAGAAGACGTGTGTCCGGTGTTTAGCCGTCAGCTCGCTGGGCAATGCAACAGCCACCCGATGTGTGGAGGTTCTGAGTAAGGCTGCTGCTGCCTCCTGGCTGCTCATGATGCTGAATGTCATGACTCCTAGCATTGCTTGTTCTGTACATGTGCATTACAGATTAGGGTCTCGCCCAGTCAATGCGGTTTTCTGCGGTCGTAACGGAACGCTTCCAAGCATGAAGATTTTAGCACCCTAGTCCCACGATCATGGTTGTGACAGAGGAAATTTGATGAGCAGTCAATCAGTCAAAATAGTGTACGGCCAGCCATGTTTTAGTGCTGCAAGTGTCCTTCAAGGCATTTTGAATCCCCAGTTCTACACACACACACACACACACACACACACACACACACACACACACACACACACACACACACACACACACACACACACACACACATCACTGAAGAGGAAGGTGCACAAAACAAAGAGACGATGTGCCGTGCGGAAGTCATGGCATTCCATTGGTTAGCGGCTTGATGTACACATGAACTTCTGCTCATCCACAGAGAATTGCTCAACACCAGACCGTGCCAGCTCTCAGACCCAGCGGCATGGTACAGGATGGCGTGAACACAGTAGAGGCAACTCAGACATGTTGGACAATGCAGACGGCCAGTCGGCATGCTTCATCTTTGTTGTGGACGAGAGTCACAATAGCATGCAAACATATCATAGGTAAGCTTATTAGGTGTGTGTATGGAGGGGGTGAGAAGGGGGGGGGGGCACTGGCACAGTGGGTACAGCCATGGCCGTATTCTAGCACTCGTGGAATGTCCAGTACGCACAAGCACTACTATAAGAAGCTATCGTCCTTCATGCACTCTCCTCACAAGAGTCTATCCCCACATAATAACGCGGACAAAATCCTAAAATTATGCGCTTAAAGGGGAAGTTAAGGCAAAAATCAAAATTTCACCAGTTGTAGTCTTTGGGGTGCTGAGTCGAATGGTCTTGGTCCGAGGAAGCTGAGACGCTCCCTTCCTACTTTGATCCCAATCGAACTCGCGCACTTCCACCGAAACTGGGTGACTGTGCCCTACTAGATGGGGATTTGTATGCAAAATGTCACTAAAAGCGCCATTTCGTTCTTATAAAAGCACGGATAACCGCGATTGGCCCATATGTTGTAGTCTTTTGGACGCTGAGTCGACTGGTTTTGGTCCGAAAAGGCTGCGATGCAGCGCTCCTCCTTTATTCCCAATCGAACATGGTTGAACAAGCGGCCACGTGCTCCTGGGTGCCCAAATCACCTGGTCACCGCGCCAGCAGGCGACAACTTTCACACCAAGGTTCAACTCGAGTGACAGGACTGCACCCAAAAAAGGTCAAACACGCTAGTAAGTTGTACCCTGCAGGCACGGTGACTGGTGTACGCAGGAGCACGTGACCGCTTGTTCAACCATGTTCGATTGGGAATAAGGGCCGAACGCTGCATCGCAGCCTTTTCGGACCAAAACCAATCGACTCAGCGTCCAAAAGACTACAACATATGGGCCAATCGCGGTCATCCGTGCTTTTATAAGAACGAAATGGAGCTTTTAGTGACATTTTGCATACAAATCCCCATCTAGTAGGGCGCAGTCACCCAGTTTCGGTGGAAGTGCGCGAGTTCGATTGGGATTAAAGTAGGAAGGGAGCGTCTCAGCTTCCTTGGACCAAGACCATTCGACTCAGCACCCCGAAGACTACAACTGGTGAAATTTTGATTTTTGCCTTAACTTCCCCTTTAATTATGCGGGGGGGGGGGGGGGCAGGGAATATGCGGCAAATATTAGAGAGGTTGCGCACAACGAAAATTCGTAGCGCCGTAACGAATATTTTTAACGAAAAAACTAACGAATATTCGTAAATCGTGAGGTTGCGCAAAACGCGTGAACGTTTTCGTAGTGGGTCGACGCGGCGGCCGCGCGGGTACGAAGAGTCAAGACAGGGAGTTGTAAAATATCAGTATTTTAGTACTCCAGGTAACGAAAAATATTTTCGTAGATCTGCTCTGTTTCGGTCACGTTTGGACGGATCTTCGGAGCTACTTTCGTTACTCGAACCCGGACGGGCGAAATCTAACGAATTTTCGTTGTGCGCAACCTCTCTAGTATGTAGCAACTGTACATGGTATGGCTTACAATAATAATTTTACCCAGCCTATAACATGTGGGTTTTTGATGCATTATGCACTCATCCTGCAGGTGGCTTCAAGAGGCCAGCTTGGGACGGCGCCTAGATGTAGACCTACTGCGGCGTAACGTTGGTGTGTTTCGCCGCACACAGTATTGCATTGTCAGTTTCGACAGCGACCAGGAAGGAGGGCATGTGTGGCAGGTCGGCGCCAGGGAGAGCTGCGGTACCGCCGATGAGTTTGACCAAGCCGTCGACGGCCTGAAGGCCATTGGCAGGTGAGCATGGTAGCCGATTGCTCTACTCAACTCAGTGTAGAGAGTAAGCACATGCGCAAAGTGTCCTAAGTCTCTTTCAAATGATATATCGCTACTAATCCTGTGCCCCAGTAATCAACTCTCTGATAAGTAGCCACTGCAATAGTATGCATGTACTTGTGCAGGCCCACCGGAACCGGTCCGGTTGGTCAGGTTATCACCGGACCGACTGTTGGTCAGGTTATCACCGGACCAACTGTTGGTCACCAACACATGTTTCTTACCGTGGAGGGCTGGTGTACCCCCGCCATATCGTACACAAAGCACGAAAGGCGATGAAACTACGTACCAAGTACCAATCAATCAAAAATCAAAAAACTACTTCCGGCGCTCCTGTTGTAAGTGCACTTCACATACAATCATGTACCTTTGTTTGTACATTCTCCCTATAATTACAGATGGGATGATAGCTACGGCAGTATATCCCTAGCCCTCGACTCACTGCCATGTGTCAAGAAGTCAGCCGTGCAGATCATACTCATCACAGACCAAGAGAGACCGAACCTGGCTGACGCACCCAGCGTCAAGCAGATGATCCAGAAACTCGCGGAGCACAACGTGATCGTAAACACGCTCGTTCGCTATCCAATAGCAGCTTCAAGCACCCACCGCGCCCTGGGAATGGAAAGTGATGGGTCAGTAATACTGCCGTCGCGTCAGCGGAGGATAAACAATGCGTCTCTTAGCGACACAGTGTCACGCCGGCGCATATTCCAGGATTACGTAATGCTGGCACGACTATCTGGTGGCAGTGTGTTCGACTTGGACATGTTGGGAGTGGAGTCCCTTGCCGATGTAGCTCGCAAGGACATCCTGGTTATGGATATAGCTGGCAGAACTGTACAGCAGCTGACAAGTACATGTAGTCAGTGCAGCTGTGATAACAGTACTGTGCAATGCATCCCAGTCAGTTCTACCGTACGACTGTACTGCGAACAGCCTGTTGGTAAGACTGTGTATGACTAAGTTTAAAAGTACATGTATGAGCAGGGATGAATTTACTGTCAGGTTTTTGCATAGCAGTTTTTGCTATGCAAAATCTCAATTGTGGCGTAAGCTACAAAAAGCATGGATAGCCTGTACATGTATGTATTGCAGTTTTCTGCGTGTCACTGTGATTTTTGAGTAGCAGTAGATCGATTTTGCGTAGCAAACTGCGATGCGATACAGGATAAATTCATCCCTGTATGAGCATGTGTACTTCATTGAGGGAAGACAGGAGGCTGAGAGCGATGTGTACCTGTTTGTGTACATGTGCGTGCATACGCTCCTAGCACCCCCCCCCCCCCCAAACCGATCTCGTTCTTGTGTATGTAGTGTGGGCAAGCAAGGATGTACCAAGAACGATACCTGCATGTTTTCAGGCGGTTGAAGCTACTACAGTCGTCCCTCTCTAATCCGGCACCTTTTGCAACGGCATTTTCTGCTGGATAAACAAGGGTGCTGGATTATCAAATCCTGCCCCCCCCCCCCCAACCCGGCCCACCTATTTAACGTACATGTTTGTGTTGTACGTCAAAACGTAGGGATTTTCTGTGTCAATCCAAGTACTTTGTGGAATGCATGTCTATAACACACACTTGGGAATAATATCCTATGCACTGGCATAGGATATTCCCAAGTGTATGTTACATGTGTTGTATATGTTTACAATGCTCCCTGATAGCGATTTACAATTGCTGGATTAGAAAATCGAATTATGTACAGTTTGAGTGATTTGTTGCAGAAAATCGCTGCTGGAGGCGGAATTCAAGTGCCGGATTAAAGCGTAGAAAAAGAACTGAAAAAAATCCGTTTTGCGAGAAATTGTGCTGGTTTGCAAGGGTGCTGGATAAACAAGTGCCGGATTAGAGAGGGACGACTGTACTTGTGTTGTCATGCCACTGGGATTGGCACCAGGTGCAAAGTAGTAGTGCATGATAGCACAGAACTTGAATAGCGTTTGACATTAAGGTCGTTCGTAATGACTAAATTTTAGTCATTACGAACGACCTTTCTGCACACTACACCGCATTTTGACTACACCTCTTCACGTGCCTCCAGCAAGTACTGTATTTACCGCGGAGGAGGAAGGGTAGCCCCCCCCCCCCCCCTCTCAACAAGAAGGCTGCAGGAGTCTATGCAACCTGGTTTTGACGTACTCTTAGAAACATAAATCAAGTGTTTGAAAGTGTTCCATTATTTGTGGCTCGGCGGTGGTGCTGTGTTCTTAGAGAGTGCAAGCGTCAGAGCTACCGTTGTGCCAGGCCAGGCATTACTGGCAAGGGGTTCGCAAATCGAGCTGCACTGCGTGACGCATGGCGTAGCACCCATACTGGTGACGTGGCAGCCGCACTCACTCAACGCCGTAGCCAGCAGAAACGGTGAGTCATAGTGCACCGTCGGTGTTGATGTGCTTGAACACATTTAAGGTCGGCAGAGCAGCCTGGTCCCGCCACCACTTCTCGTGCCTATTTGGGAATACAGTGATCTTTCGTATAAAATAATTAAAAAAGGTAAAAAGTAGCCATCATGACTTCTTGGTGAATTGCTAGCTGATTATTGCAGTCACCATCCTCGGTTGGGTAGGTACAGTGCAGTGCTTTGCTCATTACCATACTGTAGAGAATACAGTTGCAGGTAACGCTAGTCAGGTAGCCAGGTACACATGGCTCCACTGGCAATAGAAGTTATGCGAATGATGTCATGGCGGTGAGTAAGCTAAACCGTTTATAGGCACTATGCCGTCCTGCGCTCTGCCGTCCTGCGCTCTGCCGTCCTGCGCTATGCCGTCCTGCGCTGCACTGTGCTATCCTGCACTGTGCTATCCGGCACTATGCTGTCCTGCACTATGCTATCCTGCACTATGTTGTCCTGCACTGTGCTATCCTGCACTATGCTGTTCCTGCACTGTGCTAACCTGCACTATGCTATCCGGCACTATGCTATCCTGCACTGTGCTATCCTGCACTATGCTCTCCTGCACTGTGCTCTCATGCACTGTGCTATCCTGCACTGTGCAATCCTGCACTGTGCTATCCTGCACTACGCTATCCTGCACTATGCTATCCTGTACTGTGCTATCCTGCACTATGCTATCCTGCACTATGCTGTTCTGCACTACGCTGTCCTGCACTATGCTATCCTGCATGATGCTGTCCTGCACTATGCTATCCTGCACTATGCTATCCTGCACTATGCTATCCTGCACTATGCTATCCTGCACTATGCTATCCTGCACTATGCTGTTCTGCACTACGCTGTCCTGCACTATGCTATCCTGCATGATGCTGTCCTGCACTATGCTATCCTGCACTATGCTATCCTGCACTATGCTATCCTGCACTATGCTATCCTGCACTATGCTATCCTGCACTATGCTTGTTGTGTATGCACTACCCAAGATAACAGAACAAGAGAACAGTGCTATTATATCCTGCACATTCACATCTCACGAGTCACGTGGGTGTCAAGGTGAAAGCTCTAACGTGGTCACGGTGCGTTTGCCCGTGACGGCATGTGCTTTTCTCTAGGTTCTCTAATGCTCTACGACTTTCAGCGTCGAGACATTGGCAAGTACGTTTGTATGGCTCGGGGAAGTCAGGGCTATGCTACCTCGACTGCTGAGCTTGAGATGGGTGAGTTCAATTCAACTTCTGTCTAGCACAGCTCTAACCTACTCTTTACTAGCGTAACGTGATAAAATTAATATTTCATTGCGTAGACAGTATGTGTACTGTTGTGTACTGTTTCTGTGGACACATCAGCATAGCACAGAGAAATGAAGCCAAACTTGGTAGCAGTGAAATATTTAAAAAAAATCCTCAATGCTGTAGACAGCAAGCTGTTTCGGCCACAAGGCCTCATCAGTACAGCTACGAGCTAGCAAGCCGAGCTACCAGCCATGGTGCAAAGGAGGCACCACAGACATTTTAGCTATCTTAAAAGATAGCTCGTCGATCTAGCACCAGAGTGCTCTAACTACGAAAAAGTAGCGGGCAATGCGTAATGCAGCAGCACTACAGCAGCCTACCCAGAGTGCTCAACAAGACTAACGCCGAGGACCCCAATACCCAATGCTGTAGACAGCAAGCTGTTTCGGCCATAAAGGCCTCATCAGTACAGCTACGAGCTTTAAAGCCAAGCTACCAGTCATGGTGCAAAGGACGCACCACAGACATTAAGATAGCTCCTCGCTCTAGCAAAACAATCCTTAACACTAGAAAGCCAGGGTCCCGATATGCCTTGCGAGAGAGTTTGCACCAAGAGCTCTTGCTATGCTGGCACGAATGTCTTGGTCAGGTGGAATATGCAAACAATACCGACCCTCAAACACCAATCATATACAATGGCATGCTCTCATTGGCCCTCGATTGTCATGTTCGCATACTTGAACATTTCCCCGAGATGTGAACGATGATAAGGGACCGAGGAACTGTGAATTCTCCACGGGATGCGTATGCTGAAATGGGATGTATACGGTGTACCGACGCAGTTCATGAAATTGCGGTCGCAAATCGGATATTTTCCGACCGCTTTCGGTCATTGTCCGGGCGAAATAACCGTGCAATGAACAAAGTGTCCGATCGATCGGAGACAAAAATAATGATCATAAAAAACTCCATGTACAGCTGTGCACACACGCTTGTGCTGCAATCAAAAATGGCGAGTTTAGCCTACTCTAGGGAAGAGAAAAGGTGCCCAAGATGGCACTCCTGGAAAGAAGCTCTGTGCTGTGCGTGTGGCCACTTGTGACAAGTGGACTGCAGAGCTTGACAAGGACCCTTCGATACCCATTTGGTTGGGGTAAGAGTAAGAGAGATGCAAAGACGAACGCACAGTGGTGAAGTGCGTAGATGCAAGGTTTGTGTGCGGTTCACCGAGAAATTTCTCGGAGTCCTTCATCGTTGGGTCATTTAAATAAACGTTGGCTTTCAAAGACACGTGTGGCAAACTGGTACGTGCGGGCATGTCCGAACTGTCAGGACATTATGTCAGTGCAGAATGACCATGATTAAATCAATTTTTCTTATCGCATGGCCCGCCGACGTGAGGCGTATTGTCACCGCAAGCACAGAATCCCTGTGCTACAGCCTAGTACAGTGCATACACTCTGCACAAGCAGTGACTGTGTACACATGTGTACACAGTGCAGAGTAGGCAACACAAGCAACCGTGACATGTATGTGTGTGTGTGTGTGTGTGTGTGCGTGCGTGTGCACGTGCGCGTGCGTGCGTGTGCCTGATGACCACCGCTCACGTAATACACATGAACAACGCATCCCACACAGACATAATACCATTTTAACAAAGCGTGGTGGAGCTTGGCCATGCCAGGCATACCTAGTACATGTACAGTGGAAATCAAGTTATCTACACAAACAAACATGCAAAACTCTGATACGACATGCCCTGGACGTGTGGAACAGGAAAATGTGTCTATTTATGTCAGGTACAGTAGTTCTATGGGAACATACCTCAAATATGGAGGAATACACCCCACCTGTGGCCTGGATAATATCCATGCCGAGAAACTATACGTCATACCAGAGTATACACTAGCTGAGTTCCTCTGTACATTTAGCAAAGCGTAGGGAATAACGGGTGGGCTTTTTGTGACATCCATGTTTCCCCCGTGCCAGGCCACAAGTTCCCAGAGGGAAACATGGATGCAGCAAAATAATTAATAGGATTTTTCGATCTTTGTCAACTTAGTAGCGGGTCTGATCTACCCCCACCCACTGCTTTACAACCTGCATCTATGCATTTGATCCTGAGGGTGGAGGCGCCCCTACACCGTAGGCTACAGATGCGGAAAACTCAGGCTAACTGAGTGTAACGCGAATCGTGGTTTTTTCTTCTGACATCACACGTCTGCGGCATGGTTTGAGGAAAACTGACATGGTGTGCATTGCGTTCTACATGTATATGTATATGCCCTGGCTTCAGATCTTCTGTGTGAACAGCCACTAATACCAGCCGCCGGTTACCTCCAACCGTCATCGCGACGCTACAGCATCGGCAGCTCCGTGGACGTGTACTGCAACTACGGCCACGCCCGCGTTGGTTACAAGAGACTGCGCTGCCAACCCAACGGACAGTGGTCGCTGCCAAGCCCCAAATGCGAACGTGAGTTTACCACCGACTCGTCTTGCTTACCCGAGCACAGTAAAGCAAATCATGCCTGCCTTGTACCCTGGTCACCATGGTCACTGAGCGGCTGTCATTAGTGTGATCTGCCGCCGCACATCTGGTCTCCTTATCCAGCTTCAACTGACTGGAAATTCAGATTTTTTGGTCAGGGTTCCAGTGGTGCAGATGGTCACCTTGGCACGCTTGACTGTGGCATGAAGTCGCTTGATGTGTCTTCACCGTTCATGTGAATCGGGCAGTTCTCAGGCGCAAGATTTGATCAATTTCATTCGTATCCGGTATGCCACTGTACAACTACAATAGAAAACCAGTGGGAGTGCCGTCACAGTGTCAGTGCACTTGCAGGCAGTGTCAGTGCACTTGCAGGCAGTGTCAGTGCACTTGCAGGCAGTGTCAGTGCACTTGCAGGCAGTGTCAGTGCACTTGCAGGCAGTGTCAGTGCACTTGCAGGCAGTGTCAGTGCACTTGCAGGCAGTGTCAGTGCACTTGCAGGCAGTGTCAGTGCACTTGCAGGCAGTGTCAGTGCACTTGCAGGCAGTGTCAGTGCACTTGCAGGCAGTGTCAGTGCACTTGCAGGCAGTGTCAGTGCACTTGCAGGCAGTGTCAGTGCACTTGCAGGCAGTGTCAGTGCACTTGCAGGCAGTGTCAGTGCACTTGCAGGCAGTGTCAGTGCACTTGCAGGCAGTGTCAGTGCACTTGCAGGCAGTGTCAGTGCACTTGCAGGCAGTGTCAGTGCACTTGCAGGCAGTGTCAGTGCACTTGCAGGCAGTGTCAGTGCACTTGCAGGCAGTGTCAGTGCACTTGCAGGCAGTGTCAGTGCACTTGCAGGCAGTGTCAGTGCACTTGCAGGCAGTGTCAGTGCACTTGCAGGCAGTGTCAGTGCACTTGCAGGCTTGCCTGCCACCAATAGGGCTATTAGGGGTGAGAGCAAGACCTGGAATATGGGGGGGGGGGGCAGGATTATGGCACGTTTAGCGGCATGGATGTATCAAGTCAACCTGTACCGAAGGAGATGTTTGAGTACCCCCCCCCCCCCCCTTCACCTCACCTACCTCCTCCTGGTTGCACCACTGTGATACACTCGTCCGTAGAAAATCTCTCCCATTTCGAGAGATAAGCCAATAAGGATTGCGCAGCACGTACTACATGCATTGTGGTGAGGTAGAGTGTACTTAGTGTACTTCAAGTATTGTGCACTGACTTGCACGCAACTGCACAAAACACAGAGGGTTGCCCAGCTGTATTTGCTGAGTGGCTGGAGGTGTCCAATTTTCTGGTGAAAGGTACTCTTGGCAGCACTGCATACCGGTATGTGTGTGTGTTCATTTACTTGACTGCCTGCACAGCCGTGGCGTGCTCTCGGCCGAGCGCCTTCCCAAACGGCCGCATCCGCGGCAAAGTGTACACGTACGGCATGAGCATACGGTACGAATGTGATGACGGCTATCGGCTGGCTGGCGTGTCCGAGCGGCGGTGCACGGCCATGGGAATCTGGACCCATGCCACGCCGCGCTGCCGAGGTAAGCAAACAAATACACACTCTATAAACAACATGGGGTCAAAGCGCGAGCTCCCATGTAGGCAGCAACACACAATTCCACGGTTGAGTCGAAATGATCGATAACTTTCAATTTTTGATAGTGCACTGTAAGCCTCCCATAGGCTGCTCAGAAAGGTCTGGTGCTGGTCAGGCACGGAGACAGACATGTCAAACAATATACAGAACAGATGGTTTGGACATATACTATACATGTTACGGCGATGATGTACATGCACTCGATCTCTCGAGAGCTACATTGTGTATGTAGCTGTTTCGACCTTGTTAGGTTTCATCAGCGGAGGTCAGAGTGGCTGGCCGACTGTGTGAATGACTACACGTAAATGCACCATATTTCAGCTCTTCATACACGTTGGGTGTTAAATGACTTTCATAAATATCCTGGAAACAGTGAAAAGTGCACAGCTCCAAACATTGTCAGATGTAAACTGAGACGTTTGCCACTAGTCGACACAGTAACGTTCAATAAGAAGATCAAAGATCGTTTCTTGGCCCGACGTCGGTATGATTAAATTCTGAGAAGCCACGTGCTAGTGCAGGGGACTCAGCCTTGAGCTGGAAGTGGTCAGTGATGGGATCCGTGAACAGCGGATCGGCAATCGTGGAATGCTGATCGTGCCCGGTTGCTTGCCAGCTGCTGAAGTTGAGGGCCATGGGGAAGGTGAAGGCAAAGTACTGGTTCTCACCATGGTGTGTGTTATAGTAGACATTGTAGTCCCATGTTTGCATGCTAAACTGCGTCTTCACGTCATGGCTATTGTCCTGGACAAGCCGAGCTGGAGTGTCGCTGCTGGAGCAATCCGAATAGATGATGTTACAACTAAAGTTGGTCACAGTCAATGTTCGAATCAGCAAGATCCGATTGTAGTCCTCCGCGCGGATGTGTCGATGTACAAATATGTTATCATGGACGTAGTTTGGGTGCGTATCTTTTGGTTCAATGATGTCGCCGTTGCTGTTGAGAAATATCGGCGAAGCACCGATGTTGTAGACTAGATTATGGTGAACATGCACACCACTGGAACCGTAATCAAAGTACAGACCATTGCCTCCCATTGAGTAGCTGCGAAAGCCTCTTAACACATTGTTGAAGACTTCAACAGTGGGCTCAGTGGAGTTGGGCAACGCTGTGTGCACACCACCCCAGTCGGAAATGGACGTGCTCATGTTGTCGCGCGTATCGCCCAGCGACTCGAACAGATTGTACGCGACGGAGCTGTGTGTCGACGTAGTTATGATTAGCCCGTCTGAGGACAGGTTGGCGAAAAGGTTGTGCGTGATGCTAACACTGGTTGATCGGCTAGACATCACACCAACTCCTTGTCGCCATGTTAGGCCGGCATGCGTGAAGCGACAGTCCATGATGCTGAAATCAACCATTTCTGTGGAAGTGACACACGATGCACCCACATCATCAAACCAGCTACCTACTAGATCAATGTGCTGTACGTTGACCATCCCCAGACCATCAGCGCCAATATGCTGAAAGGTGAGATTGGACATGGAGATGCTCGTGGAGTTACGCACGGAGATTGCGGCTGTGGCTACAGGCAGTGGCCCAGACCCGTGCAGGCCAGTACTCCTATAGTGTTGCTGCAAGTCATGTCGCCATGAGGCCGGTTGGAAGTCCCGAGGTCTTTGCAGAGGCAGCAGCCACGACGTGTGTGCCAATGTGATGTTCTCTAGCACAACATTCTCCGATGTGTTCAAAACCAGAACCTGAGCCAGTAATGGGATAACAACATGGCTCGCTGCAGGAGACAGACAATCAGGTGGTGAATAGACAAGCAGCTTGCGGCTCGCTTTCGTGACCACTCGAAATGTACCACTGGCCCGTTGCATGGGTTCTTCGGGAACGTTCTACACAAAGAACCTCTTGTTGCCGTGTATGTTGTCGTCAAATGCGTATTTCCAGTACGTTGGTTCATTGACAATGAGTGTTGTGTTGCTGGTGATGATCTTCTTCACACTATGCACATCCGACGCCCACTGGTGAAATGCAGTGAGAATCCATTGTGACACGGACGCGGGACTTTCCAGCGACCAATACTCCGGGAACGTGTCGTACACAAAGCCGTGGTGATTCACGGCCGCGGTTTGATTCTCCTCGTCCAGACTGTGCAGCCAGTGGAGCATCTGTGAGCGCACCAGGCCATGGCGCACACCGTCCACCCAGATGCTGTGCACGAGAGAACCGTGCAGCGGGCAATCACGTCTGTGATATCGTACTGCCAGAGACCACAGGTGAAATTTGTATCGGTTTCGTCAAATGGTGCCGCTGCCATGGAGCACGGTGCAGGCATCCATTTTGAACTGCCGTCTGCTTGTAACTGCTTGCCTCCACTGAGAGTAGCACGACCGTACCCAGCCAGGATATCTAGGGGATATGTAGCCAGAACAATGTGACTAGGCAGGTACACTGGCTGCGTCTGTTCATAGCGACAGCTGCTGGCACTACCGGTGCTCGATGTACAGCGCAGCCACACGTACGCAGTGCCCCTATCGCTGACAGCAACCAAGCTATCCAGTGCTCGCTGAAGCGATGCAAATGGCTTCTCTAGTGAGCCATCAGCACTGCTATCTGAACCCAGTGTTGAGACAAACACCTGCTGCACGTCATCAACAGCAGACCGCCTAGCATGTACTGCCACTGACAGCAGGACAGAAACGCTCACCAGGAAAGTGGCGAATGAATGGAAAAGGGAATGTGATGGTCGGCGACGCATGGTATGAAAGGATTGCAGAGTAGGCCGGCCTGTGCCTGTGAAAGCACACTCCTGCTAGCATGCTCTGGCTACTAGACTTTACAAGATGCAAGCAAGTTACAACCCGTAACACTTATGGTTACTTACTACGGAAAGATGTTCTGTTGCACTGGCAAAGAAAAGGTACTCTATCTACATTCGTAGTGAGCGACATACTATATAATCCTAAGATATACAGGTCACATCATCTCTGGTAGATTTCGCTGCTGCAGCTCAGGCTGACATATGTCTGTCAAGCCCAGGACTTGACAAGCAGGTAGACAGGCATCTCTAAGACATGGCCAGTCATGCATGTCTGGTTATCACCACATTCTGGGAATGCTCCACTTATCAGGATTGAGCCAAACATAAAAGAAAACCTGTGCTTATGGTCCTTCATTTGTTGGTATATGAAAGCTCTTTTGATCGACAGCATGTTACATGGCGGAGGACATACTGTGTTGAAAAACAGTGCTCCTGACTACAACCATCATCGGTTGGCAGAGCCCTGGTCTTGACAACGAACCATCATACAAATGCCAGACGTTACAAATATAGGGCTGAGACGGATATCCCAAACATTCATTCGTTAAGCTGCACAGCGGAATGAACATTTGTGATGTGACAAATATTCGAACTTTATTATTATAAACTACCGTACTGGCAATATATGTTGCCGCGTAACGCGTAACGCGGGGGGGGGGGGGGGGGGTGCGGCGTAACGCGCGACCAGGCTAGTGCGACAATTTTTCGTTGAGTTCGTAACGCGCGTCCGGCAGGGTGCGGCGATCTTTTCATTGCAGTTTGCACTGCAAAAAAAGGCTGAAACTGTGAAAGCACGTGTACCGCGTGGTGAAAAGTAGTTTTTGGAGGAAGCGCTCTTCCTATGTCACTTTCCTTTTTTTGATGATCTTTTTGTGAACAGATCGCTCTGATAGTTTTAAAAAATATAGTCTTCTATTGATATCGTTGTCGCCCTTTGGCGTCGGGTTTGTAACAGTTGGATAGCAACTGAATTTCTGTGCCTTCAATGTGGATGAAAAGAAAAAAGGATGCGGCAAAAGCAAAAAAATGATGCGGCAATAGCAAAAAAGTGATGCGGCAATAGCAAAAAAAGGACGTCGGCAATATAGAAACCTGTGTAACGGCTCCTGTGCGACTTTGCATGTAACGCCCTGCGTGCGGCAAACATGTGCCAATGTAACGCTTCATGGCCTCACTGCGGCAACATATATTGCCAGTACGGTACATGTAGTTAGCTAGCAAACCAAAGTACTAACAAAGACCAGCTGAAGAACAAGAACCAGGGACAACTTTCTGGTTTCACTATTATACCAGATGGCTCCCAACAGACCTACTTTGAAGTAGATTTTCTACTGGGAACCGGCCTAGGATCAGGTTGCACTTCCTGGTCACTATGTGATCATCGTATCACCCATGATTCACACCTCTTGCATGGCAACATCTGACTCCCCGGGTGTTGTTAATTGACACTGCTGCTACCCTTCCGTATTTGTACCGAAAATCACTCCTTCATTCTCACTATTTGAGCAAAATAGTACGGAAAATTGAAGTGGATCAATCAGCTACAGCAATTAAGCAGAAGCACGGCAAGTGGGATCTGAGCGATGAACATCTCTGTGCCAAAGCGAGTGTACGTCGTTCCTCGGCTACTAGGCCTATCGACTACACGTAGCAGAAAAAATCAAGTGTTAGTTGTGGTACAAGGTTTGCACGAGCAAATTCAGCCACCAACGAGCATGTGTCAAAAACGCGATACAAGCTCTGCACACGGCACTACATCGGCAGTACGCAAAACACTGCAAAATACGGAAAATCCAAAGGCGCAGTACAGTAAACAGACCCAGTTGGTTAGCAGCTCTGAACACCCATAGGATAGATGTGTGCTGATCGAGCTAAGGCCCGCACATAACAACAACTCTGTGCTGGGTTTATGTGCCGTGCTGTGACTATTTCTCTCCGCTTAGAAATTGACTGTGGGCAACCAGAAGACATTGTGAATGGCAGAACAGACTCCAGTGACGGCACGGTGTTCCAGAGAATAAGCCGCTACTACTGCAACGGCAATGCTGTACTGCTCGGCTCACGGTCACGTGTGTGTCAGAAGAATGGCCTGTGGTCTGGCGCACAGCCTGTATGTGTGGATTTCTCAGGTGAGAAACACAGATTAATAAATAAATACGGAGATTGCGGAAATAATTATAACAATTTTAAAGTTGAACTCGGGTGGTTCACCATAATAATTTTTATTTATTTATTAGGGGCCGTCCAAGGTTACCAATAGTATTTTCAAAACGAAAAGATTTCGTTTGGGGGTGGGTGGGTTTGAAGGAGTTTCGTTTTGGAAATAATTATTGAATGCAGATGGAGAATACCCAGTTACTTCTGGGTGTCGAAAATTGACATTAAAGCTTTTCGTTTCGCGAAAACTATTGGTAACCCCGGACGGCCCCTTATGGTTAGGCCATGGTGAAAAATTACCTTTGATTCTCAAGTACGCGCACACCGATTTTTGGCGGCGCACCGACGATTTTTTAATTTCTATGCATGCATGTGTGCGCATGAAAACGGTCAATGCGAAAGGCATGAATCAGGGAGTAGTAAAATACCGGTATTTTTCTACTCCCTGGCCTGAATAATAAAATAATTATATGAACCTGTGACGTACATATGTGTTACCCTATCTTTAGAAATAAAAAAATTGTGGGAAATAAAATAAAAAATCGCTCGCTCGCACCGATTTTCACAGGCTCATGACCTGAGAATCAACTTATTTGTTACCATGGCCTTACCTTGATTGCTTTTGAATCGAGAGCGTGGGCCACAAGCTTGGCTCCCATAAGCCAAGATCAGGTCCGGGAGGCAAAGGTTTTTATCCAAAGATTATGTGCACATTATTCGAGTACAGACAACTCTCAACAGAGAGATTTCAAAGATGACTCGACATGAACGGATACTCAAGTAGAAGTTGAACGTTCAAAAAATACACACAAAATGCACAAAGAAGGTGTAAAGTAGAGTTTGACACGTTCAGTGCACAACTGGCGAAAAACGGGAAAACTGAACGGTAGACGCACCAGCGTCTGACGTGGGCAAATCGGTTGCAAGTACTTGCCTGAAGTAAAAAGTTCAAACAGTTTCCTTTGATAAAAGCGCGCCATGCCGTACTGTATCGTAGCGATTTGGTTCGCTGGAGAGTGGTGGTTTTGTGAAGTGCGTCAGGCCGCGACAGAAAAAGCACAAATGCGGTGTGACTCCACGTCAGCGTCAAGTGTCACCACTATAATTTTTGTAGTTATCTTCATGAGAGAGGTTCCGCATAATGTAATTGCGTTAGTAAAAAATGTAGTCGATCTACGGAAAGTCTTACGTAAACTGCATGCGCATCTGGGTTCCGCTATACGGAGTTTCCAATCACGTAGCTGCCCTTGGCAACTCCGAACGCGGCAGTGTACGACCAGATCGACCTGGGAGAGAGTCATAAATTTGTACCCCAATCCACTTACGTACCAGCTACGTTATCAGAGCCCTATCTACGTACTCTCCGTAGACAACTTTCCGTAAGTGGAGTGCAAACTCGCGAATGGCACGTATTCATCTAAAATGGCGGACACCCACGTTGCATACATGGTATGGGCGCACGTGAGCCACGCTGTGGGGACACTTGTTCGATTCCGCACACAAATGTATACAAATGCGTGGAAAAGAAGTTTCTCTAATCGCTGGAACTTGTGAGTTTTTTTCCGATATAGACTACTGGTCTTCAAGGTATACAATAGTAGTGACCCAACAAAGTGGAATTTGCGGAATACAACGTTCGAGACGGCTCAACAAGTCAAGAGTAAAGTGCGAATTTACTATGTACGCAAATGAGAAAACCTACTTGTTTCCCCGCAGCGCTAGTCACGTGCGCCTTCATTGAATACCGTATTATCTCTAAGACTCTAATATAAGCACGGTCCTTTATTTTTTCAATGTACCTCCGCCCCGTGCTATTAATGGAGACGTTCCTTTATTGGAGACTGTTCCATTATTATTTCAACCTCATTTCAGAGGCATGTTGCCATGCCAAATTCATGTATGACACACACATTTCAGGGGTTTTTTCGCCAGTACAGATAATGAATTTAGACAGTGTGCCTATAATGGAGACTGAGCACTTTATTATTTGAATGCCGCCCCAAGGTGTTCTATTATTGGAGACGTGCTATTATTGGAGACTGTGCTTATATTAGAGACTAGCAGCACCCGGCCAGCGTTGCCTGGCCGAACGTGGCATGCGGGCGAAGCAAGTACATGAACAGCACACGTGCTCAGCACGTGGTGGTGGCTACACGATTCGCACGCTTCGCGTGCTCAGTGCTTCTGTGGCTGCTTCCGCTAGCTACACGATTCGCACGCTTTGCGTGCTCAGTGCTTCTGCGGCCGCTAGCTACACTGTTCGCACGCTTCGCGTGCTCAGGGCAGCGCTGCTCCGCAGCGCTTCTGCGTAACACACAGACAAACACACGTCACAGGTGCCTCTTCTTTATAGTATATATAATACGGTATGTGCCATTCACGGGCTTTTCCCGCCCACTACGGAACCTCTCTATTATTACTAACTGGCACCATGGTGTACAGTATATACTCGTACTCCAATGCAAATGAAACTCGTGGGGTTGGCTCCCAAAGCAAAACCAGAGCCGGGAGGCATCGGTGGTGATCACGTGCATACAGTCCGAGCATCAAAACCTTCTACATATGAACCGCTACAGAATGTGCCCCGATGCTACGACAGACACGGTTGCCTATTCGAGCGTGCTTGGGACAGTAAGGGTCTCTTGGTGACGGACACTGGATGATACTGTCCCTCAGATACTTGCTATTCCGCGGCCGCGTTGTTTTCCGCGATTTGAACAAAAGTCCGTGCTATCCGCGATATTTGAAAAATCATCCGCGTTATTGTAGAAAACTGTCCTTGATACTTGAAAAGCAACCGCGATATTTGAGTCTTTCTTCGATGTTGTTTAGTTCTTCAAGCTCGTCAGTAGTTTACTTGTGAGATCGACACCAGAATGGAGAAGTTTCTGGGCAAATCAGCGGCTGACAAGTCACAAAATAAGGCTCGCGTCGAGTGTTGTCCGAGGATGGAGGAAAGCTGTCTTGCAAGCTCCTGTCAGGCAGTTGAACACAGTCAGTGCAGCACACGTACGAGTCGTACAGCATAAATCATGCATGACAAAACAGAACATCGTACACCACTACGGTACAAGTACCAAAATCGGCCGCAATTTTACCACAATAGTCCCGCAATATTTGACAAAATCCGCAATATTCCCCGCAATTTGTGGCATTTTACCTCGCAACTTTTTCCGCGATATTTCCGAAATGTCTCCGCAAGTTTCTGGAAGGACAGAATTGATACCAGTTTTACTCTCCGTGATGAAGCACTTTTACTTCGTTTATCACGGTGTCGAATAATGTATGTGAGCTTGGATAGTCACAAAGTTTTAATGACCAATTTATTTTCGTTAAACTTTGCAATTTTCTACCTTTTGCAATGATTCTCAGCGAATTTATGAGCCCGCCCGGTACGCTGCAGGCTCCGGTATAGTGCTTGTAATCTGTGCGGCGAGTATATTACGTAAAGCTAACCACGCAAGGCGTGAACCTGGTGGCACAACGGGTGGATCTTGTGCACGGTCGAAAGGTTTGTGCGACACCTGCGACTGCGACTCACAATTTATTCACCATTCTTTCTATTTGTGCGGCAACTCTAGGCACATGGACTGCACGTGTACCCAAAGTAGAAAACCATACTCCATGCACATTGTATGTTGCACTTCAAAAAGTTGAACTTGGGTCAACTTCCGCCCAAACACATACAAACATCTTGATTAGTTAAAAATAATAAACGAATAAATGAATCCAGGCAACCCTGATCCTGGCCCATGGGGCAGGGTTGCTCGCTTTCGGCCAATTTTTCATAGCAGATGAGTGGATCCTATCAAGGGGGTTATGCCAGGCTATGGACTCCTGATCCTAAGGAATCTGGGTCCGATCAAACGATCGCGGATAATACTAACCACGCATACACATACACGTGCCACTTTTGCACAAAGGTACACAGGATCAGCACTGGGGAAGGCTGCAAGAGTTCACCACTGGCCAATTATTCCAGCCATCGCCGCAGGTGATGCACCATAATCATGTGTGTATCTCACAGGATCACATAAGCTCAATCCAACAGAGATTGGAAGAGGCACTCCCAGCCCCAGCACCTACATGCGATTTGTGAGCCGATCCATTCCGGGTGCTTTGACCCTAGACCGGCACACACACACACCCAAGGCAGCACGATGCAATAGAGACCACAGTCATAGGCCCACACAATGCCAGACACCAATACATTGCTGAACACAATGATGCAGGTCACAAACTACACACCGGCTTGACTGGGACAAAAACTGTAGGCCCATTACAAAACACAGTACATGCCGATACCGAAATAAACCATGCAGGCGTTGCGTGGCCGCATGCACCACACAACAAAGCACCGTTTTGTCGGATATGTAACAGCTTTGTATTTTGTGGTTTTTATCCATCCAGATTTGACTGCGCTAAACGCAGCATCACGACAGGTAAGGACCAATGACTCTAGTAGGATCACACAACAGATAGACAGTGTAATCACTAATCTTTATGAATACTGAGAAGCTTCGAGAAGAAAGCATTCAAAACTCGCCACATGCAGGCCAGCAACTGCACTGAAAGAAAAGAAAAAAAGAAAAAAAGAAAAAGCCCACCACCACCCTCAGGTTCTAGCTAGCATCTTGGTACAGACCACCAGAAACACTGCCAAAACCCTACACTTTCTTGCAAAAAAAAAAAAAAAAAAAAGCTGAAAAGGCCCACCACCACCCTCAGAATACAACCTAGCTCTTTCCTGCATAGCAAACTACAAAATGCACATACCCTGCCTAGCAACACATGCAAGTACTTGAAAGTATATAACAGCACTACTGATGCCATGCAGGAAAGAGCTCATAGCTGGATTCCTACACATTCTAGAAAGTAATAAAAAGCAAAAAAAAACATTTTTGAATGGCTGACATTATCATAGTGACCTATTGTATAAATGTAAGCATGCACCAATGATTCTATCGTCTTCATTTGCCTTTGTGTACAGAGTGCAAAGCAAAAAAAAACATTTTTGAATGGCTGACATATCATAGTGACCTATTGTATAAATGTAAGCATGCACCAATGATTCTATCGTCTTCATTTGCCTTTGTGTACAGAGTGCAAGCTCACTCAGCCTGGATCAATATGTGGAGGTAAATTAATAGCAACAAAATGTAATCCTGAACTCTGAACTCTATATCAAACACCTAGAATTGGATTTCAAACAACATCGAGACGTTACGTGGACCATTTCAACCGCTCCATTGTCACACTGCCTTGAGTTTCGGTATGTGTCTTGAGTGATGATAATCCTGGGTTTAGCAGGCACGCACGGAGGAAATACAGCAGCCGTATGAAGGAGGAAACAAGATTTGAGTTACCGGGTTGATTTGGCTTGATTTTACTTTCTAACTTTTCTTCCGTGTATTATCTATGTGTGACTGTCGTACCTCCACTGCTCCAGGTTATTACAACACGTGGAATCAAGGTAAGAAACGGATATCATGCGTCGTACATGTACGAGGTCATTCTCTCTATGCTTTCAATGTCACACTGGTTGAACTACACATCGGACCACAGATCATCCCTAGATGTACAGGCAAACATGCTATACACTAACTTATCCATTGTGCGTGTCCGCCTTGCAGGGAGAGCAAGGACCTCGGGGTGTGTCGGGACCCGTGGGGCTGCAAGGAGTGGCGGGTCCTCCAGGTAACTGCTCACACTGTACGACCACCTCAAGCACGACGGGCAGCAGCAGCATGAACAATGTCTCGGTAAGACCATGCATTCAGAATCACAACCATGCAACAGGACCGCGTACAGAAACACACAAACACGAAATTACAAGATTTTAAGTACCACCTTCATGTCACTTTTATTTTTACCATAAGAGTCACAATGAAGGGTAGATGCGGCTATCCCGGATGCCAAACACTAGGCCAGTCAGTCTTGTAGAAGACAGGCATTATGAGCACAGTCATTCTAGTAAGTTACTTATCCGTTTGAGAACACCAGCACTTTAGAGATACACGTGGAGCTCCAGGTCTGCACACCACGCTACACTCTTTAGCGAACTTAGAGAGAGAAGGGGGAGAACATCCACACCATGAAGTTATTCCGTAGCGAAACTTTCCCCCAGTCACGATCCAAACTATCGTCACCAGACCATCACCACCACCATAAGCACCAATCCTCAACCCCACTAGCTCAAGATAGTCAGAGCATTAGTAGAGAAGCAATAGAGAGACGAGCGACTTTAGTGCGGGGGAATTTCGGACACCTGGACCATGCGGAAACAAACAAAGGTACTACTTGGAAACAATACAACACCAACCTCATTTTCCTTACCGACATACCGGTACAGGGATGAACATGGAAGGGCAAACCACTCAGTCAATACAAGCATCACAAAACAATCACTATAGATCACACATCGGAGCTCAACAGGAATGAAAAATGAAGAAGAAAATGAAAAGGAAGGCCCACCACCACCCTCGGGCTGAAACGACCATCTCTCCCTCTCACGCCAGCACACAAGCTACAACATAAAACTGAGCAAGCTGTCGAGAGAGGGAGAGATTACACGAGGCAGCCCTACCCTTCCAAGATAACAGAATTCGGAAGACAAAGAAAGGAAAGGAAACAAGCAACCACAAGGAGTTGGAAAAAGGCTCACCGGGAATAAAGAATGACGCCGAAAGTCAGGTGAAGCCCCAGCGACGACTTGGCAGGCTGCTACGGTGGAAACAGAACACTGGCGTGTGGAGCAAGACACGGCACAGGACAGGGACAGGCATGGCAGGCCAGACAAGTGGCCACAGGCACAGGCATAGCAATGACCAATACCCACTGCACAAAGCTAGAACTGGGGCAAAAGCGAAACTTGCTACCAATGCCAAATGGACAGAGTAAAGAATTGCCATACTAGGGCATAAGCCAGAAACTAAGAAGGAAAGAAGGCTACAAAACCAGCCAGTAACTTTGTACCTACAAATCCGGTAGTATATAAGCAGCAGTCCACCAGTCAGGATGAAGCCCATGTGTGAGCGTACTGGGCAACGGAAAACCAAAGAAAACTACTAGTATGCAACGGAAGACAAACAAAACCTACAGATCCCATTCCGGCAATAGAAAAACCATAGAAACCATACTTATCCAGTACTGGACATCAGAGATGAATGAAGTATTTGAACAGATCACCATGATGACTATCATGCGGGAGGGCCCGCTAATTAACATCAATTACATACGGTAAGAACTAGTAGGAAGCTTTCAAAACACTCTCAACCCACTCAGCTGCACTCAGCGCACACGGAAAGTAAAAAGATATCGTCCACCACTGAATACACGCACTTGGCACACGATCGGTTGCATGCAACACGCACACTGAACCCACATTCAGCAACACCATCACAGACAACAAACATCCGCCATACAGCCTCACGCTACAAAACGAACTCGGACCAGTACCTTGATGCTCCCAATGAGTTTCAGTGCAGCACTCAACGTAGAAAATCCCACCCCCAAGCCTTGCACATAGATTTGACCTAGGAACAAAGAGCCAGACGCACAAAGGGCGAAAAGACACAGCAGTACTCCGGCGGAGACGGAAATCGACAATGGACACCGAAGCTGAAATAGATTTGCCTCCATGTAAGTACCCAGAGGAATGACTTGCAGCAAGTGCCTCGAGCCATGAAATAGGAACATCGCACAGGAATTCACCTAATAGCGACCACGCAGTACCGATCACACCAACAAACTCTACACAGACAAAAATCACACACCTGAACGAACGACACACACGCTGCAGGCAAAAAAAAGAAACTGCCCAACATACCGAAGAACGAACATGGAACACGGAAACACAATGGCAACCGAAAAAAATATCCAGAAGAGGACATAGAAGTAACACATGATCATACGACCTGATCCAAGAAACGAACGAGGCTTCCGCTTCATTAGACGCCGGAAAATAAATCAACGAAGGACGTTTACTTCTTTTTTTTGAGACACCTTTAGAACCTAGAAATGCCAGGAAGAATCACACGGAGGAACACGTCCACACACACACGCCAAACAAAGCAACGATCCAACTAGGCAGAATACCGTCCTTCAGCGCGCGCCCTCTCTCTCCATCTCTCCCACAGTCCTCCACGGACACACACACAAACCAGGCGAAGACAGCAAGCGCCCATCTAGCATCCCCGCCGTCTGAACCTAGAAATGTGCAAAGAACCACACAGGCAAACGCACCCACACCAACACCCAAAGAAGAAGAAAAACGAGCTGCAAAGCCCTCGAGAGATGACCCCACTGGCGACGACCATGCACTCAAAAATCCTGAACATAGGAAACACCAGGAAACAGCAAGCCCACAGCGCACACAGGCCAAAAAGAAATAGAAAAAAAAGCGACAGACGACTCAACTGTGCAACCGCCGAGCGTATCTGCGACAGCACTTTTAAACAGCCTCTCCCATTCTTTGTCCTGGATTAAGCCATGAAGGACACAGACATAACCGGGACAGCAACATGCACACAACAGCAAAGAACACCGAAATGCTAGCAGACCAGTACGAAAGCAATCGAAGCGGTGCCGATCATACCAACAAACTCCACACAGACAAAAATCACACACCTGAACGAACGACATACACGCTGCAGGCAAAAAAGAAGCCGCCCAACATACCGAAGAACGAACATGGAACACGAAAACATCTAAAAAATGAACGTGTAACAAAATTAAATGATCATACGACCTGATCCAAGAAATGAGGCTTCCTCTTCATTGGATGGCTGAAATTACTTTACTTCTCTTTTGAGACATCTTTAGAACCTAAAAATGCCAGGAAGAATCACACGGAGGAATACGTCCACACACACACACACGCCAACTAAGCGACGGTCCAACTATGCAGGATACCTTCAGCGTCCTCTTTCTCTCGCTCCATCTCTCCCGCAGTCGTCCACGGACACAACACACACAAACCAGGCCAAGACAGCAAGCGCCCACCTAGCATCGCCAAACAAGGGACAGGCAACCACATGCTGACCTCAAGCAATTATGAAAGGGAATCTAGCGGAAATTGCTAGTAACATACAGGTATACGACCTGATCCAAGAGACGATATCTCCTATGCAACGAAGTTGAATCGGCGAAAGTGAACTGCTTTTTTGAAATACCACGTGAACCTAGAAATGTGTAAAGAATCACACAGACGAACACACCCACACCAACACCCAAAAGAAAAAGAGCCGAACTGCACAGCCCTTGAGATGAACCCGCTGGCGAAGATAATGCACTCGCTCCGAAATCCTGAACAAAGGACATACCGGTTTATAGCAAACCCACATTGCACAGGCAAAAAACGCAGACACACACACACACCCACACCAACACCCAAAGAAAAAGAACCGAACTGCACAGCCCTCGAGAGATGACCCTACTGACGAAGATCATGCAATCGCTCCAAAATCCTGAACAAAGGACACACCGGGATATAGCAAGCCCACAGCGCACACAGGCAAAATAAAAAACGCCGACCCAACTGCACAACCATCGAGCGTATCTGTGACCGAGCTTTTAGCACTCTCTCCCTTCCCTTGTCCTGGATGAAGCCATGAAGGACACAGACACAACAGGGACACCAAGCGTGCACATGATAGCGAAGAAAATCGAAGTGCTAGCAGATGGGTACGAAAGCAATCCAAGATTAAAATCTCGTGAAAATAGGAAACATACGAAAACGACATCCACAGATTACAGGCAGGAGCGAAACCATGGAATACCTCCACCCAAACACGCCAATAGAAACCATGGAATACCTCCACCCAAACACACGGCAATAGAATAAAAGCTGCACTCAAAGCAAATATAACAGGTGAAAACACGACGACAGCTTACGCTACCTACCAACCCGCCGACGGAGCAAAAAGCAAATTCCTGAATGTAAAGAAAGAAACCGCATACACAAACAGGAAGACCCAGCAAAAATCCCGCCGAAGAGCACACCCAGGTGATCTTAAAAAGCTGAAAAATGCGCTTCAAACAGCTTACAGGCTGAACAAGTGCCAACGGACAGAGGAAGTTAGGCAAATGGTCATGCTTACGCCAATAGACAATGTTCACCTTTTGTCTCTGCTGCAATGGCATGCGCAAACACAACTAAACGGCGACACGAGAGTGACATTTGGGTTTTACCAGGTGATGATGATAGCAGGTTGCAACAGAACCATGAACAGTCACAAAGAAGACGGGAAGAAATTCACGAAAGAGAGTATGTACGAAGACACTAAAATGCTGAAGGGATTAGACTTGGAGCAACAGGAAGCAAGGACAACCACGAAAGAGGCAACGCAGAGCAATGGAGATTAAGGGCATTGTGAAAAGGCTACGTCGAAAAGAGCTGTCTAGAAGGGATCATGCAGAACGTACAGAAACTACAGCCACGACGCAGAAGCAATGTTTACCTGCATGTCCAGCAACCAGCCAGCATGAAGCTGAAAACATGACCTTGAGAGCCGGAAGGCGACATCAGCCGTCAAATGTGTCCCTAAAAGGCGAAACCCAGAAGAAATAAGTCCTCATCCCCTTCCCAATAAAGTTGCCCGAGCACAATTCACCTCCGTGGACTGCAGCAGAAAAAAAGATTACCATGCTGTCTTGTCTGCCTTCAAGTTGACTGACATCAGAGCTGATCTCATTCGTCAAAATGTCATCTGAGAATTAGCCATTACCTATGCAGTGTGAATGTTAGGACCTGTACCCTTCCCTATCATTGACCACCGGATGAGCATGCAAGCAACTAAACAGCAACACAGGTCTACTTAGGCATGTCCAGAAGACGTCTTCCTTGGAGTCAACGAACTGACGGAGACCCTGAACCCACCGAGCCTACTGCAGTCCAGCAAACAAGAACAAGAGCCGACACAGAATACACCCCACAAGAAAGGGCAACCCCATACGAAGAAAGAACACAACCAGACAGCCTCACTTTCACACCACTCAGATAACTGCCCTACAAACGAAGATGACGGGTGTAGGCGATAGCAACCCTCTCTTTAGTTTCTTTGTACAAGCAAATAAAGACCCTAGCAGAACTGCCTTTTATGTCGGTGGAAGCAGGACAGGAGGTAAAAGTTACACAACGCAGTAAACGTACGTTAGGGGAGACATCGAAAGAAACTTGATCGTTTAGTGTTAGTAGAAAAGGTTTCAGCAGAAATCGTTTTACACACACCGGTAATATGTAGACCACTAGGCCAGAAAATTATAGTTTAAAAACAACACCTTTTCTTCCATAACGTTTCTTCAGAACTTTTGTCCCGTATTTAATTTTCTTGACTAGAGCCCCGACGCCGAGTACCCGGAGACGTGGCTGGTCATCTGGTGACGTAGAAGTGACTTTATCCTGCTGCATTACTTGAAAAACCAGACAAAAACCAAAATCCCCTACATGCTACCCTTATTTACGCCATGCTGAACAGGGGAATAGACACTTGGCAGCATATCACCACCTGACAAAGTAGTTGGCCGAAATCGGCAATGCTTTGGAATTCTACTACATGGAACTTCAATATTGACATATATGCACTTACTACCTATGTTGAATTAGGCAGTGGGATGAAGCAAACCTCACTTCAGCGAGTGCACGCTTGCCTGGGACCACGGTGTAGTGAAGGCCATGCCTAGCAATGGTTACTTCAAAGTAGCTCTACATACAACGACTCCAGAAACAGAAGAAAAAGAACAGCCCGATGCGCGGCACCAACTTGCGCTGTGCACCCAGTGCGCTTCTGTGGCTGAAGACCTGTGCACCGGCGAGGCAGCCCAAGGTCCTGCTTCTTAGACACTCTCGGTGTTTGCCTAACGAAGAGACAGAAGACCACAGCCCTACAAACACCTGGACCCACTAAAGAGAACATATATATTTTCACCGCTAGGAGGCATGTTCTTAGTTGAAGTGTCTAGAAGAAAGGACGCAAAAAAGAGAGATGAAACCTGTAAACTGATTTAGGACGTGTAGTTGCGTAGTGGAAGAACCACAGGCCTACAAAGAAACGGGAAAATCCTTACATGGTTTTACGTAAGACTTGATTTTGTATTTCTGGAGACCTGGTCTGAAGTCATCCGATGGCGGGTGAACCAGCTTGACCCACACCGTGTCTCAGCGAGTAGACAGACATGTGCACCGGCGAGGCAGCCCAAGGTCCTGCTTCTTAGACACTCTCGGTGTTTGCCTAACGAAGAGACAGAAGACCACAGCCCTACAAACACCTGGACCCACTAAAGAGAACATATATATTTTCACCGCTAGGAGGCATGTTCTTAGTTGAAGTGTCTAGAAGAAAGGACGCAAAAAAGAGAGATGAAACCTGTAAACTGATTTAGGACGTGTAGTTGCGTAGTGGAAGAACCACAGGCCTACAAAGAAACGGGAAAATCCTTACATGGTTTTACGTAAGACTTGATTTTGTATTTCTGGAGACCTGGTCTGAAGTCATCCGATGGCGGGTGAACCAGCTTGACCCACACCGTGTCTCAGCGAGTAGACAGACATGTGCACCGGCGAGGCAGCCCAAGGTCCTGCTTCTTAGACACTCTCGGTGTTTGCCTAACGAAGAGACAGAAGACCACAGCCCTACAAACACCTGGACCCACTAAAGAGAACATATATATTTTCACCGCTAGGAGGCATGTTCTTAGTTGAAGTGTCTAGAAGAAAGGACGCAAAAAAGAGAGATGAAACCTGTAAACTGATTTAGGACGTGTAGTTGCGTAGTGGAAGAACCACAGGCCTACAAAGAAACGGGAAAATCCTTACATGGTTTTACGTAAGACTTGATTTTGTATTTCTGGAGACCTGGTCTGAAGTCATCCGATGGCGGGTGAACCAGCTTGACCCACACCGTGTCTCAGCGAGTAGACAGACATTTGAGTTCCAGTGCGGAACATGGAAGAACCCGGTCACCTATGCCTGACAACACGGGAAGGCAATAGAGAACAGCCAAAACAATGCCCCAAAGCCAAGACCGGTGTAGTATCTAGAAACAAATGAAAAATAACTGGATGTACGAACACTGAGAGCGATTTGTCTTACTGATCTCATCTAGGCTTTATGGATGCGACTTGTTTGCGGACACATTTATATGTTCCGGATTTCCCAGCTAGACCCTGGACAGTGGAGCCTGCACACTTGAAAGATAGAAAAACGAGGAAAAAACGACCAAAGGCACAAAAGCCATGTGCATTTCTTTCTTACGGCCGAGACCCATTTTGCGTAGCCAATATGGGACAGGCGCTTTTCCTTCCCCCTCCTGCAGACGACCTAACTGAGACAACTGCCTTCACAGGGCAGCACGAGCTACGGCTCTAGTTTGTCAGAGATGAGGTATGCCTACTGAACAACACACGACAGAAGAGCACAGCAGCACAAAACCCCAAGAGCAAACAAGGGCAGCAGGAACGGGGATGGCAAAACTAGCCTTATTTCAGCGAGTAAATAGGCATGCGAGTTGCCAGCTATCCGTGTGGGAAGTGGAAGACCCCATTCAAGTATGCCTGACAATGGCGGAAGGATACAAAACTAAAATTTCACCGGCCACAAGATGCATGAAGTGTCATGAAAACAAATAATAATATTTTGATGTACGAACACTGAGAGCGATCTGTCTTACTGATCTCCTCTAGGCTTTATGGATGTGACTTGTTTGCGGACACATTTACTTGTTCTGGATTTCCCAGCGAGACCCTTGACAGTGGAGCCTGCACACTTGCATATTTGGAAGAAAGATAGAAAAACGAGGAAAAAACGACAAAGGCACAAAAGCCATGTGCATTTCTTTCTTACGGCCGAGACCCATTTTGCGTAGCAAATATGGGACAGGCGCTTTCCCTTCCCCCTCCTGCAGACGACTTGACTGAGACAACTGCCTTCACAGGGCAGCACGAGCTGCGGCTCTAGTTTGTCAGAGGGGAGGTATAACTACTGAACAACACACGACAGAAGAGCACAGCAGCACAAAACCCCAAGAGCAAACAAGGGCAGCAGGAACGGGGATGGCAAAACTAGCCTTATGTCAGCGAGTAAATAGGCATGCGAGTTGCCAGCTATCCATGTGAGAAGTGGAAGACAATGTTATGCCTGACAACGGAGGAAGGATACAAAACAAAAAATTCACCAGCCACAAACCAAGCGTCATGAAAACGAATAACTGGATACACGAACACTGAGAGCGATTTGTCTTACTGATCTCCTCTAGGCTATTTGGATGTGACTTGTTTGCGGACACATTTACTTGTTCTGGATTTCCCAGCGAGACCATGGACAATGGAGCCTGCACACTTGCATACTCAGAGGAAAGAGAGAAGACAAAAAGAAACAAGAGACCCGACTGCTGCTGTAGCCTGTTCAGGACATCAGCTTTTCCTTCCCCTTCGTGTAGACGACCTGACAGAGACGACTGCCGTAACGGGGCAGAGTGTGGTGTGGATCTAGTTTGTCAGAGACAAGGTATGCCTACTGAGCAAGAAGACAGAAGAGTACACGAGCACAAAACCGGAGGAGCAGACCAGGAATATCGGGGACCATCCATACATACGAGGCGGAGATCACATTACACATTCGCTTTAGGATGTCAACGGCTTTCCTTAGACTTGATTGTGATGACCCGTGTACACCGTTTAGACAATTTGGAGAGTTTCTCCGACCTTGGTCGATATCGGGATCTGTGATGTTGACAGTGTAGAAAAAAAACAAAAGAGTACGGTCCTGTGGTTGGTATTGGTTGGTAGCAGATACGAATCATCTAGCTTGTCAGAATCCAAAGGACCACCCAGCCTTGTCTATATTATTTACATTGGAAGGAGAATCAACCACTTACTGTGACCGGGTATGTGATCACTCGTACTTCATGTGATCAAGTGGTTTGAAAGACGTTTGTTGACATGACAATAGACACTGACTTTATACCATATGGCAAGGAAGGGAGTGTTGAAGACCGGGTTGTAAATTATCCTTTTGGTGATTAGGTGGGTTGCCTAAAATACTTTTTCCAAGAAAGATGTGTATGTACTTTTGGCCAGACCTTGTCAAGGAGTTACAGATGCGATCTTGGTATTAGCTTGGCTTGTTCTGTGGTCATCTTTCAGTGTGTGGGTGTGCACCTGACTAGAAGGAGAAACAAACCAAACAAAGAAACAAACCAAACAAAAAAAAAAAACAACTCCCCCTACCCGAAATAAAAAGGATATCGAGCACCGATATCTGCATATCACCAATGTAGTCAAATCTGGGCAACAATGCGTTGTGGACTTGGAACAGCAGCGCTGTACTACACAATACGTCAATAGCCTTACTGATGTGCGCTTTTTTCCAGGAAAGTGCGGAGCCATCAATGGTGGATCTCGCGCATTTGCTTGTACCCAACAGTTTCTGATGCAGACTGCCCGTGGAAGCCTAGATACTAATAGAGAAGACTCAAGAAAAGGAAACACGGAGATGCCCAATAGAAGGCAAGCGGTGGACGGAAATCTCCCTGGCTTTACAATGGAGATGCATCCTTCAGAGGCTGGCTGTTGTACAATTACCCTTGTTTCAGATGTGATGTGCCTACTAAAAGAAAAGAAAGAAAAAGAGCACAGCTCCATGCCAACCCCTATCCCCCTCAAGAGAAGAACCAAACACTGCAAACCGTGTTGCTGGCATAACAATGGAGAGAAGTAGATTTCATAACTGGCTTGACAAGAATAGCTTTGTGACTCGATGGCCAAGCTACTTACAGTTTTACTAACCATGATCCAAATTCCCTTTTGTGTTTCGTTCCGGACAGTGAAACCCACTGTACATTTCTTCGTTTGTTTCTTTGCCTTGAGAGGAGCCCTTTGATAGTGATCTATTCAGCTTGGCCTATTCCCAGCTGGAGTGGCACTGGTAGAAGCAGACAACGAGAACACCCTCTCCTAACCCTACACATGCACATGATGGCGAAGTACGGAACTGTCTGGACTGTAGAAATGACCCGATAGGCAATGCAGCGCTGGACATTATTGTGTGGAATGTTGAACATGATCAGCAATTACAGTGGGAGGTTGCAGTGTTGTGCATCACCTTGATTTGTTACAGTAGTGCAGGCAGCACCAGTTTCTTATTTATTTTGTTTTACCAGGTGTGTGATCAGTTGTCCTTCCTGTGATCGGGTTTGGTTTGCTTACAGTAACGCGCCAAGAAGTATAGGTTGAAATATACCTAGACACTGTCAAAATATGTTGTATAGACGCCATCGCGTCGAAGAGTAACTTAGTTGACATTACGGCGCCAGCCAGCCAGTAGTGATTATCGAAGAACAGTTTGTCATTGTCCACGACCTTACTTCAGTGTGTATGGAATAATACGATGCCTTGTCACCACTGTGTAGTAAGGACAGCATATGCTGTATACCTGCTAGAGAGGGAAGATGAATCGAACAAAAACAAAAACAAACAAAAAACAAAAACAAAAAGAAAGCCCGTCCCCTCGCAGCGAAAAGCAGAACCCAGCCAGAAATAGAAAGATTTTGAGGCAACTCCCGACTGTTGCTGCCTCGCAGACATAGAACAAGAGCGTGTGAACGTGCGAAATTCTGATTAGAAGTGCTTCAGATTCCCTTCTCTGTACGGGACAGAAGTGCTAAGCATCCAATCAATGTGTCTTACTACTGTGGGATTTATCCGTGGAGTTTGTAGCGTGGAGTTCATAGCCCTTCTTCATACTACGAGACCACTGGTCCATTGCGGCCTTGATTACTAATACACAAGAATCAATATAATTATAAGGAAGAAGAAACATGGAGGTGCCTAAAGCACCGTGCGCTGACTGGACCGTGGTTCCCTGGCTTCTCTTTCAGATGGCGACATTACGTTTCAATGGGTGGTGCATGGTGTGTGGTGCAGTTCACTGCTGTTCCACGAGATCTGGAAGGCCTGGTGAAAAACAGAGAAAAGAGTACAGGTACACCTCCACCCCAACCTAACACCCCTTCAAGAAAGTAGAGCTGAACAATGCAGCTAGAAACTAAATTTCTTCAGCGAGATTCTTGAAGGTAAACAAAGGCTGTCCATGTATCATGTGAGAGACGAACTGAGTGTGCGTACAAGTAGGCATGCTGACCAAGAGAGGTGAGAGGTATCTTGCTACGATATGTGTACCTTGACTGATTTACCTACACTTTTACAACTGTGCAAATCTACCTTTACCAGATCATGGCCTTCTGAATGCCTGTGGTGTATGTAACCAACACGTTTCTGACGCAGACTGCCCATGGAGCCCTAAATACTAGTAGAGGACTCAAGAAAAAGAAACACGGAGACGCCCCCAAACAAGGAGTGCGTGGAAACCTCCTCGTCCAGAGACTTTTTCCTTCAGATGTGCCTACTAAAAAAAAGAAAGAAAGAAGAGCACAGCTCCATGGCAACCCCCACCCCCTCAAGAGGAGGGCCAAACACTGCAAACAGCGTGGTGCAGAACACTGGAGTGAAGTAGATTTGAACGTTTCAGAACCCCTGACCGACCTGACAAGAACACCCTTCACTGCAAACAGTGTGGTGCATAATGGAATGAAGATTCGAACGTTTCAGAACTCTGACTTGACAAGAATTGCCATGTGACAAAGTGGCCAAGCTAACTTGAGACTTACAGATTTTACAAACCGTGATCAGTTTACTTTTTACAGATGTTTCTTCATGTGGTTTCTTTGCCTTGAGTCGAGCCCTCGGAGAACGATACTTTCAGCTTGCCTCATCCTAACGAGAGGCATCAGTAAAGGCAGACAAGGAAAACACCCTCTTCCAACCCTAAACCTGTCGCAAACGTACGAACCTGGTGGGTGTGTAGAAATGACTTGATAGGCAAGGTACTTGAAGTAGCAGACAGGGCTGTGTGTGGAATGTTGAACGTGATTAACAATTACGTTGGAGGTTGCAGTGTTGTGTATTGCCTTGACTTCATCTGATCGTGCAGGCAACGTCAGTTTTTTTCTAATTTTTTAGCAGGACGGTGTGTGATCAGTGTGTTGAAGTGACTTAGAGAGAGGACTTAGGCTGACATTACCAAACCAGCCAGGCGATGTAGTGATTTACGAAGAACAGCTGTTTGTGATAGTCCGCGACCTTACTTCAGTGTGCTTGGAAAATACGATGTCTTGTCACCACTGTGTGTAGTAAGAGCAGCATATGCGGTACATGTATACCTGCCACAGAGGGGGAGATGAATCAAACAAAAACAAAACAAAAGAAAAAGGAAGACGGGCCCCCTGACGAACCCAGCCAAACACCAAGGTAGAAGCAGGTACACATGCAGGACTCTTGACATGGGCAAAACAGACTGCTGCTAAATGTTAGAGCAGGAGTGCTATGTCTGATCAATATGTCTTACTGCAGTGGGATCTTTACGTGGAGTTTGTGGCCGTTCATACTACGAGACGACTCAAGAAAACATGCCAAAGCTAGGAAGAGGATGGCTTGCAGAGTAGACCAAACACCTTTTGCCGGTTTACGGAGGCCTTGATTACTAAGAGAAAAGAACCAAAAAAAGAAGAAGAAGAAACATGGTGCCCAAAGCACCGGGGGCACACTGGACCGTGTTTCCGGGCTTCTCTTTCAGACGACATTGCGTTTCAATGGGTGGTGCATGGTGTGTGGTGCAGTTCACTGCTGTTCCACGAGATCTGGAAGGCCTGGTGAAAAACAGAGAAAAGAGCACAGGTACACCTCCACCCCAACCTAACACCCCTTCAAGAAAGTAGAGCTGAACAATGCAGCTAGAAACTAAATTTCTTCAGCGACATTCTCGAAGGCAAACAAAGGCTGTCTGTGTATCGTTTGAAGAGAGGAGCTAAGTGTGTACACCTAGGTTTCTGCAAACAAGTAGGCATGCTGAGCACGAACAGGTACCTTGTGTTATAACAAGTATCTTAGCCAACTATTTACTTATACTTTTATAACCATGGCAAACTACATTTACCAGATCGTGGTCTTGTGAATGTCTGCGATGTTTTCCAATTGCAGAATTGGTAGATGAATTCGGCACCGTTTTCTTGTGTATGTACTCTGATCTTTGGTGAGGCTTTGACGAGACCTAGGGATAAATAACTTGGACGAAAAGAAGAAGCACACAACCCTCCCAAGACCTATCGTGATGCATGGTGTGCAGTGCTGGATTTGACCTATTGGTCTGCAGCATGCCCAGTGTGATCGAAGGATGGAACATAACTCTAGGGACGTCAAGAACCAGTAATCTAACTGTTGCCTGAAGCACCCTGTCCAAGCCACATACAAGACATCAACTGTACTGCATGGTTGTTACAAGCTGGGCTTGATATCTGTGTCGAGCTTACGATACCCATGGTTGTTACATGTTTGGCTTGATATCTGTCGAGCTTACGATACCCATAGTCCATGGTTTTCTTCGTAGTAACTACATCTGACTGACGTACTGGCACATGCTGGTGGGCCTAGTAGAGAACTCGCACGCAACACAAGACAACCAATCCCCAAAGAAAACGCACACACCCGAACACCGTGCTTTACACTCTGTGTGTAGTAGAGGAACAATTTTACTTGGGTAACTTCTTAGAAAATACAAACTTAAGGTACCTCGGGACACCAGGTACTAGTGCTCAGAAGCCGTGATAAGAATACAAGGCCTCTCTATAGTCACGGCTTGGATATATTTACTTGCAGGCACAGAAATGCTAATACAGACAGTTTCACCAAGGTGCGAGTTGAGGGTGCGTTATCTTGCGGCAGTGGGCCGCGTTTTGACTCCAACTTCTCTAAAGAACAAAAAGAGTACAGACAAAAAAAACACCACAGCACCCTCCCAAAAAAAAGAAAAAGGTTCTGCGCGTGAATGGAGAAGAACATGGCATGGCATGACTGTATACTCTTGGTGACAGGAGTGTGCACTCTAATGGTATCACGAAGGAGTGGCAAGCAAGTGAGAGCTGTGACATAACAGTGATCTATGGTAACCCGGCCCAGTCTGATACTAGCGAACATGCTACACACTACCACATACCGTAAGAGATTAGCAGCTTAACGTTGAACTGAGGTGCACATCACACCACGATGGTGAAGCAATTAGCACTTGAGTCGTTAACTATCATCGGTTGAGAAGACAGGCTTACGGGAATGCCGGAAATGCCGATACGACGTCACACCACGATGTAGGAACAGCCATACTGGCAATAGAACAGAACGGTGAGTGGATCCACAGGATACGCACGGGACATCGGAGTTGACTTACTTGGATACAGCACGTGATTGCCATGATGAACATTAATGACATCAGACTAATGGACAGAGCACACCGTTAGCGAGTATTAGCGAGTCAGGGTTGAGTTGTCAGAAGTGAAGACAGACTCACAAGAACGTCACAGAACGATGTGGGAATAGCCATACTGGCGACTGGACAGTGAGGCAGGCAACTGGCGGGCGAAACCAGAGGACACGCACGGGACATCAGTGTTGCCACAATGTGATTGCCATGATGACCATAAATGACACCGGACATTAGGTATTCGTGGGTCAGGGTAGCTCTGAACTTCTGAAGAAAGGAGAATTTTACAGAAACACTGACAGCCACACACGAGCTATTTCAGAGCTGACAATGAGGACTAGAGTATTAGAGGCGCTTGGGACTTCAGAGATGACAGCTCCGTTGTAAGCACACATGATCACCAGGATGCACCTATAAACTGGGTTGTCTAACTAAATAGTATCCTTGCAACAAAAGCCATTTCTCAATATCAGGGCCTACATAATTATACGAGTATGGTGGGGACTTGACTCAGCCTCATTTGAAGACACCACAATTTACTACAACGACTACGACACTACCTATGGAAATAAGGAACGCACACCATGATCATTTTTTACTTTACGTGAAGATGAGCGGAGCACTGATGGATGTTGTAAAGCAGGCTGACTGGCCGTGTTTCTCACTTCTTCTGTATCCTTTTTTACTTCATGGGGACGAGCACATCATTCAGACCAATTTCCCATGGTTTTCTTCCTCTGTAGTTGACCATTGTGCATGAATCTCCTTGGATCATAGGGATGACGTGTCTCCTTGAGTAATCCTATGTGATTTTCAAATAGAGTTCAGCTCTTGTCCCGAGAACCCTAGCTGAGATTAACACTTAACGTCGGGAATGATTGCCAGATGAGATTAAACTTTTCCTGACATCAGTGCTGGCTGTCCTTTACAGGGGACTACTTGCTGGGTTAGCTTGGTTTGTAAGGTCTCTTCAAACCAAACTAGCCTATCCATGGAATATGGATGTGGTGAGCATACACATTGTACTGTGTGTGATTCTTCACTTCGCATATGTGTGTGCCTGTGTGTGCCTTTGTGTGCACAGGCACCACAAGGACCACAGGGACCACGTGGAGCTAAGGTGAGTCTGCTCCATCCGTGACTGGAGAACACAAAACACACGGACCAACACCGAAGTCCATGTACAAGTAAACCAACCAAATAAAAAGCAAACACTACAAATCATGTACCTGGGCTGGAACAACACAAAGTCTTTAGTGTTCGGTGTACTCACAACCGCAGCAGATCGCAAAGGGAAATAATACTTCGTAAACAAAGACGCCCGATGCTTTCAAAAGAGTGTTCGAAAGGGCGAGAGCGCTAGAGTTTACAAGTAGGAAACGCAATGGAAGTCACAGTAGTTGCTGAACCAGCGACTTACCTGATTCATGTAGGTGACGAACTGCCCTGTTGCTTCTTGTCGTTCGGGCATACAGGGCGAGCCTGGTAGAACAGGCAGCGATGGCAATCATGGGTTACCTGGCGAAACAGGGCAGAAAGGAGAGAAGGTAAGGACCAAAAGAAAGGCTGTACATGTATTGAATTTCAACAGATACATGTAACACTTTCCCTTTTCAAAATGTTTTTATCTACTATCGTTACATGCAGGGTGATACTGGCAGCGAAGGCGAACAAGGACGACCTGGACAAGACGGAACCAAGGCAAGTGCAACACAGACATCTGTACATGACCGACCGTATTGATGGCGACGCTACGATACAACTACTAGAATGATTTTTTAGTACATATATACGGGAACAACGAAAGGGAGACATCCCAAACTGAGACACTTCTGAAAACGAGGAAGACACAATTAAATGCAATGAAACCATTGAAATCAGTTGAGCACAAGTGTTAACACAATATGGACGAGGGGCGATTCTTCGCGAACGTTCGCGATGTTGCAAAAGGAAAGCCGAAGCCAAGGCAGATCAATTACTTTGTCAGTTTCACCGTATGGCCATGGGTGTACAAATACTCCTACGCACCACACCCACGCGGAACGCACTAGAACCCGAAAGAGGAACGAAACAACGGGATCACCCCAGCAGGCCTAGCTAGAACTAGAAGTTAGAACATCCAAGAAAACAAGACTACGAATGGTAAGTATACTGCACATCTCTAGTAATGCACTGCAGCTCAAGTAAAATCAATCAAGAAGACGAGTAGCCTCGATCCATAGTTATGGTGCCACATTCGGACTGGTTCTACACTACAATGGCCTTCAGCAGAAGGGAAGTAGCCATCAAGCATCTACAAGACTACAGCTGATAATCCCAGGCAACAGCAACATAGCAATACGGGGTAGAATACACAAAAATGAGCCCTTGCAGAAGAACAAACACAGCTCCGCCGAGGAACCAAAGAAGTGCAACAGCAAGAACAATGACAGCAACAGAGCTCATGGCTCCTTACCGGTTTAGCAAGCTCCGCGACCAAGCCAAAGTACGGCTGGTCACGGATGAAGTAGCCTCAAATGAGAAGAGGTTCATTCGGCAAGCACCGAACCAAAGCAAATACTAGTACATTGTAAACAAGCCAATGGGCTTTCTTCACGAAACGTCGCAAGACATGTTCACAAGAACAGTCAAAAAACTCAACTGCACCGAAGAAGCGAAACTACTGAACTGACAGGTATGAAGCCTTCGAGTTTTTTTTATACGCACAGTGCTCTACCCGGTATACCCACGTACTAGTCCTCGACGCTGATTGGTCGATGGAGCGTAATAAGCTGGTTGTGCGCATGCGTACTGCGAAGCTGAGAGTGTTTTCCCTAAATCCCTGAGGCCTGACGTCATGATTCAAGCAAGACGTGACTCGACTGTACGGGGGGAGACTGCATGCCGCGACGTGACGTGAGCTAGCTGACGTGACCGTACCACTCGTAGACTGCTCACGCGCTGCATGCAGCGCTGCAGATCTACGACTATGAAGGCTGGAGGATCAAAACGCTGAGCAAAACGACGATCGATCGTAGTCGACTCCTACTATGTAAACTAGACTCTAGACTAGTCTAGAGGACTCGACTACGATCGACGATCGGTCGTCGTTTTGCCCAACGTTTTGCTTTTGAAGTTTTGCCAAGTAATTAGTTTTGGACAAGTCCCTGTACTGTCAGTGAGTCGTGCTTCATGAACGGCAGCACGCTTACTCATGAGTCATGCTGCACATGCACAGGGAGTAGATCTTGTGACAAGTAAGTAGTTAGTACAAGTCTTGTCAACATGTCATTACACAATACATGTCCGTCGAGAGCTAGCTGACACAGTGTGAGTACACAGTCACTGTACAGTGTGAGTGGGAAACACTTCAACTGCTACACCCCCCCCCCCCCCCCCCCCCCAGCCTACAGACATACAGTCAGTGCTACGCTTGCTACTTGTACTGTCTGTATATGTAGTGTAGAGTGTGCAGGTCACCTGCTGAATGATTATGTACTTTACTCATACTGCCACTACTACTGTACTAGTACTGGCTAGATCCTGCACAGGGTGAGTGACATGCACCAAAAAGTGCGAGTGGTATGCATTCTGTACTGAGCAGCCTATCCAGCTAGCTCAGGTTGGAACAGGTACTGACTGGTTTCATGGCCAAACAACCGCCGAGTAGAAACAACCGGCGGGCACTGCATGTTCTACTTCTAGTTCTAGTACAATGACTAAGTCTATTGTACTTATCTGACGCTGTGTGTGGGTCAAGTCCTGGATCCAGCTGACTTCTGGCAAGTACTGTAGTACTAGTAGTAGTAGTAGTACTAGTAGTAGTAGTAGTTCAACAAGTACTAAGCACAGCCCCAAGTCCAGACTGTCCTTATCCTGTGTAGGCTGCCACAGGTACAGGGGTAGGACTAGGCCAGGCCCAGGGTCAGGGGTAGGAGGAGCAGCCTGCTGGGGTATCATCGGACACCCATGCAAAAGAGCCTCTTGCAAACGCAAAGTCCAAAACAATGTTTTGGATAATGATTATGATTGTACGTGGCATCATGTCAATTGTCATGCTGAGCATGAGGTGTACAATCATGTACTAGTAGCTAAGTAGTGGTTGCGACTTCGGCGATGATTTGTAAGAAAGGTTTGCTCCCCACACCGGAGCTCGCGCTATTCCGCCGACTTTACTTGACACTTGACTGACTAGACTCACGACTGCCATCCGGTGTGGGGAGCAAACCTTTCTTACTAGTAGTAGCTAGCTAGATTTAATAGATGTATGACCATGATCTGATGACTGTTATCAGGTTATGTCACAATATGTGCTTTGGACAACGTCGTTTTACGTAAAATGACACCACACGTACATACACCACGCCACACATACTAGTACGAGGTGATTTGGCTTTTTTTAACATTTGGCATTTTTTAACAAATGTGTAAAATTTGCTTTTCTTCTGGCTGTTTCTCTGCTCCGGATGGCTGTATCGAAACATGGGTGGTGGAAAATGAGAGCCAGTTTATCGTAGATCAACATTGATCAGAAAATTTGGTGCATATAATTTAATTCTCCCTGCCACGTCGGTATAACTAGTGGTGGTTGCTTTGCCATTTTGTGTAAAATGTGTAAAATGAGCCCCTGAATGGACGAGGAGGGCAGTGAATTGCTTCCGCAGGGCCTTTGGACGACGTCAGGCCGTCTTGCCATCACTAGAGACAGGAATGAAGAACAGTAGGTCACGGAATACACTCTGTGACAACGAAAACATGGCTGCGATGCTATGCTATCTATCCAATTCCACCGTATAACACAGCCACTAGTTACAAATACAAAAACACGGCTTTCGCAGCATACAATGCAGTTCACTCCTCTGTTGACAGATTAATTATCATCCACTAGCAATCCTTGAAGTGATATCTATCAACTTCAGAACATTGATGACCGAATATCCCAGTTTGTGATGCCATTTTACAAATTTGTTAAAAAATGACACACCAATTATTTGAATCCTGAGAATACTATGAAAGTAGGACATGATTCAAGACACTTTCCAAAGTGGGATCATTCCCATTTTTGGACACAACGGGCATGACGGATAGCACTTCGACTTGCAACAATTTATTTGGACGTAGCTTGTCTAGAAGTGACTGAAAAAACGTCATTTTACAACCATGTTAAAAAAGCCAAACCACCTCGTACACACCACTCAACTACTTATGCCACTCTGTACTACTAACAATACATTCATCGTCATAGCACATGAGCTGAGCTGAGTCAGTGCAGTGGCCATACCATTACAGTCGACCTACCCTTATAACGATAACCTCTATAACGATATTACCCTTATAACGATATTTTTCTGCCAAACCAAATCACTCCATTGACTTGTGTATACAATGGCTTACCTCGATAACAATATTGCTATAACGACATTACCCCTATAACGATATAACATGGGCTGACCAATCGACATTTTCCAATTTATAACAGTATCCAGCAGGGAATATGTAAAGTCCACTGTCAAGGTAGGGCAAGCTTCACTTGATAAGTCGCTGGGACATGAAGAAATGCAATTGGGGCACCAGTGGGCACCTTGCCATGTACATAATGTGCATGTACATGTACATGTACAGAAGTTTTTGACTCTGAAGAGTGTAAAAAATGAACTAAATTCATGCATAATGACGTACATGTACAGTATGTGTATGAATGAACCAGTTACCCTTATAACAATATTACCCTTATACATATGTACATGTAACAATATTTCTTGGTCGGACGCAAATATCGTTATAAGGGTAGGTCGACTGTACCAATCCACGGTCTATGGACTATGGGTCCATGTGTATGGGGCTGGGGTACTGGATCCGTACCCCCCCCCCCCCCTGACTGTGTGGGTGTGGGTGTGTGTGGGTGTTTGTGTGTGTGTGTGTGTGGTGCTAAGATACTACAGTAACTACTACTACTAGTACTAGTGAGTGCAATCATTGTAGTTACATGATAGGCCTTGGCGGATAATGCCGGCAGAAAAATTGGCAGAATTCGGTACTTTTTCTGGTAAGTTTCATGCATGTTTGGTATGTGGATAAAGAAATGGAGCTGAATTCGAGGAATTGCCCGCCATAAGGTTTGTATGGTTCTGCCAATTTCGGTGCAAAAAAAGCAGAATCTGCCACCTTTTCGAGCATTATCCGCCAAGGCCTATTACATGTACATGACTGTACTATAGTGTGAAGACTGAAGTGATGGTCGTGACGACTGACTGAGCTGAGTCAGAAGGTTGTTGTTGTTGTTGTTGTGTATTTTAATTCGCAAACCAAACGGGCAGATCTGCCCAATGAAAAGGTGTCGAATGCAGATAGAAGGCACTGCAGATGTACGTGTTACATGTACAGTATATTGTTTGGAGTAGAAGCGAGGGTGAATGCACCAACCTATTGGGAGCCGCCCCGCGCCCCAGCACCTAATTGTCCTAAACAAGCGGGGAAAGGCACCCCCAGACGGGCGGCCCGCCCCCTTCGCCGTCCATGGGGTCCAACGGAAAAAGTAGTGCCGCACTTGGCACTGTCTAGGCGGATGCTCTCAGTGGTGAGGGTGATGGTGACCGTCACTGGCGTCAGTACCTCGCCCGAAGACAGGTGAACATCGACAAAGTCGCCTGCGTTAGCAAAGCAATGAGCTGCGCACTTGTGGGTTGTGTCACGCCTGCGTGGACCCATGGCCCAATCCGTTATGTAGATCGTTTGAGTGGGCCCATGGATGCAGCTAATGAGTAATGGGGTCGTTCTCGGCACTTGTGCCAGTGGTTGTGAGACTTATCCACTCGACCCCACCGTTAGGCGCTGCATCTGCCGCTAGGGTTTACCCGGTGTTAGCGGCCGTCGTGACGTGAGTTCCGTTCGGGAACGGACACGATAATTTACTTTTTTTTGAGTGGGCCCATCGTAGAGCAGCTGAAACCGCTCGAAATCATTCTCACCATTCTGCCTGAGATAGACCTCCACGGACCGCGGCCCGGAGGAAGAGATTGTTTGTTGCGCGTCAATTATTTCCTGCCGTCTCAACGGTGAAGGTACTTTTAATTAAATCTGTTTCAGCCATGGCAGTAGGACGAGCTACCAGCCATGGCAGTAGGACATGCTACCAGCCATGGCAGTAGGACGTGCTACCAAGAAGATGAGTACTACTAGTACTACGTGTACTAATATACATGTACTGAGAAGTGGAAAAGTCGCCGTTGTGATTCGAGCGCCAGACATTTATGGGTACTCGACATATTCAATTCGGTAGCGGCGAGTCCAATGCCCACCACGGATACCACGGACGCTACCTGTTGGGCCATAGAAGAAACGAAAGTCGCCCCAGTCTCTGTTGAAACAATGATTATGTACGACCACACACGAAGTGAAACCACTCATCGGTCAGTGTCGCTCGAACCAGACGGGCGCGATGCGGATCTTCCCATTTTCGAGGGTCTTGCCTGTGGCCCGGGGAAGGTGAATATCAGTCTGTAGTCGTAAGGGGCCGTCCGTAAATATCGATGTTTTTTTAGAGACGATATTGGTGCTTCTCTCCCTTGACCCCCCTCCCTCCCCCCAGAAGACGCACATGTACATCTAGATCATGGAATCAATATTTTTGGATGCTCATGAAGTGCCCAGGATGTTGAGCTTACTTGAGGGTCCGGTGTAGGCGTGAAAATCCCGCCGCACTCACGCAATAGCTGCATCGCCTGGGGGGAGCGAACCGGGTTGGCGCTGCAGTGCTCACAGCCATCGTGTACTGGTGTAGCCAAAGCGGCTACGCTCGGGCTTGAATTTTTCAAATCCTTGTTCAGACAGTGAAGACTGGAAACTCTTGTGGAGTTCGTCCGTGTTTGTTCGCACTGCCTCTACGTCTTGAAAAAGGTCTCCTGCAGGCATCGTTCGGCCGATTTCCACAATCAATAGCTCATTCTTTTGCTCTTGAAATTCGCCATGGGCGTACAGCTTCCAATTTTTGATTTTGTTCTTGTATCGCGAGTTTTAGCTCCGCGAACGGAAGCTGGTTTCACATTTCTTGTATAGCCATTTAGACGTCCGCGTGCAGGTATCGGCGAAACTTCAGATATTTACATCGATATTTTTCTGATGCTCGAAAAGACGCACATGGCTCAAACCCCCTCCCCCCCAGACGCACCAATATCGTCTCTAAAAAAACATCGATATTTACGGACGGCCCCTAATATACCGGTATTTTACGACTCCCTGGTCTAGTCTGTACAGCGAAGGGCCAGTGCCGAAGCGAATCTTGTTGTTTGATGCTGGGACACACACACGGAGAAGGCGTCCTTTCGATTCCCCAAGCCATCTTGGTCGCTTTTCTCAATCCGCTGGCGGGTGCCGACCAAAATATGTCCGTGAGGTACTGGTGAACTGGAGTTCTGGCATCTTTCCTGATCGCGACTCGGTACACTCTTTTCTGTTTGGCCTCGCTGAGCTTTCACACTGAGAGTGGGGAGTTTCCTGGCCACAAATGACAAAGAAATGAATGATTCCCTTAGTTATGACCATGATGACAGGTGACTGGTATGATCCCTGAATGGCTTGAGTCAGTAGCTTGAGTCAACACGAAGGTAAACATGGTAAACTCTTCACTTTGAACCGTTCCAAGTGAAGAGTTTACCATGTTTACCTGTTTACCAAGAAAGGACAGAGGAGACAGCAAGCGGCTTGCTGTCTCCTCCGTCCTTTCTTGTTGCACTTGCAGATATGCGCACGGCTGCCAGGTTTTGTTGGTGTGCGCGGAACGCGCGGCCGACCTTGATGTCTCCCCCCCCCCCCCCCCCCCCGACCGATTCTCACCGTCGATAGATCATTTTCAAGGTCTTGGAATTCTCGGTAGTATCGGAGGCCAAATCGAAAAATTCGAGACCGTGTAACCCTCCAAAGACACACCTTCACGTTTTGCCGTGCGCTGATTGGTCAAATCCAAATACAGTCAGACCTTGCTTAGCCGCACACATCCGTTTTCCACAAAAAAATATCCGGATAGGTGAGGGAACCGGATAATCGAACACACATACTGTATGTATTCATTTCATGACATCCGTAACCAACAATTTTCTTCCGGATGGTGAGGGAGGCGGATACACTGAGAGGACCGGATAAGCGAGGTCTGACTGTAACCGTTATTGACGCTGTGTACGGTCGTAGTGAGCCCTGATACGTAGCAGCGGGGTAGTGCATTAAGTGCATGGTGGCCCTTGGTGGGGTGGATCAGGGAATCGTCAAAAACCACTCCCTGTGCTGGATTTCAGGTGGTCCGACCAAAACGACGGGAAATGAATACTACATGACATGACTGTACTGTATTCCCCCTAGCCCGGGGGGGGGGGGTGAAATCAACCCGGTTTTTTACACTATGTCCACTATGCTCCCGAATGAATGCGGAAAGTGGTTGAAATTTCAACCCGGGTCAATACGTAATGCGTCATGTAAACGCTCCAGTCAATCTGTGTTGAATCATGGCGGGTCAATCAGTACCAGTGAATCCGGGGGTGAAACACCTCGCATAAATAAGTCGCAGCGGCACAGCGATGCACCGGCGACTCACTAGCAACTCACTCTGTGCACATACTGAGCTCTCACTTGCGGTTCTGGTGCTGACTTCTTATTTGACTTCTTTCGCATACCGGTATTCTCGAATATAGCCAGCCCACATCGTGGCATGGCATGTACTCGTACTCATACGTAATGGGAGAGCTGCTGCTCAGGGCCCTGGCTGTGCTTATTTGACCACATGATACGCACACATGTGCATGTGCATCTCGTTCAGCGCATGCAACATTATGGTCTCAGCATCATGCAGGCTCACCGGCATCTCGGCGGGTACCTGGCACATGCAAACTGTGATGGTATATGTATTATAACTTAATTTATAATACAACCCATGTGATGCAATCTATTCATTGCAACTTGCAGGGATCCAAGGGTGAACCAGGTGCAGAGTGGGCTGAAACAGACATGATCAATCTCATCCGAAACTGGACAAGCGGCGATTCCTCCGTAAGCTCAGCACCGCTGTAGAATGATTAAAGGGGAAGTTAAGCCTAAAGCTTTCACCAGTTGTAGTCTTCGGGGTGCTGAGTCGAATGGTCTTGGTCCGAGGAAGCTGAGATGCTCCCTTCCTCCTTTATTCCCACTCGAACTCGCGCACTTCCACCGAAACTGGGTGACTGCGCCCTACTATATGGGGGTTTGTATGCAAAATGTCACTAAAAGCACCATTTCGTTCTTTAAAAAAGCACGGATGACCGCGATTGGCCCATATGTCTTTTGGACGCCGAGTCAACTAGTGTTGGTCCGAAAAGGCTGCGATGCAGCATTTGGGCCTTATCCCAATCGAACATGGTTGAACAAGCGGTCACGTGCTCCTGCGTACACCAGTCACCTGGCCGCCGTGCCTGCAGGGTGCAACTAAATACTTATAGCCTGTTTTTGGTGCATTCCTGTCACTCGAGTTGAACCTTGGTGTGAAAGTTGTAGCCTGCTGGCGTGGTGACCTGGTAACTGGTGTATGCAGGAGTACGTGACCGCTTGTTCAACCATCATGTTCGATTGGGAGTAAGGCCCAAGCGCTGCATCGCAACCTTTTCGGACGAAAACCAGTCGACTCAGCGTCCAAAAGACTACAACATCTGGGCCAATCCCGGTCATCCGTGCTTTTATAAGAACGAAATGGCACTTTTAGTGACATTTTGCAGACAAATCCCCATCTACGTAGTAGGCCACAGTCACCCAGTTTCAGTGGAAGTGCGCGAGTTCGATTGGGAATAAAGGAGGAAGGGAGCGTTTCAGCTCCCTCAGACCAAGACCAATCGACTCAGCACCCCGAAGACTACAACTGGTGAACGTTTGATTTTAGGCTTAACTTCCCCTTTCACTGTACCATAATATTTCCCCACACAGCCTGGTTGGGCTGAAAGAGGGGACCAGACCGTGTGTGTCGGGGGGGGGGGGGGGTCATAGAACCACGAATACATGATAGCCATTTATTTGGTATTGCTTCTTTGTCACATTAAATTGCATGGGTGTGAAACGATGAAGGCACTAACAGAATCTGGGTTGAAAATATACAAATTCGCAGGTGTTGTAGTTGCGTTGTCAAACTGATTGCCGCAAACAACATTCGGTTTGGAGGAATAGCCAGTGGTACCGAAAATTTGCAAGCTCGGTTTTTTTTACACAAGGTATAATTATGTATACTATAAAGTTGAATGGGTATTGCTACCTACATATTATATGATTATTTATCTTTCTTTCTTCCAGGACGCAGTGTATGTGCCATCCCAGCCCGGTGATAAGGTACTGTACTGATGTAGTGTCAAGCTGCATTCGTTTGATCACAAGTGAAATTGATCATGCAAAAATTATACTCATATAGCTCCTTTACCCTCAACTTCTGAGCCTGGAGGACAGGAAGGGGGCATCATTCATTTGGGTAGAGATCAAATCCACCGTATCTCATCATTTAGAAACGCAGACCGTGGCCTTGCGATATGATTCCATCAAAAGCCCCGGTTTCAATTTTCAAACTTTGTCTGGGACTCTGCCTCTCCCCACTGCAGGGATCAAAGGGTGACACTGGTGATATGGGCACTCAGGGCTTGCAAGGTGAGACCGGCCTGAAAGGAGAGCGGGGATCAAAAGGTGACCGGGGACTCATTGGCGATAAGGTATGTCATTGCGTGACCTGTTCCCTGTAGCATAGATACTAGTACTTGTACTAGTATGCTGTGCATTGTGCATGTTGCCGTGGTGACCAACTACAGTGGGAAATCTGCTGGGATTCACATCACAGTTTGCCGGAAGAAGTTTTCCCAGATCCTATTGAACTTTGGTGTGAACAGTGGAAGAAGGGAATCCGAGGCCTGCACGTTGATCACAATCACGCAATGTGACGTGATGAAGTGCAGCGTTACTTGTGCATGGTCCGGCATTGCCTACCATGCCCTGTACTTACTGGCGTGTAGCCTCTATATCAAACCTGCATCATCGGGTTTGCGAACAGCTACCGTAAGACATCTCCCGGGCAGACTCGGGTGCGTAATACCGAAGTCCTGTCCAGACCACTGCCTGTGCTGTGCGTTGTGCAGGGTGACCGCGGAGAGCCAGGAGGTGCTGGGCCAAAGGTATGGTCTGCTCATTATAGGTGCAGGTGCAGGTACATCAACTACAGATCACACGTACCTGTACTAGTATTCTAAGTGAGATCACAGTGATGTTACAGTGATGTCACAGTGATGTCACAGTGATGTTACAGTGATGTCACAGTGATGTCACAGTGATGTTACAGTGATGTTACAGTGATGTCACAGTGATGTCACAGTGATGGCACAGTGATGTTACAGTGATGTCATGGTGATGTCACAGTGATGTGGAGGCCGCCGCCATGCGGAGGCCGCCGCCATGTACATATTACACTGGTATAGGTCTATTATTCGATGCTGCTGGTATGGAATTCACTTTCTGCCTTTCTGTTTTGTACTTCAGAAGTATGCCAATTAAATGCTGAGCTGTGGTGCTTGTGTTTCAAAAATATATACCGGTATCCTGCTAAGAAAGTTGTATTGTGTGATTGTGGTTTGATTGCATATTCCTGGCATGTTGTGCGTACACTACACCACCAACACTGGCACTGTTGCGCTTCTTCTATTCCCGACATGGTGCCAATTTGTTATTCCAAGTTTCTAACTAGTGTGGTGGTGTATTGTGTGCTGACTGCTGACTGCTATACGTGGATGAATACAGGGAGATTCTGGAGCACGGGGACTGAAGGGAGACCGCGGACAGCGTGGGCTTGACGGAGATCAGGTGTGCACTATGGCTGTGAATCAGTCTTGCTCTGTATTGTGAATGTGCTTGTTCATTTGTCTACCTGTGTGTGTATTTGTTTGCTTGCTCATGCCGCGTGTGTGCCGTATGCCAGTTAGTATGGCCCTGTGCATACACATAATGTTATGCATATCGTATTGTTCACTGTCTGCTCTGTTCAGGGACCCGCTGGCTTTTCTGGAGATTCCGGCCCGAAAGGCGAGAAGGTAAACCTGACAGGTGGAAGTGATCCGGCAATCCGGTAGTACAATTGATGGTCGTCAGGCCTAAAAATCCACGGCTTGCTCCAAATTACCATAGATGGCATTGTGTACTGTTCTTTTCTGCTGCCGTGTGATGTGCTGCCTCCTCAGTTGTCCTTCCTCTAGTGAGTAATCACTCTGCAGGCAAATAAATAACCCTCTTTAAAAATTAATAATATTATACTCTGTGTGCTTGCACTGTTGCCAGGGCGATCAAGGTATTACCGGGTATCCAGGAGAAGCTGTAAGTGCCATACCCACTGAGCTGATTGGCTAGAACTTGCACATTCAAATCTACAAGATCACTTTCTGCCGAGGCTGTGAAGTTCTGAATCAGATACAGCAAAACCTGTAACCAAAGACCACCGTGAACAACGACCACCCTGGTACTGCAGACCACTTTGCCAGGACGGACGGTCTCACCTTCATAATTATTATGGTTGTGCGGTGCAAACCTCTAACTAAGGACCACCTGTCACTAAAGACCGCACTCTCTGGCCCCAAGGGGTGGTCATTAGTTACAGGTTATACTGTATAGTTTGCCCAGGTCTGCCGCAGATGGGTAAAGCACACAGAACCATGTATCATGTAACATTGTTAGTGACTGTGGATTTGGAAAGCGAGACTTTCAAAACACTTGTTGACGCTGCTGCTGGTAGCACTTCTCTAATTTGCCATCTTTGTCTGTGCGTACGGAACAGGGTCCTGCAGGAGAAACCGGACTGCCGGTGAGTGATGTGTGTATATGTGTGTGTGTGTGTGTGTGTGTGTGTGTGTGTGTGTGTGTGTGTGTGTGTGTGTGTGTGTGTGTGTGTGTGTGTGTGTGTGTGTGTGTGTGTGTGTGTGTGTGTGTGTGAATGGGTAGGGTGCACATGCCAAGGGAGGTGGCTGCATTCAATCACTTTGGAACACGCTGCATGATGTTACATGGCCGGAGAGTTGCCTTGACTACACCATGGCAGCTGGAAACTGGCGACTCATTGCCAGGCCGACATGTGCGGTTTTGGTGCATTTGGTGACAAGTCGTCTGTGACCCTGCAGCACAATTAGCCAGGTTCAGTGCAATCCTCTGCATGCCGTAGGTACCGGTAATCACTATTTGCAGCGGATACAGTGGTGGTAAGGGCGAGTGCAATGCTGCCACCATACACCACCGTTATGATTACGTATAGCAGCAGGAGTCTGCAGAGATGCACGTTTTGTGCAGATACAGTCAAACTCTTGCTGCACACCTGCAGTCAGCAGTGCCGGGAGTGTCTGTTTGAGTGAACCGGGTGGTATCCCTGAGCGACGTGAAAACGGCAAGGTAAAGAACATCATCAGTGTCACTTGTACATAGTCCTTCTTCTTGTATGCATGCTTCCCTCAAAGTAATGAATTTGCTTGCATGTGTGTTTGCTTTCTCAGGGTCCTCCAGGCCCAAAGGTAAGTGACAGCTGCAGGTGTGTGTGTGTGTGCACGCGCGTTCGTGCTTGCCATTGTGTGTGCATATGCGTGTGTACTGTGTGTAGTGGTATGCCACACATGGCAGTATTCAAGCATGCTGCCATGCAATATCCATGCACTTATATTATGTGTATCACTCATTCAGTAGATGTGCACTGATGATTTTTATGACCAGCAAGATTACAATATTTTTTTCTAATAAACCAGTGATGATGCTCATGTACTTTTATCAGCTCATTGATGCCAGGAAGTAGTGCAATGCCAATGGTATTGTACTACTCCGTGATTGATACCAGGTATAGTTCTTTCCGTTATACCTTTCTAGCTTTTAGTTGTCATACTTATTATGATCATTGTTTTGATATGTTGTCAAGGCCATCATCATCATCATCTTCATCATCATCTCAATCATAATTGAGAGGCTTTGAATCGTTTTCAATATCAAAATATAAAAAAATATAAATAAAAATCAATAATCTTCCCATTACTAGTCACGATCCGGGTCGGAACTTGATGTGATTTACTGACTTGCTGCTTGCGTGTTTCCAGGGTGATGCTGGCACAGGAAGCGGTTCAGGCATTGCATCCATGCTGCAAAAGGTACATGTACAGGGCGTAGCATATACAGCGCATGAACCTAACATCCCAAAAGCGGACAATAACTCCCACTGGTTTCGGTCAGAATTGACATGTGTAAACTCCAATATATCCTGCGGAATGGCCATCATACTAATGTTTCGCAGTCCGCCCAGTGCACAATTTTGAGTCCTCACTGCTATGCACGTGTCTGAATCTCTGCAGACGTTAACCAGTGCTTTGCCGGCCTGTGCTGAGGCAATTGAAGGCAGCATGTACTATGCCACAGATGTCAAATCACCAATATTCTGCGATGGCACCCAGTGGACGGTAAGTCATTACCCCAATACGGACACAATCGCATCAGATCAAAGCTATCGATAGGTCAACTCCACACGCACGGCCACATACATGATTGTATATGTAGAATGAATAGAAGAAAACGCCAGGTTGAGCTTGGACCATCCAACAGATTTTATCACGAAACGAAAACAAAATGCAACCAGACTATCCTGCTCCCTGTCACTATGGTAGCGGGGTGTTACAAAATATAATATGAAGGAATCTCCAAGGTTATACAATTGTGCATGATAAATCCTTAGAATCCTTGGACATTGGATGTCTATACTCCCGGCCTGTATGCATAGTCCACAGTATCAGCATTGGAATATTCTGGAAGTCCTGCACACATCCACAGTATCAGCATTGCAATACACTCAGTGACTGGAGGTGCTGCATACACTGTACATGCAACCGTGCTGCTTCTGCTGGCACTGTGGCCCCAGGCCCAATGTGGGTCAGTCTGTCACTGTTGTCTGTGTGTCCTGCCCAGTGTCTTGTTCCCGGTCGGTGCAGTGAAGGTAAGCTACACACTACACACTACACTGAGTTGTACTGATAATAGGGACCGGCAGATTCTGCTCGAAAAGGTGGCAGATTCTGCTCGAAAAGCAGTGAAATTGGCAGAACCATACAAACCTTATGGCGGGCAATTCCTCGAATTCTGCTCCATTTTTTTATCCACATACCAAACATGCATAAAACTTACCAGAAAAAGTACCGAATTCTGCCAATTTTTCTGCCGGCAGAATCCGCCGGACCCTAACTGACAAACAGTTTCCATCATACATAGTGTGCAGATCCCCAGTGACACCGGCTGCAGTGACTGACTCGTCACCTGTACTGCTCGGGTGAATCTCGGGTGTATCTGTACGACACAATGTTATGTTCACCATACAGTATATCCCAGTGGGTGAACATAAGTCGCACTCGAGTATAAGTTGCACCCCCATCTTCAGGTTTGAGCAATATTGTTTCGATATATTCACTTCAGTAGTAAGTAATGCTCGATTGTAAGTCGCACCCCCCCCCCCCTTTCTACCCTGAATTTTAGTGTAAAAACTCGGGTGCGACTTATAATCGGGGAAATACGGTACATGTAGATATACATGACTGTATGTGGCAGCAATATCATAAGCCTTGGCACGTTCCTTGGATCAAACTCCACAGTTTGGCGGTCGTTCATAATCCTCAAGTTTGTAGGCATTGTATTCCATGTCATCAACACCAGTGGTTTCCGGGTAACTTGGCAGCCATGCAACATACACACCTGTAGAGGGTGCCATACTTCGACTACAACGCTGCAAAGCTTGATACACCCTGGTACACAGTGGTACTGGACTACAGCATGACTGGTTGTTCGTTCTAAAGTCCTCTTTTGTTGTTAAATTGTGACTTCCTGCAGCCCCACCAGTCCGTCCATCCCCAACACCAGCCAGCACTGACCCGGGTAAGATCCAGAGATTCTACAGAGGCATCGTTTGGGTTAGCGACAAACTTTGCACAGGAGGAAGGTACTCGCACGTGCTTGTGTGATACATGTGTTGATGGGTGCATGAGTAGACGAACGGCTGTGTGTGAGAATGTGTGAGAATGTGTGTGTGTGTGTGTGTGTGTGTGTGTGTTTGTGTGTGTGTGTGTGTGTGTGTGTGTGTGTGTGTGTGTGTGTGTGGTGTGTGAGTGTGTGTGTGTGCTCGCCCGCGCATCCGCGTGCATGTGTACCATAACTTTGCTCTATCTGTTGCATGTGTGTGTGTGTGCTGTCTGCAGTGGAATCGCCACGCTGTCCGGCCGTGCCAAGAGCTCCGAATCGCTCTCCGTCGTTCAGCACGGCGGCCGATGCCGACGGAGGCTACTTTCCCGGCACCATCGCCAGTTTCTCCTGTAGCCAAGGGTACATCCTCGATGCAGGGAGCAATCCTGATGGCACAATCACCTGCACAGAGTCAGGTGAATGGTCCCAGTCACCGCCAGTCTGCACCGCTATCACGTGCTCGCCGCCAATTCTGCCGGAAAATGCGGTGGGAGTGCCGCGGCGGGAAGAATACGCCGACGGCGAATCGGTCACTCTCTCGTGTGTCGATGGATTCCACCTTGTGGGTGGCAACGTCGCGGTCTGTTCAGTTGGCGGATTCTCGTTTGTCGGAGCGGCACCGTCATGTGTGGCTGGATGCCCAGCCCTACCTGCAGTCCAGAACGCAATAAATACTGCCAGTGATGATCACAACGTTGGCTCTACACTACAGTACGTATGCAACGCTGGTTATGTCGTACGAGGTAGTGCTGAGCTGCAGTGCCAAATCAATGGGCAGTGGTCCGGCGAAGTGCCCAGCTGCGAACAGTTCATCTGCCCCGATCCTGGCCTGGTGGCGAACGGCATTCAGCGCATCCGCAGCCTGACAACCAGCATTGAGTACGTGTGCAGTGCGGGCTACGAGATTGTTGGCTCTAGCGTGCTGCAGTGCATTGCAGGTGTGGGCTGGAATGCCAGCGTACCGTCATGCTTGCCCATCATGTGTGGACATCCCGGGGACATCGCCGGCGGAACACAAACGCCACCAGTGCAGACAGAGTACAGCGTGGCCACTCTTCTCCAGTACGCCTGTGTAGGTGACACAGAGTTGACGGGAAGCGCCTTGCTACGCTGCCTGCCCGACGGCACATGGAGCGCGGCATTACCAGAATGCCAGCGACGCTCCTGCGCATCAGTCAATGTTCCGGACAACGGCGAACTCATCGGGTCGGGACGCGCCAACGGTGACGTAATCCGCTTCCGGTGCAACACTGGACACCGGCTGGTCGGCGATTCCGTGCTGCAATGCAATGCTGATGGGCAGTGGAATGGCTCTGCACCGCTGTGCCAAGGCAAGTCTTGACAACCACCCGCAATCGTGTATACAGTAGGTATCAGTATGGTGTGGGTGGTAGGAGTGCTGTAAACTCCCAGTATCCGCATGACAAACATTTCGCGATTTCTCAGAAATGGCGAGTTTACGATGGCAAATGACCGTGAAGCTTCCTGGCCACCTACATACAATGCATAACGTACACCCACTGTTGAAGTTCGAGTTCACGGTGGCTAATATTCACATTGCACGCTTCTCACGGAAAAAGAAGAAGCGAACATTAGGCAGTTGCAGTTGGTTGACAGTAGTAAAGTACAATACAGCAGTGTTCTAAATGATTGTACAGTAACATGTACTTACTTACTCCCTGGTGGGGGCAAGCCTCCTGTACATCACAACATGTATTTACTCCCTGGTGGGGGCAAGCCTCCTGTACATCACAACATGTATTTACTCCCTGGTGGGGGCAAGCCTCCTGTACATCACAACATGTATTTACTCCCTGGTGGGGGCAAGCCTCCTGTACATCACAACATGTATTTACTCCCTGGTGGGGGCAAGCCTCCTGTACATCACAACATGTATTTACTCCCTGGTGGGGGCAAGCCTCCTGTACATCACAACATGTATTTACTCCCTGGTGGGGGCAAGCCTCCTGTACATCACAACATGTATTTACTCCCTGGTGGGGGCAAGCCTCCTGTACATCACAACATGTATTTACTCCCTGGTGGGGGCAAGCCTCCTGTACATCACAACATGTATTTACTCCCTGGTGGGGGCAAGCCTCCTGTACATCACAACATGTATTTACTCCCTGGTGGGGGCAAGCCTCCTGTACATCACAACATGTATTTACTCCCTGGTGGGGGCAAGCCTCCTGTACATCACAACATGTATTTACTCCCTGGTGGGGGCAAGCCTCCTGTACATCACAACATGTATTTACTCCCTGGTGGGGGCAAGCCTCCTGTACATCACAACATGTATTTACTCCCTGGTGGGGGCAAGCCTCCTGTACATCACAACATGTATTTACTCCCTGGTGGGGGCAAGCCTCCTGTACATCACAACATGTATTTACTCCCTGGTGGGGGCAAGCCTCCTGTACATCACAACATGTATTTACTCCCTGGTGGGGGCAAGCCTCCTGTACATCACAACATGTATTTACTCCCTGGTGGGGGCAAGCCTGTACATCACAACATGTATGTACAGTTGCGCTCATTGAAATCCGACCCAAAGTGCAAAGCTGGCACCCTCAACTAACTTCTACGGCCCTTGACGTCCCGGAAGTGGAACGAATGCGGCTGGACGTACACATGTACAAATACAATGATGTACTAGTAATCGGAACTGGTCCAGGATGCCGGCTTTGCACATCGGGGGGGGGGGGGGGGATTTCAGTGAGCGCAACTGTGCGTTTTGCTCATTCCAACAAAAATACAAATCATGGAGTGTGTGTGTGTGTATGTGTGTGTGCGTGTACGCTTGTTGGCATGTGTGATACTTTGCGTTGTGCCTCTGCAGCAATCCTATGCCCTGATCTATCCAATCCCAGTAACGGAGCTGTGCTAGCCAGCCCAGCAGGCAGTCGAGCTGTCAACACCATCATAACTGTGACATGCCAGAGTGGCTATCGACTTGCCGGCAACACTGGAGTACTGTACTGCAGTACTGAAGGTCGCTGGAACACAACCATGCCCAGCTGCGAGCGCATTACTGGATGTAGAGATCCAGGAGCGGTCGCGAACGCCAGGCAACGCTTCGACTCCTTTGCCATCGGTGGACGAGCGGCGTATTCGTGCGAGGACGGTTTCTCGGCGGTTGGCGCGCGGCTCATCACATGCCTGGCGACTGGCGAATGGAGCGGCCCGCCCCCGTTCTGCAGGCCCGTGATGTGCCCGGAAGTGCCTCACCCGGACAACGGTAGAGTGAGGGTAAGTCACCGTGGCTACAATGGCCTGGCTCACTATAGCTGCAATGCGGGATACACCCTGTCAGGACGGTCACCGCGCGCCTGTTTGAGCAGTGAAGCCTGGTCAGGACAGATACCCCCTGAGTGCATACCCATATCATGCTCGCAACCTCCCGCGGTTAGCAATGGCCAACTGACAGAGGACAGTGATACATCGTACACGTTCAATTCGACTGTGCGATACCAGTGCTCGCCCGGGTATCAGCTGTCGGGTACGAATGAGCTGCGCTGCCTGGCCAGCCAGGAGTGGAGCTCATCAGCACCTCAGTGTGTCGTTGTCACGTGCCCCGCTCTGCCCAGTGTGCACAACGCACAGGCGCTGAGCACCGACGCCAACACTGCCGGCACCGTCGTCACGGTGCAGTGCCAGGCCGGACACACGCGCAGCCATGACGACGAGATCCGCTGCGATGCGTCAGGCCAGTGGAGTGCACCGCTGCCGGCCTGCAGTCCGGTTGGCTGCGGCAATCCCGGTGATATCGCCAATGGTGTTGCCACCGGCGCCTTGTACACATATCCAAACTCAGTGGTGTACTTCTGTGATGATGGGTATACACTGATTGGCAATGATGAGCTGAACTGCCAGGCAAACGGCCGCTGGAGTTCACCAGTCCCGTCATGCAGTCCAGTTGAGTGTCCCGATCCTGGCCCAGTGCCTAATGCACAGCGGAGTGGAGACACACTCGTCTATAACTCACGGGTTACGTATACCTGTAACCCTGGCTACAATCGCCGTGGCGATGACACACTTGTGTGCCAGGCGGACGGCTTCTGGAGCCGGCCGCTGCCGGACTGTATGGTGCGTAGCTGTCCGGATCCGGGACAGATAGAACACGGACAGCAGCAGGCCAGCAGCAGCTTTGTGCCTGGTGGTAGCGGCGTTCGGTATCGCTGTGATACTGGCTATGAGTTGAGAGGCACTGCCTCACTGACGTGTAGTGACAATGGCGAGTGGAGCGCTCTTCCACCAGAGTGTGCACCAGTTAGCTGCGGCAGCCCTGGCACGGTGGCAAACGGCGTCGCAACCGGCACAGCGTTTGCATTCGGCGACGTCGTGGCATTCAGCTGTGACCTTGGCTATCAGCTATCGGGTAGCAGCTCGCTTTCCTGTTTAGCTGACGGCTTCTGGGATGCACCTCTCCCAACCTGTGGCATTATCACCTGCGACGACCCTGGCCAAATCAGTATAGGGAACCGAGCAGGTGAAAGCTTTGCCTACAACAGCCTAGTGAGCTACAGCTGTCCAGAGAGGTATCAACTTGTCGGACCAGAGGAATTGACATGCCTTCCCAATGGTCAATGGGATGGAGCGCCGCCTCGCTGTGAGATCGCTGCCTGCATTGACCCGGTAGACGTGAGCCATGCCACAAGAGAAGACCAGGCTAATTTGAATTTCCCGATTGGCAGTTCGGTGGTCTATACATGTGCAGCCGGCTACTCCATGACTGGTACGGATCGAGTGGAGTGCTTGCCGACAGGAGATTGGAGCATTCCGTATCCAGTGTGCGCTGAGATACTGTGCCAGGAACCTGGCATTCCACGCAATGGACAGCGGACAGTACACGTCGGTCCCTTCACAGTCGGTAGTCAACTGACGTATTCCTGTGGTGGCCCATACATCGTGAGAGGGGAGGCCAGCCTAACCTGTCTCGCAACTGGCCGGTGGAGCGCTGAAGCGCCGCGCTGTGATGTGGCGCGGTGTCCAGAAATCGGCCCGGTCGACAACGGCGAAGTCATGGTGGGAAACCGCAGGCCCACCTCGATAGCAACAGTCTCCTGTGATCTTGGTCACGAGGCGAACGGCAGTATTCTATTGTTCTGCACGGATGAGGTGGAGTGGGCACCGCCAGTGCCCAGCTGCCTGCCAATAGTCTGTCAAGCACCGGCCAGCCCTCTTGTCATCGTGTCCGACGGGGCACGCCTGACCGAGTACAGCTATCTAGCGTCGATCACCGTTGGCTGCATAGCTGGCTTTGAGCTTAGCACCGCACAGACCAGCAGCACCAGTGTACTGTGTGGTGGCAGTAGCCAATGGGAGCCTAGCACCAGCTGCCAGCCAGTCATGTGCGCAGCACCAGTCGTCACCAGCGGTGTACAGGTGACGGGTGACTACGCATACAACTCGCAGGTCAACTTCTCCTGTGCGGGCACTGCACGGCTTGTGGGCGCTTCGTCGGCTACGTGTCTAGAGACTGGATCATGGTCGGCGGGCGCACCCACGTGCCAACCAGTTTGCTCCGACCCCGGCGTACCCACGTCTGGCACTAGGATAGGCGCAGCAGCACGTGATACATTTGCAGTTGGCAGTACAGTGACGTACGTGTGTGACCGGACGCATCGCTTAGTCGGGACAGCCACCCTGGAATGCACAGCATCCGGCAGCTGGAGCGAAGCAGCACCAACATGTGAACTAGGCAGTGAGTACAACAGTATACTAATTATACAATTATACATAATCTTGTTGCCATTATACTAGTGTGGCCCAGCCAAACTGCATGTAGAGCAATTGGGTATTCCACTGCCCTGTGCCATGCTACATCCATGTACTCGCACATTTACATCACTATCATTCCCAATAGCTCTCCCACAGACAATAATTATTATGAACATTGGATATTCATTGAGGGAGTGGGAAAGGGAAAAAGTCTGAAGAAAAAATTGACTGTCACCAGCAGGACTCGAACCAGGGACTATGGATGCTGGGTACATGTACAGTCGTCCCTCTCTAATCCGGCACTTGTTTATCCGGAACCCTTGCCAACCGGCGCACTTTCTGACGAAACCGATTTTTTTCGTTCAATTCCTACATCTTAATGCGGCACTTGAATTCCGCCTCCGGCAGTGACTTTTTTAAACGAATCGCTCAAACTGCGCGTAGTTTGATATCATAATCCGGCAGTCGTTTTAATTTTTTTTTAAATTTTTATTCCCCAAAGGCTTTCGCCTATCGAGGGGGTTTCCAAACTTTCCATAATACCAAATCTGTAAAAGAAGTGATGAGCAATACAATAGGTGAGCAAAGAAAGAGAAAAAGACATAGTCTAGGGCAGAGCTCTGCGCTTGAGCATAAAATTATGATTGTAAGCTTGCCGTAAATCGACTGTGCGTGTGTGTGCAGGAGTACGTATACATGTGAACATGTTCTCTGTTTTACTTTATCACTGTGTATATTCCTGGAGAAAAGTTGAGAATATAAAGCCGTGCACCAAATACTGGGGTCGACACGGAAAAACCCTGTGTTTTGACGTATGATACATGCATGCAATTGGGTAGGGCCGGGTCAGAGGGCAGGATTTCTTAATCCAGCACCCTCGTTAATCCAGCAGAAAATGCCGTAGCAAAAGGTGCCGGATTAGAGAGGGACGACTGTATATGTATATCCAATACCTAACAGCACTGTCAGACTAGTACAGTGTAGTTAGTGTCAATGTTTCCCAAGTAACAGCATTCTGAAATCTGCACCCATGTAACACAACACAACATGCGTAACAACAAACACACACACGCATCCACCCTGATCACCTGGCCACATGGTATGTGCAAACGTTTGATCATTTGGTGACGCACAGGCGAACCAATAAAGCCTGACAGCTGCCCAACATACCGGTACACTTAAAAAAAAGCCCATTGGACAATGGTGTCACAAGGCGTACTATGTGCAGTAAATCTCGGTATTTAATAAAATTTACAGAAGTTGCATGTTGGTTTTTCCACAAACTCGGACTAATAATAATTTGCGGGATTCGCATTGGCATCGCTTGAATGTTCAGAAACACAGAAAACTAGCCTTCGCTTCCGCAGGCCACCACTATGCCTACGCCTTGTACACCTTAGTGGCAAATGCAGACCTCACAAGTGAGTCAGGGGAGAGTAGGTGAGTCTCTCAACCAATCGGGCGTGTAAAGACCCATAACACTGTAAACTGCATCCTTGTTACCCTCACTCCGAGCTGTGAGTAGACTACCCAGTTGACCGTGGGTGTCGGCGCAGTTCACCACGCATAAAAGTCTTTACACGCTCCCTGCTACCAGCGCGGGTCTCGAACTCGGGACCTCCTGATTCGCAGGCAGGCCTGCAAACCAATCGGCCATATGCGTTGGTCAAACTCGGACTAGCACCAAAAATGTGATAAGTAAGCCGGACCATAAGGCATTATTGTTCTGAGTGAAACCTGCTTTGTTTGCACACTTCACAGGCGACTTGCTTTCCAAAATCCATGCACATTTCAGTTCTAAGATCAGGTCGTGGCTCCTTCCTTGTCCTCTTTCCCCTGTGCATGCGCAGACTTCCAGAATTGCCGTGAGGTGCTGGACGGTGGTCACACACAGTCTGGCCTGTATCCTGTGCGGGGCCTGTCTCTGTGGTGTGACATGGACACCGACGGTGGTGGCTGGTTCGTCTTTCAGCGGCGTAACGGCACACTCAACTTCAACCGCACCTACGAGGAGTACCGCACCGGATTCGGACGGCCGGACGGCGAGTTCTGGTACGGCATGGTGCCGCTGCGTCGACACCTGCAAGGCTCACTGAGCGACTTGCGCATCGTTGTCGAGGCATTCAATGGGGTAACCGCATACGCAGAGTATGGCATATTCCGCCTGGGCGGATCCAAGAAGCAGTACAGTTTGATCATAGGCGAATACACAGGGACGGCCGGTGACTCGCTGGACAACATTGCGCCGACGCATGCTGGCGCTAAGTTCTCTGCATACGATCGTGATGGTGATGGAGCAAGCACGAACTGTGCCCGTGATTTCGGAGGCGCATGGTGGTACAGTGATGTGTGCATTGGCAGCAATCTGAACGGAGTGTACAAGTTGCCCACGCAGCCACCACCATACGGTCTAACCTGGCCAACATACGTCTCCGAAGGTCCGCTGAAATCGGTCAGCATGATGATACGACGCAAACAACGCTGAAGGATACGTGCACGGCTACCAACCTAACACGATATGCTACGCGCGCACAACAGTGACTTCTGCTGATCTCACCACTGCTGAACCAGTATCGACATGCACATCACACTACAGTCTCTCAAGCTATAGCAGCGTTTACACAACAGAGAGCCCTGATTAGTTTTCGCTGTTCCAACTTCTAAGCACATACCGGTATCATGCACACAGACAAGCACTCAGAAGCTCACCGCATATATTCAATGAACGATTATAATACTTTACATGCTGTAAGCAATACAAGTTAGTTTAAGCTAGGCTACTGCTGATGTGCTACATTAAAAAAAAGAACTTTTGTTGCTGTTTCTTGGGATGATTATTCTGCTGGAAGAAAATAAATTTTCAAGCCACTGCATATGACCGTCCTGCAGTGCATATGTGCATTGAGCTACCAGCTGAACACAGACTCGCATGTTATAGAACAGGTGGGAAAAATAACAAAGACTCAAGCGTACCAGACGTTAGGCTGTATAACGTGCAGACTTTCTCAAGGATATGAACCTAACACACACACACACACACACACACACACACACACACACACACACACACACACACACACACACACATGCATACACCACAAGCACACACACACACACACACACACACATGCATACACCATAAGCACACACACTTGTACTTACACACACACACACACACACACACACACACACACACACACACACACACACACACACACACACACACACACACACACACACACACACACACACACACACACACACACACACACACACACACACACACACACACACACACACACACACACACACACACACACACACAGCACACACACACACACACACACACTAGACAGGTAAATAGACCAACAGGAACTACATCACCGTCAGTTGGCGGCTCCTGCAGGATCAGCTACTTGTTGTCATGTTCGACTGCAGGCACCGACTGATTGCCTTCAGAGGGTCGGTTTTGAACTGTTGATTCCCCAGCACTGCTTGAAATCGTTTGCACTCATCGGCGAGAACCATTTGGCGTTTATTTCTGGATACAACTTTAGCCTGCCGCTGCAGGTTCTTTTCTGCCTTCTCTTTCGTGGTGCCAGGATCTGTGAATATTTGAGCCACCTCGTCCAACGCATCCTGCAGCGGCCTGACATCACCGACAACAACAGTTTTCCGTCGTTTAGCTGCTGCTTTCTGTTCCAGCTGGTTAGAGTGAATGGCCCCCAGCTTTTTTAGCCATTGGTTGCGGCGATTCATTCTCTTGTTCTTCTTGCCCACTACTACCTCGTCTTTCACGTCCGCTTCCTTTTTCGCCTCCACTGTCACGTCTGATCCCTGGCCCTCTTCCTTGTTCAACTCACTCATGAGATCCGCCAGTCCATAGTCCATAGGCGCATCAATGTCCTCCACGCCATCATCAGATTTGGAATAGTGATATTTCGTTCTTTGTCGCTTCACCTTCGGCATGATGAGTAGTGAATAAGTCTCACAAGATATCAGAGCAGCTACACTGACTTGCAAGTTGCAGGATAAAATTAGAAGAAGCAAAACAATTCCATACGTTCGATCGAGGCAGGGGAATGAGAAAATCATTCAACAAACACTCCAAAACAATAATCAAAACTTTTTCACGCGTGTATACATGTATACATGACGTCATGTCCAACTGCAGAGTGCAGACGTAGACGCGCCGGACCGGGAAATCCCCAAATCGCAGCCATCTCTCGTCGCATGATGCGGCATCGCTGACTTCTTCTGTGAATGGTATTTTCGCATCGCACGCCTCCATCGCATCGCAAAAAGCGTCTGAATCAAACCAAGAGTACATAACCCCCCCCCCCCCGGCCTTGGTTATGCAAGATATGTACTTGTGACTTATGTACTCTTGATCAAACTCAAAGTACAGACCAGTACTCGTAGACCCAGGTGCTCGAAGTCCGTACATGGTATCCTAAGTTCGTACGCCCATAATTTCATGTTCTGTTATTGTATTCGACTCAAATATTTTATGGAGGGGACAGTGTGGTATGTTCTCCTCGCGTACCAATTTTCAGGGATCTACGATCAGCAGAAGTCCCATACCACGGGAGTGGGTTTTCGAGTGTCCATACGAAATACAAATTGGGTTACATTTCATGCAAAAATCAACTTTGCCAAGACCGATTTCGAACGGACACAGCGTCAAACAGACCTTCACTCAATCATCAAGAGCCAGCTTAGAGCTGACAATGGCCAGAGGAGAAGAATTTACAGAGAACCACCTATCCTTGCAGAAAGGTTGACACTCCTGGCATCTCCACCACTGTTTTCCCGCGGTTTTCACAGCGCAGCTGCTTCTTCTCTGAGCCGACTAAAAACAGCTTGCATTTCGGCAACAAACTACGCTTTTGCAAGAAATACCGGTGGAGGCACATGCCAAACATATCCCTTCGGTGCTTTCGTCGTAACCGAGGGATTGCAAGTTAGCAATTAGCAGAAATATGTGTGTATTTCGAGTCACCTCTGATCAGTCCGGACTTAGAGTACCCTCTGCGACACCAAATTTTGATATGGAAAATGAGCGAACTCCAGAGAAACAGATCGGATCGAAAGATGGCCTGGTTCAATTGAGCCTGGCCTCAAAACAAACTTGGACAAGATACCTTCCATCCACGAGCAGGATTCTGGCAAGTGATCATTGCTAGTGTGAGTTTCAGCTCGGCAAACACACACTGTAAACGTGTACGGACTTCGAGCACCTGGGTCTACTAGCAAGAGTAGATCTACAACCAGTACAGAGTGTGCAACTCGGGATGGTACACTTGCTAGACTATTGTAGTGGATCTACTCGTACAGACTGAGTCTGAGGTAGACTCAAAACTCAAAAGACGAATCGAATTTCGGAATGCAAAACCTATACTGTAAATCAACTATAAATTGTAACTTCTTTAGTCATTGAGGCAAATGATGCATGGATGCATGTGAGAGCACAAAAGTTTCATTTCGAGATCGGCCAAAGTTTCTCACCGGCCAAAATTTGTTGATTTACAGTAACATAATAACTACTGTAGTGCAGTATGGACTCTTGATAATAAAGGGATAATTATTTTTCTTCCAGCAGCAGAATAATCATCCCAGGAAACAGCACCGTGTCACAGCATGTAGCGTACAATAGCTGCAGATTCATCTGCCATGAAGAGTAAAATAAGCTCCCTGGGAGCGTGTACTCTTGCTGGTACTACTGTACCGTAAGAACCCGCACTGCTCTGGGGAGGACCTTGATTGAGAACATTCTCGATTCAATAAAGCCAGGAATGTTACAATACATAAAACTCAACACGAAAGTGCAAGGCGGCGTGGCACGGACTGCATTGAGCTCTAGTATAACTATAAGGATCTTCTACCAACTACCCGGACCCATGATCGGTCAATGAATTATAACACGCCAAGGCCCAAGGGCATCAGGAAGTTGTGTCTTTTCCAGAAATGACAGACAACAGTGGACAGCAGGGAGGCGTGACATTTTACAACTCCCTGGTGGACAGGGGGTGTATACCATTGTTATGACACGCACGAGTCAAGAAAAGAATGCCTCATACACGCTATACACTGCAACAGCTCATCGATGTGGTACGGCATTAGCATAATCCGTAAGATGTGTATCTCAAGATTGGAGGCGTGACACCAACGTGCACTAGACCATTCATGCCTCGAAGAGGAAAAACGTCCCGCAAGTCAAAATACAACACAGGACAAAAAGAGATTGTGCACTGAAGGACAACGGTTCCCTGGCATCAAACCTGAATGCTGCCAGCATTAGAAGTTAGAACATGCACAGAAGCCTTGCTTGGTAGTTTAACATGTTTTTTTCTCGATTTTGACAGCATGTTACAAGGCTGCCAACCAGGTTATGGTTGTAGTCAGGAGCACTACGCGTCCTCGCCTTGTAACATGCTGTCAAAATCGAAAAACAAGTTAGAACATGTACACGACAACATGTACAGAGCTGGGCTCATGTTACATTGGCCAACAACTCGATGGAATTCGTCAGAACTCTTGACGGAATTAGAAGAAAAACGCATGGATTCGCAGTTCCACTGGGCACTTCCACCAGGTTCCCTAATGAGATTTCTTCTTCTTCTTTGCTGGTGCCTGCAAACAAAGAACAACACAAGGACACAAAATGGAAATGCCGTTGAAGTCCGGTATGGTACACCATACATACACACTGGTGTTGCTGCATGCAGACTGGTCTTCAGCCTGAACTGTGATTGTTTTACCATTGTCGGAAGTACTTCCTCCGTATACAAAAACTTCGTGACTTTTTTCAACGGTGTTTTTGAGCAAGAACCTGCTCAACGAACCGCACCAAAGGCTGTCATCGACAACCCACATTCATGTTGAGGTAGGTTTGGTTGATCTCGAACAGATTCTCTACGGAAGCCATGTGTGCGAGGACGTTGCCGACAGGAACTCACGAGTCAAATGACAAAAAAATAACACTTACTTGCTCGAAACTGACACCGTGACGAAGTGGAGCTCGCGCCTGGAGCACGGAGTCACGACTCACGCGGCACTCGCTGCCCTGAAACAGGCCAGGCTCGTACTTGCGGTGCGCGGCCCCATACGCAGCGTGACAACATAAATCGGTTCAGCTCGCACGGAAAGATGAAACATTTGAGTCGTCGTGCAACCAGCGCAGACTCCGGATCGGATTGTCGACGACCTGGCTTTCTTCGCCTCTCTCAACTCCAGTCGGACGTCTCCGTTGTGGCCTAGGGGAATCGCAGGGACCTCGTCGAAGCCGTTGTAGAATGCTGGGAGGATTCTCCTGCCGAGAAAATGCGAAGCGTGTGGATGTGCTTGAGCGACTCGTTTTACGGCATAATGGAGGTCGCGGGTTGGAACGACTGAATATAGTCGACACCGATTCGTACACAGCTCTGGAAATGAAGAGTACGCTAGCCAAAGTCCCGCGTCGGATCATCATTGCAGCTGAAAAGAATCTGAACAAATTGCGAGCAGAAGCAGCGACTTTTGGCGATGCGGTGTCAGCGTCGTCAGGTGACAATGACAGGAGCGACGAAGACTCTGAATAAACTCAATCTCATTCGCCTGAGTTGCTTTTTCTTTGTATATAGCTTGTAAACAGGTTAGACAATGCCACGAGTGTTATTCCAAGTCAAACGGAACAATTCCAGAGCTATGCGCAGCCTTAAAAAAAAGTCACGAAGTTTTTGTATACGGAGGAAGTAGCGATGTTCAGATCGTTATAATTTCAAAACACTAAATGCTTGGGAGGCTAACACAAACACCGGCTAACACTTACAGCATCGGAATCAGCATCACTGGACTCTTCCTTGACCTTCTTCTTTTTCTCCTTTTTCTCCTTCTTTTCCTTCTTGTCCTTCTTCGCTTTCTTTTCTTTCTTGTCCTTCTTCACTTTAGGTGTTTCCTCTGCACTTTCTTCCTCGGCCGAGGAGGAATCTGCAGGCGTGTGCTTTCTCTGCCATGTCAGAAACACAACACAACAAACAGTGACCAGAGACAGTGAGGAACAAACAAGATCACTGCCAGGACTGCCAAGAACAGATGAAAAGTCGTGACTTTGGAGGAGTGAGCCTCACACAGAGGAGCAGGGACAATGTGCACAATAAGCATCATCACCACAAACTACATGGCAACAGCGCATAGAATACCCGAACTCAGACCAAGAGTACATAACCCCCCAAGAGTGTGCAACTCCACTATGGGTGCTGTCCCGACAGAATTTCAAGTTGATGTCATTTTTATGATGCAATGCGCACTGTACACGGATTGTCAGACGAATCCGGAACCTGTGGTGGACCAAAACCCGTCGTATCCTGTACAAATTATTGCAAAGAAAAACGTGTGAAGAGTTGATACCCGTACACATGTTGTAAATCACTGGTGCAAGGAGCATTGCATCATTAATAATGACGTCAACTTGAAATTCTGTCGGGACAGCAGGGTATGCGGGAGTTGCACACTCTTGGGGGGTTGTGTACTCTTGCTCAGACTCAAACCACCAGGAAACTGCTGTGCCAGCACGGTGATCGCCATACATACAGACCATACTTTGACCTGACTGCTCATTCCAGCACCACTCACCTTGGCCAGAGCTGGAGTGACGGGAGTTCCGGGTGTGGGTACGTCCATATCCTCTTCGGCCTTCACCTTCTTGGAAGGAGTGCCACTAAACAATACGCAACGCACAACACACACAGGCAAAGAATATGAGACCGGTCAGTGCCAATGGCCCTCACAATTGATGCTACCACACAAAACATTGATATGATACAAAACCCATACACCCATACATGTGTGCGCTTGCTCGTTGTCAGAAAATGGTCAAGCGGGTCTACCCGTGAAAGGGGCGAGAGAGAGTCAAATTCAAGATTCACACTCACACACAGACACACATATGCACCCACCCACAACATACCTGTGGTCAGCATACGTGGCGGACCAGTCCTTGGGCGTCTTCTCATTGGGCTTGCCATGCTTGGTGAGCTTGCCCTCGGCAATGAGCTGCTTCTTAGCAACGGCATGTGGCCCGAGACTCCACTTGCGCGGGTACACATCACGCTCCATGATCACACGCTTGATCTTAGCCACTGTGCCGTGGTCTACAGTTGCCATGACAGCAGTCGTCATGAGTGCAATGCCGAGCGCGACTGCCTCGCCTTTAGTGGACATGATGACAATCTCCTGGTTGAGCTCAATGCCGGACTCGTAACGCAGCAGACCGGGGATCATCAACTTTGCACCATAGCAGATAGCATTCACCTGGATAGATAGAGATGTCACAAACACAACAACTTTCTTTTCAAACCCAGCACTTTGATCTTCCAAGGGGACCTTGCTCAGCTAACTAGAGGTCCATTCCCTTACAGGCTTTGTTCAGTTTTAGGGCAAACGTTGGTGTACAATTCAGTGAAGAATATTCACGGTACGGTGTACAGGAACAATACACCCGGCAGCAGGGCAGCAAATACCAGGAAACCGCAGCGCTGCACAGCATCACCACAGCACACACACTTACAGCACTGTCCTTGACTACGAGTCTCTTGTGTCCCGTCAGCAGTGCCTCCAGGGGCTTGACCACGCGGCGCATGTACGTCTCTGTAGGCATCAGGATAGGGCAGAGGGAAGCATGGGGCACCATGAGTGTACGCATACACACACACATGCACACTTCAGACTTCATTTTGCGATTAGCCTTAATAGCAAAAGTGTTGGCATGTTTGAACACATCATTGATGCGCAAAGAGCCAGAACACAAAAAGCAGCGCAAGCTCAACGGTATTACTCTGCCTCACCATCTTTGCAGTTGTCAAGTGACCACTGGGCATCAAGAACGTCGTGCATGGTGACCAGACCCTCCTGCAAACAAACACGTGCACATACACAAGTGAATGAACGTCTGAATGTATCACCAATCTCGCGCTTATTAGCTCACCAGCACAGGCGACGATGAAGACGGACAAAAACAATAGAAGTGGACCATCAAAAAGACAGACAGACATACGCTGTGGTACATACGTTTTCATTCTGAATACCGGATCGGACACGACGCAGCTCCTGCATATGAGCGCCAACACCCATCAGCAGACCAATGTGCACGCACAGTGTTCGAATGTACGTGCCAGCCTCACAGCTAACCCAGAATACACCTGCACAAAGACAGACAGGAAAACGTTAGTGCACACTCTCACACTCATGGATTGAAATTGATACTGCAACTTTTCATAACAAGACACCGTGGAAAATACATTATACATGTACATGCACTAGGATACTAAAATACTTAAAAAGAACACAATACAGTGCAACTCCAGCTGCAATATTAGAATAAGTTGGCACTCCCAACGTGCCAAATTAGGTGTAGCCAACTTTTTGAAACACACGAAATATTTGTGATATTTCGAGCAGAAGACACAGTGCTAGAAGAATGATCCTGCCTGGCAATGCACAGGTACATGTGATCAATTACAGAAGCGCTAGTGCTGTGCACATCCACAAACAAGTACCAGCCATACCTAGATGTCTGTCCTGGTCAAACTCAAACAGTTTGCTCTCGTAGATAGTTCGTACTCGCAGCTGACGCTTGACAGCAGAAATTAGAGGTGGTCGCTGGAAGAGTGCACCGGTCAACTGCTCAATTGTCTATAGAAAAAGATGGCAAAGCAGGGAAAGAAGAAAAGGTTTTACTGTATTGCAAAAATAGCAACAACGCTCGAACTTGATCATGGTACATTATGAGCCAGAGGTTCTACTGGATTGGCTTTCTCTGAACCAGTTTATCTTCTGCAATGTTTGCAAAGGAGCAAGGATCGTCTTGGTCAAATAGTTCCAAGTAGAGAAAAACCTCAGAATCTCACACTGATTTGCTCCAAGTCTTTGTGGCTTACCCGTGCAAGCTGAGTGTTATCCTCCACTGCACTGTGTAGACGTACAACGCACACATACTCCTTTCCTGTAGTGATACGCACACACGTGCACACACACACACACACACACACACACACACACACACACACACACACACACACACGTGAGAAGACAATAATGGATATCTATAAAACAGCAACAAATAAAATATAATAAATTATAGCAGATCCAATTTCCTCCAATAGTGACACTGCTCTATTAGAAGACCTTGCTTGTATTATAAGACCCCGAGGAGGTCTTGGAAAAAAATCATTCAAAAATCATTACAAGATTCCCTAGAACACTGAAAGATTATGTTGAAATAGTGGACTTGAATACCTCTCACACTGTCTCAACAAAGATAAAACTGGGCTCCCTGTTTACTAACATACGGTTTTAGCTCAACTGTTAACGGCAGGACACATCAAGGAGAGAAAGAAAGAAGGAAAGAAAGAGAGAGGTGAACACAAATACACATGCACACACACACACACACACAAGGAAGACGATGAAACATTGAGAGGGAGAGTTAGGGTGCGTTCTTATATTCTCTAGCTTCTCGGAGAAGAAGAAAAGGGAAGTCGAAGAAACTGGTATCATTTAAGAGTGGGCCTCAAAGAACTCCGAGATATTTTGCACATGTCAAGCAATAAGAAGCGCCAAAGGGGCCCGCGATCTTGAGTGCCACGAATGTAGTATGCACTGTGCGTATGCGAAAAGGGAGCTGCCTACACTCATGATGAACACATGGCCTTTAGCCGTAGTTCGCATGCGCTGATCCCAAACCGCGGGAATCTCCAAGTTTCAACCACCTCTGAAGCTTGGGAGGGCTTTGGAGAGCCTACCAAAAGTCAGAGAGGATATAAGAACAGCTCTCGAACCTTTCGGAGAGTCTCCAACTTTTCCGAAAGGATTTAAGAACGCACCCTGAGACAAAAGAAGACCACAAGGAAAGAAACTACTAGAGCCATCACACTACCTCCCCAACTACATGTACAGTGGTTGATGGCGAACAAGCAACTTACCAGCACCCTGCTGGGATTTTACTAGGCGAGTGGCACGGTCAATGCAAACAATCAAGCAGCCCGTGACCTTTGGGTCGAGTGTGCCACTGTGGCCAGTCTTCTCTACACGCAGGATACGCTTGATCCATGCCACGACTTCGTGAGAAGATGGGTTTGCTGGCTTGTCAAGGTTGATGAAGCCAGATCTGAACAAGTACACGCAAAAATATAATAATGGCACACATAAGCAGGCTAAAGCATGAAAAACGTGCATTGTAGACGAGTCTCAAATCACAACGTGATATCCACAAACGTACCAGTTAGGTGTCCTAAACAGTGCAAAAGGCAGCAAAGGTCATTACAGCTTATTGGGCCACTATGAAATCCTTAGTAAGATGGAGATTCCTTACACACACGCATGCGCAAGCAGCACACAGGGGCCAAGAAGGACTTGACATAGCAGAGACCTACATTACAAGGACTGCTACCTTCTCCAGATTGCCTTACTTGACATATTCGCCGATGGGTCTCTGCAATGGCGAGCAGCCCGATGTCAGGGGTGTGTAGTGTCCCGTACGTACATTGAGAGTGTCGAAGTTCTATCGGACACCAACGCAAGAATTCAAGCAAATAAATCAAAAGAAGAGACAATGGAGTGAGGGACAAGACTGGCAGCAGAATACGTTTCATAAATTATACCAAAAGGATAGGCCTCCAGATGCACTTGCATGATACTAGTGCGTTCCAATGAAAGCCAGGTATTGAACATGATGCAACGGCTGCTGTGTTACACATGGTTCCATATACCAGATACCAGCCGTAACAAAAAACCTGTCCACTGTTCCCTTACCTTCAACAGGAGAGGCCAGTCGGATGTGGCCAATTTCGGGGTTGTTGATGACGGAGCAATCACAAAACTAGTGTTCTCCTGTGCATCCTATAACAGCAAAAATCGGCACAAGAGACAAATGCAAAACCGAGTAACAAGACTGCCATTATGCCAAACAAGTACGCAACGCAAGTATTGTGCATCACCTCTTACAGTGATGTTCAGAATTTACAGACACTGCCTGAAACCAAGCTAAATAGAGAGCTGAGAGTTGTATCGTAAAGTACCACTGATCTGCCCCCTGCATAATTGTCGCCCCTGTCAAACTCTCCACCCGTGAAGCGACTACTTCAGTAGTATGCGACTCAAAATACGGTGTTGAACTGACGCGAGTACACCGCTGTACACAGTACCTGCCAGTGCAGGTGTGCATGTGGATGGAAACGCGTGCAATCCAGCACGGCAAGTTGATCTTTCATGCAGTTGTGCATTGTTCTGCACTTATCAGCCTCGATCTATTTTCCACCATCGAAAAACCAGCTGGGAACGACACAGCGTGGGGGCAGATGACAGTACAGTCAGACCTCGCTTAACCGCACACATCTGTTTTCCACAAAAACATCCGGATAGGCGAGGTAACCGGATAACTGAACACACATACTGTATATGCATGTGGCATGTCAAAAGTAGTGACATCATACATACATGTAGACGGGTCCTATGCAGTACGCCTAGCGTGCCCAGTATGTAAAACAAGCGAGAAAAATGACAAGTGCATGCAACTAGTTAACTGAGTGCTGTCCGCACACACCCAGCAGGTCAAGGACCTCATTTGCTTGTACAACTCATTGATACTAGCTTCTGCAGGCGCTAGCCAGCCACATGCAACCGGATACGACGAAGCATTTTGTACACATTTTAACCAGTTTGTACTTGGTCCGTTTCATCGCAATTGTCGCTTATCTATCGCAACTAAGAACAATAGTTATTTTATCGCTCTGTAAAAGTTCCAATACGCATAGTGAAGGAGCATGATACAGGATGCCTGTCCGCCACAATAAAAATAATTCAGCGATGGAATCTGATGAAGCAAGTCGAGAAAGGAAGCAAGGTTACAAAAAATATACAAAACAAACAGCGACGGAGCGCGTTCTTGCACTCACGCTTTAGTTTATCCGACTCTGGCTCTGTATCACTCGAGCCAATGTCACTTGAGCTGACATTCGCTGGTGTGTATAGCTGCTGGCGTAGAGTATATCTTGCTTTCTCCGCTAGGCGTATGGCAGCGATGGGAAAGGAACAGTTGTGGCTGTCACTTTGGAACTTCGAGGAACGTGGGCAGCGTGACCCGTGTGTCACCACTGTGTGTTTCAACAATGTTTTTGAATCAGGCACACATCCTTCTCCAGACAGCTGTCATGCGCTCTGCTGGATACGCTGACCATGACTCTTGTACTGCCGCTGCCAGGTCGGACAATGTCTTCGTTGCCACCATCTCGCCATCAGTTTGCAGGCTTGCAAAGAATGCCAGGTCGTTGCACTTGCAGTTCAAACGTGGCGAATGAGCTGGCTGGCCTGGCCGTGACTGTCACGCTCTCAAGGTCAGGATGTCGATTTCCCCTGCTACAGTTCCGGTCTTTGAGCTGCGCTTGGCTGTTCGCTGCAGTGAATGTGTGCACTGCAGTGCATTCACTGCAGCGAAAGGTTCCCCACTTTTCCATCACAATCATACAAATCGTGATGCCACTGGCGCTAGTCGCGATGTTTTTTTTTGATTTCTGGTCTCCTTTGATCTTGCCATCACAAACTCCCAAACGAATGTGAGTTAGATATCGATATCGGACTGGGTTTTACCTGTCAAAAGGTGCGTGGGAGATAAGCAACAATTGCGATGAAACGGACCAAGTACACAAAATCATGCACCGGTGTGCGGATCGCGAGGTCCGGTTATGTTGTATGCACAACATATGCTGCACATCGGTAACCAGCGATTTTCTTCCGGATGGCGAGGGATCCGGATAAACGAGGACCGGATAAACGAGGTCTGACTGTACTTTGGAATGGTCCAACAGACGTTAAATTTTACCTAGTTGCCAGCAATGAAGAAAACGCGGCAAGGACAAGACACAACTCAATGCTCCATTTGGGCCTGGTCATACATGCACAGGGGATCCGCTTTGATGGTGAGGTTCTGCAGCAGCGAACCTTGTGCCTCTCCAGCGGAACCACGTGTGCATGGTCACACAAATAGACAGGACAAACTCGTCTTTGGCGGAACATGAAAGTGAAGTGGACTGTGGTGTAGTCAACTTCGCTAATAACGACTGCGTATATAACGACAATTCGCGAATAACGACAGAATTCCCATGCCCAGAGCAAAGTCCAATCTAACTGGAATACATTCCGCGCATATAAGCCCATGGGCTAATATATGAAATAATGCATTTTCCGGGAAAATATCAGTAACAATGGTTCGTTTTTAGCCCTGGGCCTATATTCGAATTTTGAAGGCAGCTAGCATGCGAAAAAGTACAAGTCCGTGCGCGGTTGTCCGCCTACCATAGGTACCGGTACTGGTAATGTAGTCTGCACTGACATGCTGTACTACGGTGTTTGGGTCTGTTTATTAGCCCATGGGCCTATAAACGGAGGTGGGCTTATATCCGGATATAGGCCCATGGGCTTATATGCGCGGAACTACGGTAATAATGAGACTTCGGGTATAACGGCACTTCGCGAATAAGGACACTTTTCTGATGCCCGTCGGGTGTCGTTATACGGAAAGTTGGCTGTGTACTTTACAGTAAATCCAAGAGGTCAATGACTACCTTCCACACATTGTATTGCATGGGTGCCGTACGCATATAAAATTTTCGTAGGAAGTGCATGTGCAGCAGAAAGCGGTGTTATCCATTGAAGCGAAACTGCAGAAGCGAGAGTGCCGCTCCCAGCATTTTGGAGGCAGCAGATTTCAGTTTTTGCTGAAGGGGTAGCTCCGCTTTTCGCAGTTGCCATGGTACTTCCCGCTCCTGCTACATCGCTTCAGCGGAACCGCTACTTTTGAGTGCATGTGTGACTGGGCCCTAATATGGCGTAGCAACGTTACACGCGACACACATGACATCATGTGATGAGGCATGGTGTTCTGCTCATGTAGCGCACAACATGTTTGTATGTCAAGTACTACCGGTATAATATCGAGTTATCCTATACCTGAATGTAATTATTACAGGACTATGCTGGTACATGTGCATTTCGGAATAAATTGATGTGCACATGTGATCATAACTGGCACGCATGAAGGCGTGTTGGATGCCCTTATGCGGAATACTCGCTGTATCCGGACCCCTGACAAGGGGTCTCTGACCAGAAGTGGCCAGAAATTAGATGCTTTGTAGTAGCAAAAATTAATATTCCCTGATATCAACACATTTTACACCTCAAAATCAAAGTGATACCCGTCGGGATACGAGTATGACAAGTCCACGGGATGCTCCAAAGGAAATAACTTATTCCCAACGAGCCAGTGAGAGAACTGGTCCAAGCAACACGTTATGACGAAAAGTCGTCAATATGCCTGTGACACAAATTCACTCGACTGCACGCACGCATGCACACACAGAAATTCTCACCTGAACTTTATTGCTTGACTTTCCCATCTCCCACAGCCGATTCACGCGGTTCTACACCACCTTCCTTCCAGTGCTTTATTTCTCTGCTCCCGACTCACTACGAGGATCTGGAAGAGAAGGCCAGCTATTATCGAAGCATTGGAAAATTATTGTTCACCAAACCCTGTTGATCTATTCCAAAAGGATCTGCATTTTTCAGCCTCGGATTCACATGGTAAAAAGTACTAAAAACAACTCGCACGTGCACGTGCCGCCCGTACGTTTTGTATGTGCGATTCGTTTCCTTTTTTTTGCGAATCTGCGTCAACATGGTCAAGTCGCCTCGGCAACCGACAGCCATTCAAATCTAGCCCGGCCTTGGCCATGCGCCAGACCTGCAAGCTTCATGCACTTCTTTTCAAACCAATTCGGCTGTGTGTGTGTTCACTCATGAATAGGCAAGCTAGCTGGCCAGTAAACTGGTGAAAGAGTCCGCGACAGTGTGTTCAGCCTGAGAGAAATGTAGTGAGAATCAGGTTTGGCTTGACAGCAAACTAGGACATTCCTCTCGTGTTGTTCCTCTGTGCCATGGTTTTACCGTTGACCTGCGAGAAAGCTGGTCTGCGATAATCACTTGCTGGATCACTGCGTATTCTTCTCATCCGTCATTTGCTGAGTTTTAGTGTTACTGTGATGGGCTTTTAGTCCCTTTCCTGCTCATTAGTCAGTGAATTTCATAGTCGTTCACCCGGTCAGGATGGAGATAGATTCGGGAGCTCCGGGGAGCTACAAGGAGAGTGACTTTGAACGACCTGGTCCAGACCTTTTCGTTGCTCCTGGAAAACCAACCAGTGGAGCGTGTGGGAATGATTTGGACA